TGAGTAAACCTCGAAAAGTGTACTTTTCTTATCTCCTTCCTCTGATAAGAAAGAACTATTCCGTTCCTGGAATTAAAATGGGTTACGAACTCAAATAAAGTTTTAATTTTATTAGAACTTTCATAATGTCTCGAATTTTAAACAAATATTAATGTATTTTGAGCTGTCATTTTAATTAAAAAAATATTTTAAAATAACATTCTTATTATTTATTACTTACGGACTTTATGCAAATTATACACTTACTACATTTTTCTTTTAATTCTTCACTTTGACATATCTCAATACTACTTAGCTTGTAATGACCTATTTCAACTATCCTGCCACAGCCCGGATAGCTCAGTCGGTAGAGCATTGGACTTTTAATCCAAGGGTCCAGGGTTCAAGTCCCTGTTCGGGCGGCTTTTTTTTGCTTTTAAATTTTTATTAAATTATGAATTTTGACACCGATACATTATAATTATCTTAATATTTAAATGATGAAACAAACACTTTTTTTTTTCAAATATTTTTTTAAGATTGCTATCTGGTTGATAACTAAACAAAAATATAGCTAGGCATTATGGAAAGCCTAGGTCTCTTTCATTCTCACCAGGTTCCCATGGTGCAATTTCACTTTAGAGACAGTAAACACCACGGCAAAAATGATAGTTTTAAATACCTTACGCCTATGGTGTTACGGGTGAAATAAATATTTTCCTGCCTTTGTTTTACTTTCTGATGTGACATGTAGCGTTACCTAGCATTGCGACTAGTTGATGAAATAATTCTGGAAACTAATAATTAATGCTTTATTCTCACACCATACTTTATAGTAGTGTAACATGTTCATACAAAATTGACATGTAGGTAAGATACGCGTTTATTATCGTTATCGTCTTTAAACTTCTTTATCTTTCGCTTTTTTTACTTAAGTAAGAGATAGATCCAAAAATACGGATGTCTAACTGAGTGCCTACCTACTTCCTGAATTATACTCGTAGCAGAGATTTCTAACTGAACCTATATTTATGACTGTAGCTTCAGTCTAGCTTCGCATGAATACTTAGACACGATCGATCGATCGATGTGTCAAAAACTTTAACCAAGCCAAAGCAATTTCAGTCCGTTCAACCAATTTATCTAAGCCTCGACCTATGATTGAAATATAATAGTTTTGAGCTTTGTTCCATAATACCTACGCACTTTAGATAACCTGGAGTCCTGTAAAATAACAATACTCCTTTTTGTTCATAGACAAAGGCTACTTCTTCTCGTGGCGGGACCCTGCCCTGCGCGGCGTGGAGGAGGACTGGCTGAGCGCCAGGAACTACTGCCGGCAGCGATGCATGGACCTGGTGTCTCTGGAGACCAGCGACGAGAACGAGTGGGTCAAGGCGCGGATCGTGCAGGATAAGGTAATTGGCAGACTCCAGTTCTTTATTAGTAGGTAACTTATTAGCTGTGCCCGCCACTTCGTACGCGTGCGTGATAATAGTTTGAATAATATTTCCTGTTTTTGCAACATTTTTTTTACTACTCTACCAGTTTCTAGCTTCTTTTACATTGTATTGAAATTACAACGGCTGTTGGGAAGTGACTACTTTAGTGACTGTAGATAGCTTTCATACTCCTTACCCCTTAAGTTTCTTACTGAGCAATACCTGGCAGGTGTCCAGTCCTATAATCAAAGAAATCACGCAAGCGGTGATGGCCACCATTTATGTCATGCATGATCTCATGATGATCTCGCAGCGCATGCATACAAAATCTTGCGAAAGAAAGGAAACTGCTGATGCAGATAAAATACAAACGACCGTAGGAATTTCCTTGCATAATTAATTACCTAATACTATTAATACTAAAGTAGGTAAAAGAAAGAATGCAAGAACATAAGTAGGGAATTCCTGTTTTAACACCTGCAACCAAAGCTAACATTCAGCTTCTACAATGATTATTCATCGCAGCTGTTTTTTCATATTCGTTGAAATAACAACCTCACCTCAATAACTTATAATGAGTGTTGATGACTAACGCAGGTACCTATTTAGAGTAGTTTGTATACAGTCTTGTAAAGCCAGCCGTTTAAACAGGCGTGAATCCGCATCCTTGACCTGCTACCATGCAACGTCTCTTCGCAAATTAGCAAAACATTCACGGGTGTCACGAGGATTCGTCGAAACAAAAACCGTGCCCAACTTGTGAAAATGTGGTCCTCTTCAAAACTTAGCTGAAGTGAAAGCAATGAGACGAAGCCTTTAAAGAAATTCGTAATGCGTTTTTCGTAACGCCTCCAAGCAACCATTGCCGAAGGATCCAGAATTAAGCAACGTTCCAATTCCAATTTGACATAGTCGAATCACACTGCAGATAGGGGCAACCAGGGGCAACAATAGAATACAGAATCAATTTCCCCGAGTTTCACTGCTCGCATAGAATAGGTTTCTTATTTCGTGGGAATCTCAATAGCTTTTTCTTAGGCTATTATGCGAGCTACCTGTTGTCGATAGCTCACGTTTCCACCTTTTATATGGAACAAAGATTAGGAAACCGCTTAATGCATGCTAATATTTATTTAATTTTTATTACAAAACCTGCCTACTTTAAAATCATCACGAAATGTTAGGGGGATATTATGCGACAGTGAAAACTACTTACGAATTCTATAATTTCACTTTCCATTTGTTTAGCATGTAATATGTGCCTATGAGTAAGTAGTTATTTCAATTGTCTTGGTGCCAAATTGGCCATTGCAGCGGCGACAGCCATTCACAGTATGGTAATGAAGAGGCGTCAAGTCGAGACCTTTTACAAAGCAGAGGGCTTGTTGTTCGTTAATTGTGACAAATTGTCGTATTCAGCACCGTATCTCAGCCCATTGTCTACGATCACCAGATTGTTTCGACTCGCTCACTTAATGGTTTTAGTTTTTTAATAAGCCACCTGTCTGTATAGATGCATATCTAAACATCATCATTTACAGAAGCGAGCATGCGAGCATATGCGGCTCGACGCCATAAGACCACATAATGGAGAGGAATTAAATTATTTATTTTGATCGCTGGTTGGAATAACGACCGCTAACGAGTTAACTAAGCGGCGAGATTAGGATCGAGCATCATCATCAGTGACTTAACTTTTTCCAAGTTTAACCATTTAGTTGGTTTGTGTGACTTTCTAATGTTTATTGGAGTTTGAGTTTTGATTTTATTTTATAGGTGAAATACATTTGGACTTCGGGCCGTCTCTGCGACTTCAAGGGCTGCAACCGCCCGGACTTGCTGCCCAATGACGTCAACGGCTGGTTCTGGACCGCTGAGCTGCAGAAGCTGGCGCCCACCACCAACCGCCAGCAGAACGACTGGTCCGAGGGCGGCGGCATCGGCAAGCCGCAACCCGATAACAGGGTAAGCCCACCCATTCCCATGCACTTCCTTATTCTGTCATGGAACAATAGTGTCGCGTAAGTGGCATGGCATTACGAAATCGGTCATATGGTGATGCAACGGAACCGATTCAGCGAACAGTTAAGTAATGTTTGTCATAAAACACCGCGACCAGTTCAGGACAGGCATGAGCGGATATCGCGCAATGAAAACGAAAGTGACACGGAATATTTATGGACCTGCGAAATATTCGCCGAAGGGCGTACCCGCATGCATGTCACACGCCGCTTTCTACAAACCAGGCAGCTTGTACAACAAAAGCTCATCATTATTCGCGGCGCGTGCGATGCTGCGACACGTTGTTTGATCACACTTTCGCCGCGGACGCAGGCTCGTCCGCGAAATAAACAATGCGTAAGGTACGCAGCGCAAACGTAACCCTTTGCGGTCGCGCGCATCATCCGCATCCGCTTCTTACGAGACGTTCAAGGCGATTCGCACTATTGTGTGATGTAACAGTGCAATCTTGCCCATTCATCCAAATTGTTGGCTAAATAAGTGTAAATTGACAATGACTTCACCACGTTTATTTATTTTTTTACTGTTATTCAAGGGCAATGTTAACATGTACTTTACGTAACTTACCAATTGCTAGAACAAACTCATCAGGATTTCCAAAACCAAACCGGCAAAACCAAGTTCTAACTTATCCAAACTTTTCAGGAGCTGATCCAGGGCGGAGCATCCGAGCATTGCCTGGCCATCCTGAACAACTTCTACAACGACGGCGTGCACTGGCACGACGTGGCCTGCCACCACAGGAAGCCGTTCGTCTGCGAGGAGAACGACGCGCTCCTCAAATACGTGCGCTACACCAACCCCAATCTCCGAGTCTGAGCTACCAAACGAAGCAGTTTCCAAAGTCTCGAATTTAGCAAGATCTCCATCGCTTCATTCACAATACAAGCTATAAGCTGCGACATAAACAACAGAATACTTATTATCGATACTAAATGAGGGCTAGTAGACCCAAAAGCTTCAGCATTTCATTAATGAAATCTAGCAAGAAGATTTTTTCCACACTAAGCGCTCTAGCTGGTTACTATAAAGATTTATGAGTTGTGACTCGTGAGAAGCCACATAAAGCGGTAGTCATAAAACTAACGATTGTATTGTGAATAAAGTTTGATAAATGGCAAGCAATGCTATCAACACTGCACAAAAGTCAATTATTTATGTAACCATCTTCTAAATTATCGCGGTGCTAGCTTTAAGAATACCTCAACATAACATATTTATTCAGTATTGTTTTCTATGGTAGTCGTAACCGTTACAGTGGTTGTTTTAAGTTTTTAAGATCTGTCAATAAAGACTGGTTTAATAAAATTTATGTTTATTTTTAGTGTTATAGCCTTATCTGTTTTAATCTTTATGAAATGTAATAATCCGTTCTTAGTTTTTGTATGTTTATCAAAACTGAGTGATATATCACGACATATCAGTGTAGATAAACAACAGATTTGCTGGACATGAATATTACTATAATTTCTGAGTCGAAAAAATTTGATACTAAACGACCCGGCACGATTTTCGGATGTCAAAGCCTAAATATACTTAAGAAATAAAAATCTGTAATAAAAACAATATAAACATGTATTTCATATCACTTATTAACAAAAATTTATTCTTATTATCAAACTGCATTATGACGATGGAATAGAAACTTTGAATGTATATCTAAGGGTTCTGGGCGAGTTCTTCTTGGTCATGATGAACCAGAGACAGATGTTGCAGAAGTAGACGAGGCTGAGCAGCATGGTGACGTGCATCAGGCGGCACAAGCGAAGGAAGCTCATCTTCAAACCGCCACTGGAACAAGGAAAGAATTGCGTGAGATTTTTGTGGACGTGCTGCGTTTCGGTATTAAAATTTATGAAGACAGACTTTATGGTTGGTAAAAACAATACAGTTCCAGAACTGTATTAACTCCAGAGTTAGGCTTTCCACAACAAACATCAGGTCCTACATTGCACGCATCCCGGCTTTTTCCGCAACATTCGACAGTACGTCTTTTGGTGCTACGTGATCGCAACTAGAGATCGTAACGTACGACCACTTTAAACACTAGTAGGTACATAAGTATCTTAGTCTGTAATAAAACATTGTAACTTACTCTCTATTAGAAAATTCTTCGAGGTCCGAGTTGAGAGATTCGCTAGATCTCTCCGGGTCTGGTAACTTGGTGAAGTCCCTGTCGAACTGCTCTTGCAGGCAGCATATCCGTTCCATTATGAACAGCAAAAGTATCGCCCAGAAATATTCAAACTCAAACACCATGGCAGTCATTTTTTCCCTTCTACCATTATTATGTGGTATCCAAACTTCGTTTTCACTGGGGGGTCTGTGTATACAGGATTCGTGACCGATGAGATGGGCAAGGCGAACGCCGCATCCTGAAAAGGGCCCACCATGGAACCGCGAGTCATCCAGCCGAGGTCCCCGCCCTGCCTGGCCTTGTCCTCACTGTACGCGGCCGCAACGTCCGGGAATTTCTGACCAGCCTTCAATTTCTCCAATGCCTCCAAACATTTTGACTGCTTCTCGCACAAGATGTGACGGACTTTGACAGCTGTTCCACCTTTTTTTTCTTTTGCACCAGATTCTAAATATGAAAAACAAAATAGGTTTTATTTTATGTAGTTAATACAAAAGGAAAGTTTGTAAAGATGGGTGTGTGGATGTTTCTTACATACCTACTCGTGTCTATTTTACAAACTGAACTAATTTTATATTTGGCATAAAGTTTCGAGACTTAGGGAAAAAATTGTAGTTTTAGAAGCAGAGAAATGCGGCCGGTATTCACGCGAACAAAGCCGCCCGGTTCAAAAGTAGCAGATAAAAATACCAATTTCACCGTCTTTTAGGGATCTTTTAAACCAATAATGAAACACTATTCATTTAGGTGCACCAATTTAATGAAAATTCAGATTTTCTGAGCTTAAAACTAAAAGCAATTCCCCACAAAAATTAGCTATAAATACCAGTGCAGTAAAGTTTATAAAACTATAATCCACACACCTATTTTTTTTAATACATTATTTTTATGAATGAGACTAATAGACCCAAACAAGCATAAATCAACACAAACTACAAAGGTGCCAGCACTACTTTAAAAAATCAGAAGCAGTCAAAATTAAATGTTTCCCACAAAAATCTATGGACTCCGCTTAAATGTTGTTACACCAAAAATCCCAATGTTTCAAACAACATACAACAACCCAAAGCCCCAAAATTTTTTTGCCTAACAACAATAAATATTTCCCTCTAATTTTGTTAAAACTATAACAAAATTAGAGGGAAATATTTAAACACATTCAATCAAATTACATTCCCTTTTTCTCATATTAAATTTTGCATTAATAGGCTACTAAACATTAACACAAGTCTTGCCCAGGGCAAATAATTATTTTTATAATTATGAAAATGTGTACCAAGAATTTGGTTTACCACACTGTTTGTTTATGCTAGAATTGAAAATAATACAAGCCCATTAAATTCACTTTCAGTTATTTTAAAGTTTAGTCTCTGGAAGTTCATACAAGGTAAGTCTTCTCCACAAGCAGTTGTATATTCTTTGGAGACCTTTCTTTGTCAGGAAAATAAATTTATTTGTATACCCACCAGTCGCAGAGGCAGCTAGTGGGTTATATGGGGTTCTCACTGCCAGAAGGGCAGAGCTTACCCACTAAAAACTTGACGCTGCCCTCGATATAGCCATATGAGTCGGGAAACGTGGGACATCACTATCGGCGTTTTTTAATAACATAGTGGTAGCTAAATAGTTACAAAATCCCATTATCATAACCCAATAAGTACCCAAATTCTTAGCAGCCAACACCAACCGAGACTAAGGCAACGTGGACGACATCAATTGAGTTTATAGCCCTCGATAGTCCACATACCATTAGTAGTGGGCTGAATCACAGCTGCTTTATTAAAAAAATTGTGAGCTTTTGTGTCACCGACTGATTTTCCAGCACTTACCGTGCTGCCACCAGATGTACCAGATTTAGTACCAGTAAATTCAACTAAAAAATAAGTCGGTTAATGAGAATAATCATAAGAGATAACATCATTTTTCTCTAGGACAAGTAAAATTCTAACCTTTTGAGTCACCGCCAGATTTTCCACCACTACCTTTACTGCTACTAGCACTACCTTTTGCGCCTTTTTCTGGTTGCTTTTTAGGTGGCATTTAATGAAACTTAAATTAACTTTTTCACTTAAAAAGTAGCCTCGTTCGTTGGATGTATTACAACAACACGCCGGAAAAATAGAATTGTCACAATGACAGCTGATGACACTGATTTTTTTAAATAGTGATGTCGTGCACTGAATTTGAATTGAACTTTCAATTTAGTTTTATAACTTTTACGGTTTTTGGACTCTAGTTGTAGGCCTTTGCTATATTATTAGCAATGTTTAAAAAAAGTAAAAAAGGGTTGCCATGTCATGTTTCATTTACCTACCATAGGGGAAAATTAATTAATAAGATTCTATGATAGATAGGTAGATTTTTTTATATAAAATTATGTAAATAGTTTAGATTAGTTACAACTACTACGGCCAAAACCTTTTATACTGAAAGTTTTTTTTTCCGAATTTTCATAAGTTTGTTTACGATTTGTAGGTAGGTTTGTATTAATAAAAATGGTAATTAGAATTTATCATGGCAACATTGTAACAAACGTCATTTTGTATTGTATTTCTTTCAGTCAGCATTCGTAAATTATTTTATAAATTTTCAGGATTACACCAAGATTTGAGAACATTTTTGTAGTTTAAAATCGTTAAAATCATGTATGTTCTGGATAATCTTTAGTTAAAAGGTAGGAAACGAGGTAACAGTGGGTGAATTTTTCATTATTGTCGTCATACCCAGTAATTTATTCTCCGTTTGTTTTGTTGCATGTACACCAGATAGCAGATAATTTAATCCCAGCATAATGGGGATTATGTACGAGAAGAGGCCTCTCAAGAGGTCGCGTCTAGGGCCCCCGGACGTGTACCCTCAGGAGCCTCAACAAAAGGAGGACGAACTCACGTCAACAAACGTGAAACAAGGTTTCTCAACCACACCTCTGTTACCTTCAAGCAATGATGAGTTTGGAACAGCAAGAAATTTCAATTATTCAGCAGCCAAGGTAATACCAAACTTCTACTGTTTTAAGAATTGTAATCAAATAAGACTTTAAACATTTACATGTTGGGAAGCAAAGAAAGATAGTGTCATAAGTGTAGTAACATAAATGATTTACTGCTGTTCTTTCAATTATCATGAAATAAAATACACTAAATTACGACTTAATAGTTGACATATCTGTAAATTTGTAGATTGGGCAGTTTTTTTCATCAATACTATCAAAAAAAGAAGAATTGAACACATTACCTGATTGTGGCCGCAAAAGACAACAGGTGAACCCTAAAGACAACTTCTGGCCTGCTACACTTCGCACTAAGCCACAAATTGAAGCTTGGTTCAAGGACTTAGCAGGTAATTGATTTTTATCTTTTAAAAAATAATAACCATAATAATTAACCAATCTAATAAAATTTCCAAACTGTTTTCATTGACTAATGTGTATTTTATTCTAAATAGGTAACAAACCACTATCTCAGCTAGCAAAGAAGGCTCCAAATTTCAACAAAAAGGAAGAGATTTTCATAACACTCACTGAGTTCCAAGTATCTATGCCACGGGCAGCATGGTTCATAAAGCTCAGTTCTGCTTACACAGTGGCTGTGTCCGAAGCAAAGATCAAAAAGAGACAACTACCAGACCCAACAACAGGTAAAAATAACAAAATACAGTAAATAGCACCAGACTACACATTTTTGTTGCACAAAATAACTATTGTTGTTCATCACACATTTTTTCTTTCTTTTTATATGCTTTTGCCCGAGGCTTCACCCGTGTGAAATTTAGTTTGTCACAGATCATCATAATTTATAGCTTATATGTTGTTCTTGGTTATAAACAACTAGCGGCCGCCCGCGACTTCGTACGCGTGAATCCCGTTTTTCCCGCTAATTCCCGTTCCCGTGGGAATTTCGGGAATTCCTTTCTTAGTGCACCTCTACGGTACCGAAGCTACGTCCCTTCCAAATTTCAAGTGCCTACGTTTAGCCGTTTAGGCTGTGCGTTGATCTGTCAGTCAGTCAGTCAGTTTCTCCTTTTATATACATATTTAGATAATACTGTAAAGTTTGATCAAAATCCGTTCAGTAGTTTTTGCGTGAAAGAGTAACAAACATCCAGACATCCACACAAACTTTAACAATTTAACATTCCAAGGAAGAGCTGAACATAGTGAATTTTTTTTAACTAACACTAACGTTTATCATTTTCAGAATGGACAACCACTTTGATAAAATTTCTAAAGGACCAAATACCAAAACTTACGGAATACTACCAGAGTTCCAATACAGGAAATCTTTCAGACAAAACTCCTCCTTCACAGTCAGGTATTACCAAAATATATGTTCATGCATATTAATAGACATTTTATGTAACATAGAGGTACATAATATGATTTTTTTCTAACAGGACAAGGCACCCCAGGCCACAATTCGTCTGGTAACCCCCCAGGGAGTTCCACTCCAAACTCGACAGTACCAAACTCAATGCATTCCCCAGGTAACTCTAATGGTATGTGGTGGTGCTAACACAGGTGTTGATTTGGTCATTTTTACTAACATGTCTACTGTTTAGTTTAGCTGATCATCTAGTCAAGAAAACTGCTCAGTGCTTGAAATTATAATTAGATACAACAATTCTTGTTGTTATCATGAGGATCATTTCGATTTTTAGCTGTGAATGCAGATTTATAGAGCTAAGAAATCCTTAATACACAGTGCAAAAATTTTTGTTCTACGACAAAAATTGACGAAGTTATGGCCAAATTACTAAAAAAGTTCACTGACCGCCCGGCGCGGGGACGATGACGTCATTATATCCGATCCGAACGCTGCCGGCGTACTGCGTGGATAGAAAATATTTTTTTCTAGCCAAATTATCAGTTTTAGAGAAAAACTTGTAATGACATTTATTCATCAGAATAAAGTAAGCTATCGATAGGTAATTTTTAAAAATGGAAATTGTGAAAAATAACGCAAAAAATCCATACGCTCATACGATTCAATGGCACGCAGAGACGCGATTGTGGGTAAGGCTTGCCCCTCCCCCTAGGCTATAAGCTGGGTATGACTTATCCCCCCCCCCCCAGGCCAGAAACTGGGTATTAGCATCATATTAAGTATTATTATGTTCAATACAAACAATCATTAAGTTACACTCACCCCAACCGCGTCTCCGCATTGCATCGAATCCTATGAAAATGTGGTTTTTGGACATAGCAATACTTATTTTTCACATTTTTTATTTTTAAAAATTACTGGTCGATAGGTTACTTTATTTTGAAGAATAAATGTTATTAAAAGTTTTTTTCTAAAACTGATAGTTTAGCCGGAAAAAAATATTTTCCATCCCATTAGTACGCCGGCTGCGCTCGATTCGGATATAATGACGTCACGCGGCCCTGCGTACGTTGACTTTTAGCGGCAAAAACGGCCTATGTTTATTACTTAATATCTTCGTAAGTAATGGTCCGATTTGGATAATTCAAAAAGACATATCTTTCTTATGTCTTAAAGATTAACGTAGATACTAGTTTTATTGAATTTTCTACAACAGTACTGATCCTCATTGGAATAATGTACACAAATTCACCCAACAGCTGTTGTTACTTTTCTAAACTTAAATCACTGAACATATGTAATTTTTATGCAAAAAGATTGTAACTATCATAAAGAAAGAGGTGAATAAAGATAATTCTCATCTCAGAATAAAATGATTTTACAACTATTTTGATCAGATTCAATCTGATACCTTTTGTAACAAAAACATCAAAATCCATGGTCTATGCCATAGTTAAAAAAGAAGAATATAAAACAGTATCATATAATTTGTGTTTGCTAAAGGTTTGGGTATAGGGTCATCTACGCCCGGTTCTGGCGAGGGCCCTGACTGGCGGCAAGCGCTCAAACTATGGAACTACTGCTGCCGCCTCGCCAAATACCTACTGGACGAAGGTCTCCTGGACCGACACGACTTCCTGACGTGGATCATTGAGTTACTGGACAAGAGAGCTCCGGATGACGGCATTTTAAGGTAATTATGCCAAATATGGTAATTATTAAATTAAATAAACTTTGCCTATCATTCCTATTTACATTGTTTTAAATAGTTTTCCCCGCAGATTAAAATGTTCCCTCATTTGCTTCCATGCCGAAAATGACGAACACATTTTGTTTTGATTATGTAAGAGTTAATAATAAAAAAAGTTATGGACAGTGGGTAAAAGCACAAACTCGTCGTCGTGGAGTATACCTACGTGCAAAGGTCTAAGTGAGTGTATATTTTCTTTCACAGGTTATTCCTGCCGCTAGCGCTTCAGCACATGAGTGAGTTTGTGGGCTGCGAAGGCCTGTCGCGGCGGCTAGCGGCTACCTGCGCCAAGAAAGCGGCCGCCATCTGCTCAGTTCTCTCTGAGAGCACTCTAAGAACTTTAAACCAGCCTGCACTGTTCACTAAGGCACCTGAAAGGACCAATGGTAAGTCCTTAGATACTGGAAAAGGATGCTGATAATAGTGACTGTGTTTCTTGCGCTTCTCTTTCTCAGCATTGACTCCAAAGTAGATTTTTTAGCAAAGAAGCCTTTTATTACTTCAAAGTTAATTTGTTTGAAAAACCTAGCGTGACTTGTATACCTCAAAAACAAGCTCAGTTAGCGGCCCAATCACATATCATTTAATAAACATTTTTGTTTTACAGAAAGTACAATTCCTATGTCACCAGCACCCGAGACTAATGGCGATGTCAAACCAAACATATCACAGATCAAGCGATCTGCCACCCCCGCCGACCAAAACCAGGGCACGCCTAATCCAAACCACTCAATGGGGACTCCTAACCCCAACCATTCCTTGGGGACACCTAACCCTTTGGGGACTCCTAACCCAATGGGTACCCCAAACCCTAGCCAGCCAATGGACGTCCAAGTAAAAGAAGAACAAGAGTCTCCGCCAAGGGACCAGAAGACAACCTTAACGACAGTTATAACGGCTTCTCTGAACCCTGTGCAAGTGGGTTTTGGGGAGATACTGAACTGTTTGTACCACAGAGACGTCATTATACAACTGGGTACAATCTTGCAGGTATGTTGTTGACGAAAAACTGTGACTAGCAATAGCATTTACAGAAGTTGGCTTGTCACAGCTATTTGTTACACAGTAGTAAACAGCTTGCGGAAGTCAACTTCTGCAAGTTTTATTGCTAGTCTAAACCTCTCTTTAAACTGAATACTAAAATGTCCTACAAACCAGTAGTTCTACTTGTGAAAGACTAGCGGCCGCCCGCGACTTCGTACGCGTGGATATCGTTTTACCCCTTTAGGAGTTGAATTTTGCAAAATCCCGTCTTAGCACCTAAGTTCTAAAAGGAACCCCCATACCTAGCACTTGTATTTTCTGAGATTTCGTGATGAGTGAGTGAGTGAGTCACTGAATCAGTGAGTGACCTTTCGCTTTTATAGATATGATTAGATTTTTACAATCCTTTTTGTAGTTGCAGAGATTACTTCCTAAAAACAAACTTACACACTGTCCCTCTTTTTTAGATAATCAGCATAGAGTGTCCCACGGCGATGGTATGGTCTGGGTGCTGCTCCTCTTTACAAGGCTCGCCGCTGGATCTACTGCCGCTGCCGCCTTCAGCGCTGCCGATGCCACAGATGGATTCCATTATCACTGAGGAACACAGGCGAATGGTAAGTAATATCTTGGGCTGGTATTGTGAAATTACTCTAAAGTATGAATCTACACTTCAACTAAACTATCTCATTCAAATAGGAATAGATTAAACTAGCTTGTGATCGGTCCAAAATAGGCGGATTTTTTCTGACGATGGTGTTTGTGTGACTGCAGATTATTTAAATTGAATTGTTATAGGTATACGAAGCTGAGCAAGAAATTGCTGCTAGAAGTAAGAAAGCTGAAAGCAAATGGTGTACAGATAAATGGCAGACGAGTTCACAAGGTAGTGCTAACAACACAAAATTGAATCGAGTTTTGAACTTCTTATATTCTAATGTTCCGTCTTTTTCTTTTATAGCTCGAGTCCTGGCAGTGTTAGAAGCGCTCGACAGACACTGCTTCGACCGCGTGGACCCGAATAATAACTTGGACACCCTGTATAAAGAAGTGTTCGCCAACTGCACGCCGCCTACCAAAGACTCCAACATTGACACCAAAGATCCAGTAAGTGAAAATAACTCTACTGTTATGTTTTTCATACAATTTATTCATTGTATCTCCTATTCTTATTTTCTGCTGCAGATTTCGAAGTGTTATACTTAGTTTTATAGTACGTTAAAAATTCGTATTTCGGATTAAAAAAAATAATGGTAATTTTTACATAACCCGCATTATACTGTATTAAAATATTGAGACATGTACCTACATATTTTCGTCGTTTCACTGCTGGACATATTTTATAAAAAAAATTGTTCATGGCAGTATTGAATAGAGCTAGAGAAGTCTAACGTCACGTGTCGCTAAAACGCACGCGGCCGCCCGCACGCATCTATATTGAAAAATCGTACGCGTAACGGGTTTCCACACGCGCGGCAGTGCGAGGCAGGGGACGGAACAGGCATTAGCGGGAGTCCGCTCCGTGCACCCGCGCAAGTTTTAGCGTAGGCCCTGATGATCACTTCTGAACATTATTTGTTATCCAGGAATGGGCATGCTCATACGCAGTAGTAAAGGTCCTTTGCGAATGGGCAGTCTGCGGCGCACGCTGGGGTGAGCACCGCGCGCAGGCCGCCGCCGCGCTGCTGGACAAGAGACAACACCAGCTGCTGCAGCAGCACGACCACCACGCCACTGGTGAGTGCGCTACTGATGAGTCTGCCGCGTCTAATCAGTGGCGGCGTAAGGCGTAGGCGACGTGGGCCACCGCCTACGGCCTCGCGGAACAAGGGGCCTCGCGCATCAAAAATTTTGAAAAAATGTATACAAGGTGGAGATGACAATATCACAATACGACAATAAATGCATACATTGACTATTAAATATAAATTCTTGATAGCTAAACAATGTATGTAGTTAAAAAAAAATATTTTTTTCCAAACAAATTCAGCCATAATCAGGCAACAATACGGTTTTAAGTGACGAACATTATTCTTTGGCGCAATATTCCTTTAAAAATAATCACTGAATCAAGAAATCAGAAACTGTCAATGAATAGACCCGTTTTTTTTTTTTATAAAATCCGTCTTCAGGTCGCCACAGAACAAGGCCTCGCGAAATCTGTCTTGCCCACATCAAATTTAGGTCTTGCCCCGCCACTGCGTCTAATGATACAATACCGAGCTATTGGTGAGGGTATGGACCTACTAGGAAGTTAACACGCAACTGGTGAGTGGTAAGTGACCGCGCTATTAGTGAGCAACCGCGCTACTGGTGAGTGTAGCGGTCTACTGATGATATGGTAGCGTGCTATTGTAGTTTGTCTACTGTTAAGTGTACTAATTTAAATCATTCAAACCAAATTGTTGTACAAATCAATTTTATTTTGAGATCTATCACAAACAAATGCTTTTTACAGGTTCCGACGATAAAGAGTCCATAAGCTCTGCCACGGCACTATACAATGGACCACCCATCTTCCAAAACCTTCTGTTGCGATTCCTCGACAACGATGCACCAGTATTAGGTATGTAATCAAGATCTCAAAAGTCTATAAAAAGCATCCAATTTTTTTACTGTCTGTGATTATTTTGTAATTAAGTTGTAATAGTTTATGAATTGAAAAAGTTCTTATTTGTCTTCTATCATTCTTTCAGATGAGAGCCCTAACGCCCCTCCAGGCAATAGACAACAGTTCGCCAATCTAGTGCATCTTTTTGGCGAACTAATTCGGAGGGACGTGTTCTCGCATGACGCCTACATGTGCACGCTTATTTCCAGAGGTAAGTAAAATTAACTTAACCATTTACTTCATAGCCTTCATTAGATCCTGACTTGATGATAAGGTTAGATAACACCTTAAAAGTTATTCATTCAAATAAGAAAAAGTTGGACAAGTTTGTTTGCTGTATTTACACAAAAGGAATAAAAATATAGGCATAGAATCTCGTCATTTCTACGATTATGTATTAAAACCAAATTAATACGTTGTGTACTCTTTTGTATTTTATTATTAATTTCTAAACAAGATCAGCTCTTACGATACTACAGTTTAGTCACATATTGGTTTATCACCCAGGTGACCTCATATCGCCTACGGAACCAACTTCCACGGGCGTTTCCGGGAGCGGACACACAGTGGCTCCGCCCGCCAATAGTACGGGCACCAATCACAACATGGACGACGATATATTCGCGGGCATCGACCTCAAACCGCCTAAAATGGAGGTAAGTGGACGATAATCATCATCGTTTCAGCCAATGACAGTCCTAAACTGCCTGTCTTAAGCGACCAGAAAAAAGCGAGAGAGATGCTTTGTGGCGTATGTTACTCCACAAACCTTCTCCTGCTTTATTCCAATGGAGTTCTAGTAGCTATCGATTTCAGGAAGATAGAAAGAACTTTCTAGCACTTTGTCAACAATACCTACCTTATCCAATATCTCATTATTTAGAGTACTTGGTGACTTTTAATACCTATTTTCTAATTTGCCAAAACTTTTTCTTCAGGAAAATGTCCGCATGGATCTAGACGACTCCAAAATAGACGATGATTTAGATAAGCTTTTACAACATATCAAAGTGGACCAACAAAATTCAATGGACGCTCCAGACAGCCCTAAAGACCCTGGAGAGCCTTCACATAGGTAACTTTTGACAAAACCATTTTATTTAACAGCTTGTCAACTATTTCTGAATCTGAATAATTTGTGTTTCGTTACAGTGTTAACTCGCCAATGATGGGACCAAGCGGAATGAGTATACCCGGCATGCAGTCCATGGGAATGGGACCAATGTCTGTTCCAGGTATTATTTTTTAAATACTCTATGACTTGGCCAATTTTGAATGTACCTATGTAAACTTATACTTCAATTTAACGACTTCGAAACGACAAGCTCATTCACAAATGAGCTTTAAAAGTAATTACCTAAAGTTAACTTTATTTCTTTACTCTCAGGCATGCGTACAACAAGCGCAGGTCCGTCTAGCGCATGCGCAGCGCCTACCAGCGTGTCTCGGCACTACCACTACACGATGCACTTCCCACTGCCGCCGGCTGAGCCCGACCATACGCCTCATGACGCGAATCAGCGTCACATATTGTTATATGGAGTAGGTCGTCAGCGGGATGACGCGAAACACGCTGTCAAGAAGATGACCAAAGGTAAATAAGAAAAACACACTGTATAACTGTGAGACGATAAACCTACACGATGCACTTCCCACTGCCGCCGGCTGAGCCCGACCACACGCCTCATGACGCCAACCAGCGACACATACTGTTGTACGGCGTGGGACGACAGCGGGACGACGCGAAACACGCTGTCAAAAAGATGACCAAAGGTAAATAAGAAAAACACACTCTGTATAACTGTGAGACGATAAACCTACACGATGCACTTCCCACTGCCGCCGGCTGAGCCCGACCACACGCCTCATGACGCCAACCAGCGACACATACTGCTGTATCATGGCGTGGGACGACAGCGAGACGACGCCAAACACGCTGTCAAGAAGATGACCAAAGGTAACACAAATTAGTTCATACTCTTATCGCTATTCTGTATCATGTTTGAAGTGCTTGACCACACGTCGCATGACGTCAACCAGCGAAACATTCTGCTGTATGGCGTGGCTCGACGCTAAATACGTTGTCAAGAAGATGACCAAAAATATGGTAGAGAAATATACGTCTACGAAGTCTCTGCTGAACTATAGAATATAAAATCTTGCGGATTACCAAACTAAAATAATATTTATTGTGTTTCAGAAATATGCAAATTATTCTCCAAAAAGTTTTCAATTGACGTCGCTGAAGGTGGCAAAATCAAGAAACATTCACGCAGTGAATTCAACTTCGAAGCAGTGACGCAAAAGTTCCAGGTACACGTCACAATCACAACACGTCCTTGACTCTTATATTTGAACATAAAAGTTCCGTTCCGTTTCGTTTATCCGTGGTTACGCTCGCGTGTTTTCGTTTTGTCTAAGACGGCTCGAAAGCGTCTTCAAATTACCAATTTGCTGAAAGTGATATATGTGGGAGTGGGTGTGTTTCGAAATTGTAATTTCGACGATGACACATGAAAGTAAATACTGTGACATGTCTCATGTAGTTGTATATCTTTCTATTTTTCAAGAATTTATAGCCTAATTAGCTTCTAAAGCCCGGTCTGTGAGCACGTAGAATTTTGTCCAATGACCCCAAGCTACCCAACCTTATCACTCGCACGTAATTATGTTGCTGTCGCGCTCGCACACTCACTGCGGGCGCCCGTCACTCAGTCGCGACAGCAATATAATTACGCGCGAGCGATAAGGATGGGTAGCTTGGGGTCATTGGACAAAATTCTACGTGCTCACAGACCAGACTATAATATCATTCCTACACTTCCCTAGGCGATGTCTATGTACGAGCAAGGCGCGGTGTCGTGGGCGGTGGGCGGCGCGGTCATCGAGGCTTTGGCGGCGTTCGCGGCCGGCGCCACCACCTACCTGCCGCAGGCCGAGCACGTGGCCTTCGCGCTCGACCTCATGGAGATCGCGCTCAACGTCCACGGGCTCATAGAGACTTGTATACAGGTGCGTTGTCCCCAAGGCGATGTCTGTGTGCGAGCAAGGCACCACCTACCTGCCGCAGGTCGAGCACGTGGCCTTCGCGCTCGACCTCATGGAGATCGCGCTCAATGTCCACGGGCTCATAGAGACTTGTATACAGGTGTGTTGTCCCCAAGGCGATGTCTATATGCGAGCAAGGTGCGGCGACGTTCGCGGCCGTTCGTTACCTGCCGCAGGCCGAGCACGTGGCCTTCGCGCTCGACCTCATGGAGATCGCGCTCAATGTCCACGGGCTCATAGAGACTTGTATACAGGTGTGTTGTCTACACGATGCACTTCCCACTGCCGCCGGCTGAGCCCGACCACACGCCTCATGACGCCAACCAGCGACACATACTGTTGTACGGCGTGGGACGGCAACGGGACGACGCGAAACACGCTGTCAAGAAGATGACCAAAGGTAAATAATAAAAACACACTCTGTATAACTGTGAGCCGCTAAACCTACACGATGCACTTCCCACTGCCGCCGGCTGAGCCCGACCACACGCCTCATGACGCCAACCAGCGACATATACTGCTGTATCATGGCGTGGGACGACAGCGGGACGACGCTAAACACGCTGTCAAGAAGATGACCAAAGGTAAATAATAAAAACACACTCTGTATAACTGTGAGCCGCTAAACCTACACGATGCACTTCCCACTGCCGCACAGTAGTTTGATATTAAAAAAAGGTGGACATACGATCGAAAGTCATAATTTCACCGAAACAAAAGTTGTTTTGGATAGCATTTTGAATGCTGATCAACATTTGTCATTAGGCATTTTTCGATAAAACGAGCCTTTCATGCTTAAAAAAAATATGACAAGAAAATTTGTATGGAGAAAAATCTTTTTAATTTTTTTTCTGGCTTCTGTTGCAAACTGTAGCGGTCAAACCTTATGTAGTCGTAAGTACCTATGGTGCCTAACATTACTACATAAATACTTTTTGCGGGCACGCGCGGCCAAGCGAGTAATGGACATGCAAAATTTTAAATATTTTTATTTATTCATTATTGATTTTAATGCACTTAAAGTAATTATTAATAGATAAATATACTCGTCCACGGGCTCATAGAGACTTGTATACAGGTGTGTTGTTCCCCAAGGCGATGTCTATATGCGAGCAAGGCGCGGCGACGTTCGCGGCCGGCGCCACCACCTACCTGCCGCAGGCCGAGCACGTGGCCTTCGCGCTCGACCTCATGGAGATCGCGCTCAACGTCCACGGGCTCATAGAGACTTGTATACAGGTGTGTTGTTCCCCTAGGCGATGTCTACGTGCGAGCAATGCATGGGCTTATAGACTTGTATACAGGTATGTCTTTGGTCTAGTCTTTTTGGTTTGTTTGATCTATGGCATCTTCTACTCTTGAGGAGGGTAAGCGGCAACATGGCGGCAAGATGCAACATTGAGCTCTCTCAATGGGAAGGTTTGGCAAAACAGCGCCCTGAATGACGGGAGATTGTGAAGAGGCGAGTCCGCGAATTCGAGAAGCAGCGCACAACTGAACTCGACGCGAAGCGCGCCGTTTTATAGGCCCGTCCATCTGCCGCTTATTGATTTATTTATTGAGTTATCGGTTAAAAAGTTAATCGGGAAAAAAAATTAGCGCTCGTGATTTTATTTACAAGCAACACCATAAAACGCCTGTTGACAGTGCTGGGAAATGCTTACTTAATTTTTATAAATGTTTTGAATAAAATTGAAGTTTATTTTGTTACTAACAAAGCTCTTATTCCTCTACAACAGATACTAAAGGAGCTGTCTGAAGTGGAAGGCGCGCTTAGCACACGCGGTGGACCGCCGACAGGGCTGGCGGCGCCGCGCACTTATACGTCGGCGCTCGCGCTCTATACCGTCGGCGCTCTGAGGCGCTACCATTCGTGCTTGCTGCGTGAGTAACTGTTTGAGATACCGCAGCGGGTGTTGGTCGGCATTTTTATGTTAATATTTTTGGCATTGAAGTATAAATCAATAGGGATGTTTCCTGGGTCAAAAAGCAAGAGTTTTAATTAGTCCGTCAGTTAACTTATCAAAAAATACTCTACATATATGTATTTTCACTTTTTCAAACTAATGAAAATTTAAAGAGATAAAGCGCGCCAAAGTTCATAAGAAGAGGCCCGTGACGTCAATGCGTGCATACAAGTGCCGCACGTTGTGACGTCGAGCGGCACTTCAACGCACCATAACTATGTAATATGTGTCCAATATTTTTTGATATTAAACATGACGGACTAAAAAAATTTTTTTTAGGAAACTAGCCTATTGTGAATAATATTGCTGACACCACCAGTCACTGACAAATTATTTGGAATGATGTGTTTTTTTTTTTTTAAAGAAAGTGGTGTATTGAGATTTGGGCTCACCTAGTTGACGCCACGACGTAAAGTAAGGTCCTGTCATTCGTTTTTTGACTTAAGGTCTCCACTACACCATAATTATCATACCGTGACCGGGATATGAACGTGTCAGGCACGAAAAACAACACGATACGTTCCACTATGCCCACTGAACGGATCGAAAATATTCTCGCCGACATTTGTTGACGCTCCGTGCATGGCACGCGACGGTGTTGGTCGGTGACGGAACGGTGTACTGGGAACAGTGTCATACTTTTCAATACAAATAATATTTAGTTGCCTGACACGGTCATGGTATGATGCGGTGTAGTGGGTAGAGACCTTAAAACAGTGGCGCCAACTGGCGCCCAACTAGGACTTATAGCATATGCACACATTAGGATGCCGCCTCTGTAAAGTCCTGTCACTTGCCAGTGCTGGCAATTGTTGAGCACCAAAAGAGCCCTTAATGCTTCGTATCAACCTCTTTTATCACAACACTATAAGAAACTAATCTAAAGTCCTCTATTCCAGTGTGCGTAGAACAAACTTCAGCAGTATTCGAGCAGCTGTGTCGTCTAGTGAAGTGCGTGGTGAACCCAGGCGACTGCGGCTCAGCCGAGCGCTGTGTGCTCGCTCAGTTACACGACCTGTATAAAGCGGCGCAGCATCTATGCCACGCGCCGCACGCGGATACCTTTGCCAACGCCTACCCGAAGATCAAGTAAGTTGCTAGGTCATAGCTAGGGGGAGCAGTACCATAGGAACCTACTCAGTCATGCGCTATGCCTGTTGATATCTAACCCGGGCGACTGCGGCTCGGCCAAGCTCAACTTTACGACCTGTGGCCTAATTCACGTGTTTCGACAGTCAAGATCTCGACCCATTGAAAAATTAAGAAGTCGACCCATTGAAAAACAATTCTAAATCCGTATTCACAAGGGTCATTTCGATAGAACGATTACTCGATAGGATCGCAACTCAGCGATTTGTTGTCGTTGAAGTTTTGTTACGTAAATAAGGCTACTGTATGCGGTGCAGCGCCTCTGCCACGCGCCGCATGCGAACACCTTTGCCAACGCCTACCCGAAGATCAAGTAAGTTGCTAGGTCATAGCTAGGGGGGATGGGTACCAAAGGAAACTACTCAGTCATGCGCTATGCCTGTGGATATCCAACCAGGATCGGCCGAATGCTGTCCTCGCACAACTGCACGACCTGTATAAGGCGGCGCAGCATCTATGTCACGCGCCGCACGCTGATACCTTCGCCAACGCCTACCCGAAGATCAAGTGAGTTGCTAAGTCGTAACTAGGCACCACAGGAACCTCAGTCATGCGCTATGCCTGTTGATATCCTACTTGAGTGACTGCGGCTCAACACCTTTGCCACGCGCCACTGTGAAACGTGACACAAGTTAGACGTGTATGTGATGTTCATTGTTGATTCCATCGATTCTCAGACTTAGATATTGTGGCATTTTGGCTTCTATATTAATCAAATGATTTTGTTACAGACAAGCGCTATATTCACCTCTGCAGCCTACTCCGTCCAACTATCCGTACAATCCACAGTTTCTTAGTGAATTTTTCACGAATCCTCGTAAAGGTAAGAACGAAGACGCAACGTCCACAATTCGATAAATAAACTAAATCAATCTTTTCTAATGCCTAATTTTTTCCTTTCCTGGCAGGTAAAATTGAAATAGCATGGGCAAGACAAGTGGCGGAATCACCAGCAAATAGATACAGCTTTGTGTGCTCTGCCATGCTCGCTGTTTGTCGTGAAGTTGACAACGATAGGTAAGCATGCGATCCACATACTATGGATTCTATTTTGGAGACCTTTTACATTTTCTTTGTAACAACCTTGCGCGCCAGAAGTTTTTTAACACCTTTACTGTCACTTCAGTTAGTCAATTTTGTCCACAGAGAAACCTATTTTTTACCCAACTGCAATAGAAGTAGGGTTATGTTTTTACCCGACTTCGCCAGAAGGAGGGTTATTGTGTAGGATACTTTCAGTAAATGTATGCGTTTCTCTTTACTGTTTATAAGGGATTTAACTTAATGGAAAAAAAGTACGTTGATAGTTCTTGCCTGCGCAGGCCTTTATTTAACCCTATTTTTTCCAGGGTGAACGAGCTCGGCGTACTCTGCGCGGAAATGACCGCCTGGTGTAGTGGCCTAGCCGCCGAGTGGCTAGGTGCCTTAGTGGCTCTATGTGGGGCGCAACACTATCCCCAGTCGGCTCCTCATGCGGCCCCGCCGCCGCTGTATCCAGACCTGTTGCACCATAGGGACTTGCATGATGCGGCGGCTCATGATGCCTTGGCCGTGTTTACGTGTATATTAGTGGGTAAGTTGATAAAACCTTTTTGATATGAATGTTTGTCACAAATAAAAAGTTGATTTTGCCTATGCCTAAACAAGGAATACTAATCTGGTATTAGTCTCACATAATGTTGGACACCAAATGTGATGTAAATTATTCGTCAGTCAATCAACATGTTTCTTCGATGAAAATTTAATAACTTTATGCATCCATAATAACCTGATTTTAATGAAGAAAGTTTTAATCTGCCGTCTCTCTCCAATAGCAACCGTTAAAACGTGGCAAGACACATAATGACGTGACGTGCAAACGTGATAAATAAATAAATGCATTATGATTGACTGATTGATCTTCAAATAAAAAAGAACACTCACAAAGAACACAAACAACTTTTCAACAAGCTTTCTTTATTTATTTGTTAGAAATTTAATTGCCCATAAATTAGATACAAATTCAACTTAACCTTTCATTGTCCAGCTCGCCACTGCTTCTCGCTGGAAGACTTCGTGCGGCACGCGGCGTTACCGTCTCTCGTGAAAGCGTGCGGGGGCGCCGGTGTTAGCGGCAACCCGGCCAACGCGCCCTCGCCCGATACTGGCGCCAGGCTTACTTGCCACCTCTTGCTGAGGCTCTTCAAGACTGTCGACACTCCACAACCAGGTATGAAGAAGACACAACATTCACAAAATAATTTAGGGTAGTTGATACTACCTAGTCCAGATCAGAAACCTTTTGAGATCTGAGTTTTTCCAATGTTTAATGAGCCACTCAGCTCTAAGGCCACAACGTAAGCTGCCAAAACCTCCACTATAGTCTATCCAATATAGCTTGATTAGAATGACAGCTGCCATCAAAAGTAACGACATAACTTTGTAGTAGCGATCAATGAGAGCTAAATATTGGCGGACAAGAAATAATTCACGTCTGACCTACAAACAATATTTTCGACGACAGTGCTTCCATTATAAATGTTAATTTCATGTAAATGCAGCTTTAAATTACACCAATAAGTAGTAATTCGAAATTATAAAAATCAAGCTAGAGTATTAACGACGTCTCTACAAGGTTATCTCGAGTTACAAAAATGTTAGTGTTGGGACATATCGACAAATGTCATATAATTAAAACTATTTTTTTTACATATTTATCAATTTTTTTTCTAACTAATTTTTTAGCATATTTAAGTCAAGTTAATACGTTTTTCTAAATTTTCACTATTAAAAACCAAAAAACATTTCATTCTTAAATAATTAAACATCGGAAATCAATCACCGGTAATTTTTTGGGTATTCATAGCACAGTTGCTCTAGAAGAGATGCCCACCGCCCCTCTTGCGAGAGGAAAAAACCACTGAAGAACANCTTCTCGCTGGCGGGCGGCATGTTCGACACCATCCGCAGGTAGCCACGCTCAGTGTAATAACAGGGAGGACACACCACTGGCCCTCAAGAGAGCCCACTGAGCTCCATCCATGCGCAGCTACAACACTTCTCGCTGGCGGGCGGCATGTTCGACACCATCCGCAGGTAGCCACGCTTAGTGTATTACAGGGAGGATACACCACTGGCCCTCAAGAGAGCCCACTGAGCTCCATCCATGCGCAGCTACAACACTTCTCGCTAGCGGGCGGCATGTTCGACACCATCCGCAGGTAGCCACGCTTAGTGTATTACAGGGAGGATACACCACTGGCCCTCAAGAGAGCCCACTGAGCTCCATCCACGCGCAGCTACAACACTACATGACGCACGCGCGCGTCCACGAGCGCATAAACATAAGCTGGTTTGCTTATAATCAATCCCAATCCAAGTCCATCCGTCAACTGTCAAATTTTAATCTGTTTTTGGTCATTGGCATTAGCCTTCCAGCAGAGAGGAATACGACCACCCCCCTGGCCCTCATCGATGCGTCGCCAGTCGCCACACGGCAAGCACGTCGAGCGCGATCAAACCAATGGCATTCTTAGATTGCGGCCCGTAAGCTGCAAGTGAAAACGTGTCATAGCGTAGCGTCGTCAGTAGCGTGCCGCGACACGACCGTGTCTTATTACGTCAGCCAACCAGGAGCACGATTTGCTAGTGAATTTTAGAGGGTAGTGTTCCTGCAATGGAGACAAGGACCTAATGATGATAGTGATCGGACACTTGCTCACAGACGTCCGTCTACAATTGACAAAAATCGCGCGACCAAACGATGCGGTTTCGTCTCGTGACGAGATTATTATTAACAATTCATAAATCTCTCTAAAATGTAATTGAAGTATGTAAGTCATCACGCAAGCATGTTATAATAAGAGGCACGATTTATATATTTCATCCTGTTTTCTCAGGTCCTACCAGCTGATCTCCGACTGGGCAGTGTTGCTGACGCAGCTAGTGGCGCACCAAGTGGTCGACGCGTACAACAATAGGTAACTAGTGAGGTGGTGTGGGTTCAATGGTTTGCATCGCGATTGCACAGCTGAGTGACGTGATGTTTGGTTTGAATTTGGAACGTTTTGGCCAGGTTTAAAGTAAATTTTAAAATGTGGCCAGTCCTGCAAATAACATAATTATGACATCCGAACTTTTTGGTGACGAAATTCACAGACTTAAACTGGTCTTCATTGATTGATGTCATTGATTGTTTTCACTCCTTGTTACTGTTATTTCCTTGTTTTCTGTGTGTGTTGTGGGACTTAACCAGTTCATCAATGTGTGCAGCTAGCAGCATACGCTTTCACGGAGGAGGATCGCTAACGACATAACCTACACAGCAAGTCGTCTATCACCCTTCACACCATTCAGCGCTTCGGTGCGAGGTGGATTCAGGGGGCACGATCATCAATGTTACCTTCATACCATTACACCGGGCTTTTGGTTTACTTCCGCAATTAAATCAAAATTACACATTTTCCACTAGCTTCCAATAATCTATTAAAATTTTGCACATGCTGTAATTATTGTCGTGATTAGAGGTAGATGTAGTATACCCATCTCTTTCTCCACTAGTTTAGTCAGACCTGTGATTCCGGCTGAATAGAATAGGATCACCCTTTACCCATGGATGTCGTAAGAGGCGACTAAGGAACAATGGGAACGTCAAGGTTGGAGAGGTCCAACCCGTCTGGCTAGTGTGGGAAATGTAGGCCAATCTATCATTAGCCTCTGGTATTTTTTTTTATTTTTCTTTGTTCGGAAACTTTATAACATTACAAACAGGTAATCTTATAGTTCTTGAATTAGATACAGTCGTCCTCCTACAGTGGAGAATAAATGGCCTGATAATAATGATGATTTGAATTTACTATTTATGAAACAGTTTTGGCAATAACCAAATCAAAAAATATTTATTTCAAATACAATACTTATTACATGTCTACTACAAACACGCCTCTCTTGTAGCGGAGTTTTGGGCTGACACGGTTACGTATACGGTTAGTTGTCGACACGACATGAAAAAGAATACGGCAGCTACGAAAACTTAGAATTAATTGCACCCTCCGTCTCGCAATGGAAATTGTGCTACATAAACCTCTATCACTGACAATGTTATGTACAAACCAAAAAACAAAACACAACCGTGAACAAAGGAACCCTGGATCCGCCAATGGTGCTACTGACGACTTGTTGCGTAGCATGGCTGACCGGGCGGTGTATCCACAAACGTTAATGTAGTCTGTGTCGCAGCAACCTGTTCACGACATTGATCGACATGCTCGCCACGCTCATCCATTCGACGCTCGCCGACGGCGGCGACGACAACAATAGGAAGCACTACCAGAATCTGATGAAGAAGCTGAAGAAAGAGTTGGGAGACCGCCACGGGCCGTCTGTACAGGCTGCCAGGCAGTTATTACCGCTGTCGAAGAACACCATTATAGAGGTCAGTTTGGTTACTCTTGCTGTTTTTTTTTTGCTGATGGAATCATTTTTTTTTTACCAATGCTTAACCTTTTTTGATACTCAAGTGAAAGCGCTGTATCAAAGCTTAAACTTTTTTTGATTCTCAACATAAAGTAGCCATGTTCAATTATCGATAAAAGAGTCGCTATAATGAGCTTTTCAGGCGATAGAAAGTTGGAAAATGTAACACTTCTTCACACCTAGTTTGGGAACTAGCAGTAATCTTAAGTTGTTGTAAGACTTTTATAAGTTCTTCGATTATCTTTATCCTGATTCAGAACTTTAGTTGAGAATAAGTAATTGTTAATCTAAACATATTTTTAGGTCATCGCCTGCGAGCCACTGGGATGTCTCGTGGATCAAAAAGGGAACAAAATAACTGGATTTGACAGCGACAAGAAACAGGTACAAATAAATAAATATTTTTTTACGCAGACCTTTTTACAAACGCTCACTAGAGTTGCAACTCTTTTTAATTCTACAATATTATAAATTCTCGTACGCCAGGGTCTTCGGCTGACGGACAAGCAGCGGGTGTCGTCGTGGGAGCTGATGGAAGGTGGCAGGAACCCCGCACCCCTGTCGTGGGCGTGGTTCGCCGCCACCAAGATCGAGAGGAAACCGCTCACTTACGAAAATGCCCATAGGTCGGTTATTAATCAATTGGATATGGTTCCCACTGTATTTCGAATCGTGTTCCCTTTTGTCAAGGTTCAAATACAAAATTTGAACTCACTATACCCGTTAGGTAGGAAGGGTTAACGTAAATTGGACTTCAATGACTCATAGACCTTTTTGCCTCATACCACTGTTGTAAAGATAAAGATTCTATCAATCTATCTAAAGCTCGCACACTCACTGCGGACGCCCGTCGCACAGTCGCGACAGCAACATAATTACGCGCGAGCGATAGGGATGGATAGCTTGGGGTCATTGGACGGGATTCTACGTGCTCACGGACCAGGCTTTAGCTATAGTCTGACATAAAACTAAGCTTTTTGATATTTTATTGCATATTGCTTTTTATTAACTCATGTAATACGAGGTTATGTGTTTGTAGGTTATTGAAATATCACACGCACAGCCTGGTGAAGCCTCTAAGTTATTATCTGGAACCACTGCCACTGCCGCCAGAAGACCTCGAAACGAATGACAGCAAGCAAGTAAGCGTGAGTTATAACAAAACCTACTTACTTCCTTTGAATGTTCATATTTATTGTAGTTAGCACACAAAAAAAATATGTTTATATCTAACAGGACAATGGAAGCCTAGACTCAAGTCCCACTGGATCTGGGAAGGGCAGGTCACGATCAGCACCTTGCAAGAAAATCAAGAAGCAAAAGGTGACAACACCGGTGAGTTTGAATAATTATGTACTGACGAAGTGACGACGGCATATAAACTCTACGTCATCTGTGATAGGTGCTATTTTGCAACATACATGTATAGTTTAGTCGGTATAGTCGGATGTAGTGTCGCTGTACATAAGTTTTCCATTCATTTAACAGCCCTATTGAGATATTTACGAGTTTGCCTACTGCCGTCAGTGCCTCCGAAAGCCATAACGCCGCCTGTAGTTAGCGCCACTGCTGTACTGGGGTGGGTCAAAAGACTTACCCAGACGTCAGCACGTCATCTTAGCTTGCCGATTAGGAATCTTAAATGAGGCAGATATTGCCTTATGCTATTTTTTCGAATCGTATACTCATTTATGTGGCAATAACGGTTTAATTTTTGAATCCAGACCAACGGCAGCAGCGGGCCGGGCAGCAACGGCAGCGCCAACGGCATGGCGGCGGCGCCGGCGCAGCAGCCGCAGTTCATGCAGCAGCAGCAGCAGTGGTTCCCGCCGCCCGGACAGAACTACTACAACCCGCCGGGTGAGTGGCTCGCTAGCGAGGACAGTAGGCACACACGGCAGCAGCGGGCAGCGACCGGCGCCAACAACATGGCGGCGGCGCCGGCGCAGCAGCCGCAGTTCATGCAGCAGCAGCAGCAGTGGTTCCCGCCGCCCGGACAGAACTACTACAACCCGCCGGGTGAGTGGCTCGCTAGCGAGGACAGTAGGCACACACGGCAGCAGCGGGCAGCGACCGGCGCCAACGGCCGCAGTTCATGCAGCAGCAGCAGCAGTGGTTCCCGCCGCCCGGACAGAACTACTACAACCCGCCGGCTGCCACAGCCAGGCTGCCTAGTGCACGGGAAAACTTGCTTGTCTTTTATAGGCTAGTTCATTAGTTATCAATGAAATGTAAATTTCTATTTTTACTCGCTTTGAAATTGACGAAATATTGACATTATCATCTATTACCCATACAAAGTCTATGGGAGAGACTCAAGTTTTGACAACTTTCAAATGTAAAGCTATTTTGGTTCAAACATGTACAAATACTAAGACTTTGAACTGTAAAAATTGTAATAATTGTTTTGGACCAAATAAACATTTTTCTTTCTTTCTTTTCTTTCTTTCTTTCTTTTCTTTCTTACTTTTCTTTCTTATTCATTACCCCACACGTTTATCTGACGATTTCAATGATTTCTTTGCAGCTGGCGTGAGTCCCCGCGGAGTGGCTCCGCCGTCCAACACGCAGTCCAAGCAGGCGCTCAGCAATATGCTGCGCCAGCGGTTACCCTTCAACCAGATGTCGCAGATGCAGGTAAATGTGTGTAATCAACCAACAACTTATTATCTTTCTCTATTTTTTTAATCCTACTATCCTACTTCCCATTTCCTATTAATATTATAAAGGCAAAAGTTTGGATGTCTGGATGTTTGTTACTCTTTCACGCAAAAACTAATGAACGGATTTGGNTTTTTTCGAAAACTTATCGATACATCTATGTGAACCGTACGAAACATACCCAGCACTAGTCACATTCGTTTGACAGCCGTCATTCTAATCAAGCTATATTGGATAGACTATAAGTAGTCAATTGATTGAGATACTTTTTAAAATTTGTCATATTGTGGCTCTCCCATAAATTTTGTATGGCAAAGACAAGTTATGACGTCAACGTAAATAGGCTATGCCATAAAAAGATTGTAGGTGTAATGAATGAATTATTTCTACTGTCACACTATTGGCGCTACTGTTGCTGTTAAATGACCGGCATCTTGCCTCTCCTTAATCAGCAATATTGCCATCTCTGATTTTTATCTCAGTGATTTGTTATTGAAATCTAACTCCTTTTGGGTTAGACTCTAACTAGACCAAAAGGAGTTAGAATAATGAGTTAGTATTCATTTCTAGCTGTTATTCACTTGTTTTAAAGTCGCATATTGTTCAGGTTTATACTCCGTATCGACGTCGCCGGGTCCGGGCGGCGCGGCCGCGGGCGTGCGATTGTCCTGCGATCGTCACTTGCTCGCCGCCGCGCACAAAAACATTGGAGTTGGGCCAGTTTTAGCTACACTCAAAGCCATACTCAGTAAGTACACAAATAAATACCACTTCATTTACTAGGTGGTACATAATGGTTAATTTTCCTTATTTACGTGGCCTATTTCAACAGTGGTTGGAGACTCAGCCCGTGATGGCGGGAAACCTGGCGGGAAAAAATCCTGCGAACTGTCCCATATATTGGGGACAAGCGACACTGTCCCTACCGATGCACAGCTCGATCTCATGTCGTAAGTTCACATTCATTTTAAAAACAAATCATTTGCACAGTCTTCAGTTACTATTGGTTGCAAATTCAATTCAGTAATAATTCACATAGTAAACTTTGTTCAGCCAATAGTTTGCCTTGACAGTATTCCAGTCAATTTATTTGATACCAGTAGAATCATATCTCATCTTATTCTAATGACAAGAATATTGATATTTTTACAGACATCACGACGGCGTGTTACGTTTAAGTTTTGTTTAAACAGCTATTTTTTATTCTTAGGATGGTAGAGTCAGAGATAAGTGGGGGCCATAGAACTCCTAGGTTTGTTTTTTTTAATATTGAGTTTCACGGTTGCACATTGTCACGGTTCCCCCTAGCTTCACGTCCCTGTGGGTCACCCNTGGCGGAATCACCAGCAAATAGATACAGCTTTGTGTGCTCTGCCATGCTCGCTGTTTGTCGTGAAGTTGACAACGATAGGTAAGCATGCGATCCACAATCCACATACTATGGATTCTATTTTGGAGACCTTTTACATTTGCTTTATAACTAACCTTGCGCGCCAGAAGTTTTTTAACACCTTTTTTGACAGTTAGTAAGTTTTGTCTTATTTTTTACCCAACTGCAATAGAAGTAGGGTTACGTTTTTACCCGACTTCGCCAGAAGGAGGGTTATTGTATAGGATACTTTCAGTAAATGTATGCGTTGCTCTTTACTGTTTATAAGGGATTTAACTTAAAGGAGAAAAGTACGTGGATAGTTTTTAACCCTATTTTGTATTTTCTAGGGTGAACGAGCTCGGCGTACTATGCGCGGAAATGACCGCCTGGTGCAGTGGCCTAGCCGCCGAGTGGCTAGGTGCCTTAGTGGCTCTATGCGGGGCACAACACTATCCCCAGTCTGCCCCGCATGCGGCCCCGCCGCCACTGTATCCAGACCTGTTGCACCATAGGGACTTGCATGATGCGGCGGCTCATGATGCATTGGCTGTGTTCACGTGTATACTAGTAGGTAAGTTGATAAAACCGGATTTGATTTGAATGTTTGTCACAAATAAAAAGTTGAAAGTTGATAAAACTGGATTTGACTGTTTGTTACAAAGGAAGAAATGTGATTATGAATAGGCCTAAATAAGGAAGCAGATTAGTCTCATAATGTTGGACGCCAATGAAGGTTTTCGCGATTTAAAAATCCGCCAGATGGCAATACGTAGACGTGAGGTCCAAATGCTGCATGATTGGTTATCTTTGACATGACATTGACAGATATGTCAAAATCCACTCTCACCTTCATTGTTATGATGTAATGGTATTTACAGTACAGTTATTATTTGTCTGTCAATCAACATCTTCCTTCAATGAAAAATGAAAAACTTTATGCATCCATAATAACCTGATTTTAATGAAGAAAGTCTTAATCTGCCGTCTCTCTCCAATAGCAACCGTTAAAACGTGGCAAGACACATAATATTCATACGTGACGTGCAAACGTGATAAATTTATAAATGCATTATGATTGACTGATTGATCTTCAAATAAAAAAAAACACCCACAGGGATCACAAAACAACTTTTCAACAAACCTTCTTTATTTATTTGTTAGAAATTTTATTGCCCATAAATTAGATACAAATTCAACCTAACCTTTCATTGTCCAGCTCGCCACTGCTTCTCACTGGAAGACTTCGTGCGGCACGCGGCGTTACCGTCTCTCGTGAAGGCGTGTGGGGGCGCCGGTGTTAGCGGCAACCCGGCCAACGCGCCGTCGCCCGATACTGGCGCCAGGCTTACTTGCCACCTCTTGCTGAGGCTCTTCAAGACTGTCGACACTCCGCAACCAGGTACACTATTATCGTTAAATGATTTTCTCTACACTGCAGGAAAACTACTCTCTCTTATTTAACAAACATTTGAGGATATACCCTACACTTGCTACGCTCACCAGACTTTTTGGGGAGGCGCTATGGCATGTTTATCCCTTTGTCGCCTTCGCTCGTGAAAGCGTGCGGCAGTGTCGGTGTTAGCGGCAACCCGGCCAACGCGCCGTCACCCGATACAGGCAGCAGGCTTGCCGCAGGCAAACGGAGGACTAGGCCTACACTCCCTAAGTTGGCTGGCCTGCCATACTCCTATCTCATACCCTTATCACTGCCTCTTATCACTGGACCTTTTGGTTCTCAGCCGCTAATAAAAAGAATAAATTCATTTTAAAAGCCCTTAGTCACTTGTTTTAAAGTTGCTTCTTGTTCAGGTTTATACTCCGTCTCAACGTCACCGGGTCCTGGCGGCGCGGCCGCGGGCGTGCGATTGTCCTGCGATCGTCACTTACTCGCCGCCGCGCACAAAAATATTGGAGTTGGGCCAGTTCTAGCCACGCTCAAGGCCATTCTCAGTAAGTCATTATAAATATTACTTGAATAACTGAAACTGATACACAATTATGACTTGTTATATATTAATGTGGCTGGTGACTGGTTTTTCAATAGTGGTTGGTGACTCAGCCAGAGACGGCGGCAAACCTGGGGGCAAAAAATCCTGCGAACTGTCCCATATACTGGGGACTAGCGACACTGTCCCTACCGATGCACAGCTCGATCTCATGTCGTAAGTTCACATCCATTTTAAAAACAAATCATTTGCATAGTCTTCAGTTACTATTGGTTGCAAATTCAATTCAGTAATAATTCACATAGTAAACTTTGTTCAGCCAATAGTTTGCCTTGACAGTATACCAGTCAATTTATTTGATACCAGTAGACTCATATCTCATCTTATTCTAATGACAAGAATATTGATATTTTTACAGACATCATGACGGCGTGTTACGTTTAAGTTTTGTTTAAACAGCTATTTTTTATTCTTAGGATGGTAGAGTCAGAGATAAGTGGGGGCCATAGAACTCCTAGGTTTGTTTTTTTTAATATTGAGTTTCACGGTTGCACATAGTCACGGTTCCCCCTAGCTTCACGTCCCTGTGGGTCACCTCCGCGGCCGTCACCCGCTTCGCTTCCCTCCATGTTGTGTTGCTAACTCATGATCAAATGTCTAATATAAACATTTCCAAACACTCATTCTATCCTTCTTCATCTCATCTCATCCTCCTAAAGCTTACAGTGGATGTCAACGAGTATTCGTACTTCACCTTCTTGTTAATAAACCTGTGTTGTAAAATATGTTATAACAATAAACTAATGTAGTTTATACCTACTCCGACTTTACTACACAATATCTCTAAACTACATATTTACTCCCCATGGGATTTGTGCGACTTTCATTTACATTTTTGTACAAAGGGAGACATACTCAACAGCTTCAAACAATTTAAAATTACATGTACATACAGTGTAACTAATCGTTATGAAACTTAATAAATAAATACATAAAAATTAACCACATCTTTTCTACTTTACGGATTCGGGTGCCTATGAACGTAATCTCTGTGTGCACATAATCTATGTTAGATGTTTTCTTAAATCAAAGCAAGTTCAATTCGAACATTTGACTTTCAGAATTGAGACTTGTGATTCACATACATAAATCAACTAAATACGTCGCTTGAATCAGCACCTGTGTTCGGCAAGCTTTGTCTGTTGTGTGTTTCACACATGTGTTTCTTAGCGTCACTGTCTAGACGCGTACGTGGCATTATACGCTTGGCGTACGCGTGCTTGCATCTTACATACGAAACAATGTAACTTTGTCAACAGAACGGTAGCATCGCGTTTGCAAAGTTGTATGCAGGCGTACACCTAAGTTAGGTGTACGCGCATTTGTACGTTAGATGACCTAACGTACAAATACGTGTACGTGTCTAGTACGCTTGAGACAGTGAAGCTTAGAGTGGGATACACCAAGCCGTAACTGATTGTAATATTGCAGAGGCAGTGGTGGTGTCGGATCGACGTTGTTAGATTCTTCGCAGTCGCTGTCGTCACTAGCGCGACGCGTTCTAGCGGAGATCTGTTCCGAGGAGTGGGTGCTTCAGAAGTGTCTGCAAAACCCCGATGAACTGTACCAGCCTGACATGCTTCTAGATTCGATGCTGACGCCACGGCAGGCGCAGAGGTAAATTGTAAACAATTGTAGTTTTACACACGTATAGTGGGCCACAGTTCTCTTTACCCATTTTCGTTCATGTTGTCTCATTTTATCGCAAAGATTTGCTATTTGATGAGCGAAAGAAAAAATGGAAATGGCTAGTGGCCCACTGTACAATGGCCATTGGCCACGCATTATCTCGCATATTTTACTCGATTATATTCGATATGTACTAATGTTTACTATCTGTAACAGGTTGCTACACATGATATGCTATCCAGATTCAGCGAGTCATACACATCCAGATTTGGACCAAAAGACGATGATAACTCGTTTGTTAGAGGTAATCATTTGTGCTTATTTTTGCCCAGCATAATGTTAACATACCCTACACTTTCGATTGATCGTTAATTGTTTTCATTCATAGAACTTAGAGCAGTGGTCACTTCGTATGTCGTGGCTGGATCTGCAGCTGATGTTCAAGCAGTTTCCGAATGGGTCGTCCGAGCTGAGCGCGTGGCTCGATACGGTCGCGCGAGCTGTCATCAATGTGTTCCAACAGCCGGCGCCGCCGCCGCCTGATAAGGACAGGTAATCATCTCTCTCTATCTGTAAAAACTTCTCCCGGGATAAACTTGACTTTCCTTGGTGTTGGAAACCAACAAAAAGTTTTTAATACTCTTTACTTTTTCTTACAAAACAAAATAAAATCACTTCTTCACTTTGACAGCTGAAAAAAAGTCGTTTCATTTATACATTTTATCCATATTTTAATACATTATTCAGTAATTCATACATTTTATATTTAATTTATGTCATAAGATACACTTGGTTGGGTTTTTATGGCGGTCAAGCTGTAGATCATGGCTACACAGGAGTTGCAGCGGTGGGAACGAGAGGTGGGAATAGTCCCGTGTCTGTAAAAAGTAAACAGCTGGTAGAAGCTGAATGCNCTGAATGCGATAAGCCGAAGACAGGGTAAAATGGCGAGCATTGGGTTTAAAGTGCGTTCATTTTCCAAGATGAAATAAAAAGGCAAGATAAGCCTTTAAATGTCCCGCAGCAGGGTAAAGGCCTCACTCCAACTGTGGTGTGGATTTTTGTATGATACTGTGAATTGCTGGTAATATTTTTCAAAACCACGCCCACTGTCTTTGAGGCCACACCCACTTCTATTTCAAGCCTTATTTCACTGTTCGTTTCAGCCAACTGACGTCTTCTGTTGTATTTAACTGTATCACATAATGTAATCGTGCTCTTTATTGCTTTGTTCAGGACCGGCACAGACCGCAGCGTGGTCAGTACCAGCAAGTGGTCGGAATCGGTGTGGCTTGTAGCACCGCTGGTTGCCAAGCTGCCTCCCGCTGTGCAAGGCCGCGTGCTGAAACAAGCTGGCCAGGTAAGATACACAGTGTTTTGTTTTCTTCTTCGATGGCAATAAGTATTTAAAATACGAAAATTTAGATACACAGTGTTTTGTTTCTTTCTCAATGCTTTTTTTTAAATAATGAGATAGCTGTCCTATAATGTAATTGTAGAATAGCTACAGTGTTTTATTTTCTTCGATGACAATGTTAAAAATAAAGAGAGAAACGTCACGGCATGGCATAGGTAAGAGACTTTGTTTGATTTTCTTCAGATATTGGAAAGCGGATGGGGCGCCGGTTGTAGCGGTAACTGCTCTAGTGGAAGTGGCAGTAGTGGTGGCTCTCACCGCGACTGCAAGAGCCATCAGAGCCCGAGCTATAAAGGGTAAGTCTAATTGATCTTACTTAATTGTATTGTTGTCGAAAATTATTTTTATTTATTTTACTAGTGAATTTACTTTTGCACGTTGATTGCTCTCTGAAACAGCTTCTTGTTAACACAGATTTGCCCTGATAGTGGTGCTGCTTAAAAGTTGTTAGCGGAAAGAATGTTACATTTTGAAGTAATCTGAAGCACCGTGACCTGACAATGTAGATGTGTCCCAAGGAACGCCTTGGTTTTTATCATTACTGCTACCCGCTAAAGTTGACTAATTAAGTCACGAACTACGCAGGTCATCAAGCGGCGGCGGCGGCGGCAAACGCGGTGTGGGCGGCGGCGCCTGCGCAACTGCCTGCGGCTGCGGCGGCGGCGGACAAGTGCGTCTTGCCAACGAACCGCTGCTATCTCTCGTATTGACTTGTTTACGTCACCAGGACGACCAGAAGGTATGCACACATATTGGTCATTTATTGTGTGTATCAAACATACAGGGTGATTTTTACACACACATTTTGTTTTCTTTTTTTTTAAGGGCCGATTTTTCAGTCGCCAGATATCTTTTAACTGAAGAATAAGTTTGGCACATTGGCAGTTTCAGTATGGGAAATATGTCAAAATGACAAGTTTATTCTTCAGTTAAAAGATATCTGACTATTGAAAAACCAGCCCTTATATGAACAGTGGCTCTTTTCTGTTGACTAATCAATCACTTTTATTATTATTTTATTTGCAGCAAGAGAGTCTACTGAGCTCCATCCACGCGCAGCTACAACACTACCTGACGCACGCGCGCGACCACGAGCGCTCGGCGTGCAGCGACACGTGGCAGGACGAGGCGGCGCCCGAGGCTCTGCAACTGCGCTTCTCGCTGGCGGGCGGCATGTTCGACACCATCCGCAGGTAGCCACCCTTAGTGTACTAGCAGGCAGGACACACCACTGGCCCTCAGCTCCATCCACGCGCAGCTACAACACTAAAGCCTGGTCCGTGAGCACGTAGAATTTTGTCCAATGACCCCAAGCTACCCATCCTTATCGCTCGCGCGTAATTATATTGCTGTCGCGACTGTGCGACGGGCGCCCGCAGTGAGTGTGCGAGCGCGACAGCAACATAATTACGCGCGAGCGATAAGGATGGGTAGCTTGGAGTCATAGGACAAAATTCTACGTGCTCACGAACCAGGCTTACCTGACGCATGCGCGCGACCACGAGCGCTCGGCGTGCAGCGACACGTGGCAGGACGAGGCCGCGCCCGAAGCGCTGCAGCTTCGCTTCTCGCTGGCGGGCGGCATGTTCGACACCATCCGCAGGTAGCCACGCTCAGTGTATTACAGGGAGGATACACCACTGGCCCTCAAGAGAGCCCACTGAGCTCCATTCACTCGCAGCTACAACACTTCTCGCTGGCGGGCGGCATGTTCGACACCATCCGCAGGTAGCCACGCTCAGTGTATTACAGGGAGGATACACCACTGGCNAGCTGAATGCCACAAGCCGAAGACAGGATAAGATGGCGAGCATTGGGGTTAAAGTGCGTTCATTTTCCATGATGAAATAAAGGAGGCAAGACAAGCCTTTAAATGTCCCGCAGCAGGGTAAAGGCCTCACTCCAACTGTGGTGTGGATTTTTGTGTCATACTGTGACTTGCTCGTAATAGTTTGCAAAACCACGCCCACTGTCTTTGAGGCCACACCCACTTTTCTATTTCAAGCCTTATTTCACTGTTCGTTTCAGCCAAATGACGTCTTCTGTTCTGTATTTCACTGTATTACTTTATATTGTAGTTATGTTCTTTATTGCTTAATTCAGGACCGGCACAGACCGCAGCGTGGTCAGTACCAGCAAGTGGTCGGAGTCGGTGTGGCTTGTAGCACCGCTGGTGGCCAAACTGCCACCCGCTGTGCAAGGCCGCGTGCTGAAACAAGCTGGCCAGGTAGGATACACAGTGTTTTGTTTTCTTTCTCAATGCATTTTTTTTAAATAATGAGATAGCTTTCCTTTATTGTAATAGGGTATTTGACACCACCAATCAATTGACGTACTTTTTAAAACTGTCAAAACGACACTCTCCCATAGATTTTGTACGGCAATACTAGCATGTGACGTCACAATTTTATCAACTCAATGAAACTACTTTTTTCAATTATAATGCAACCAAAAATCGTAATTTACAGGTAATTAAAAATTATTTAAGTTTTTAAGACCAGAAAGAAGTGTCTTTTTAAAAAAGTTGTGCTTTAGAATTATTGGGAAATGGTGTCAAATACCCAATTGTAGAATAGCTACAGTGTTTTGTTTTCTTCGATGACAGTGTTAAAAATAAAGAGAGAAACGTTACGGCATGGCTGGGGTAAGAGACTTTGTTTGATTTTCTACAGATATTGGAAAGTGGATGGGGTGCCGGCTGTAGCGGTAACTGCTCTAGTGGAAGTGGGAGCAGCGGTGGTTCTCACCGCGACTGCAAGAGCCATCAAAGTCCGAGCTACAAAGGGTGAGCAATAACACTTCATTATACTAACGGTTATTAAGAAACGACAGACTTGCCTTCAGCACGTTACTGTTGGCCCTCTGAAATAGTTTCTGGTTGGCACCTCCACGGTGCCTTAAGCTAAAAGGAAGATATATTTTGAACTAAACTGATGCAAAGATCAGCTCTTAAAATGTGAATGTGCTCAAGGAAAGATTTGGCTTCCACGGTCATGTAGCATCTTTGTGTATTCATCTGAATTTATTGTATTGTTGTTATACTCTGAGGTTGACTTCAATAATAAATAAATAATGAACTACGCACGCAGGTCGTCGAGCGGCGGCGGCGGCGGCAAACGCGGCGTGGGCGGCGGCGCCTGCGCAACTGCCTGCGGCTGCGGCGGCGGCGGGCAAGTGCGCCTGGCCAACGAGCCGCTGCTGTCGCTCGTACTGACTTGTTTACGTCACCAGGATGACCAAAAGGTATGACACATGTTGAATTCTCCAGTATCATATACACTGGTAAAATTATTCTTCTGTAATGAGCTTAACTGCCCTCCCCTGCCCCTTACAAGTCCCCCATCTTAGCTTTCACGGCGGTGGCACTGCAGCAAAGTACCACACCTTTTGTAGTGTCATAGAGTATTGCTCATGCCCGCGGCATCCGCAACCCGCAGAAAATTAAAACATAAATTGTGTGTGACCCGTAGCGTGTAATTTTACGCCTGCGGGCCAATCCCGCGTTCGTAAATAGCTGAATCGACATTGACAACTTTTTTGACAGTTTTATTTTTATAATTTAACGTAATGATATACTTCAATTGCAGCAAGAGAGTCTACTGAGTTCCATCCACGCGCAGCTACAACACTACCTGACGCACGCGCGCGACCACGAGCGCTCGGCGTGCAGCGACACGTGGCAGGACGAGGCCGCGCCCGAGGCGCTTCAGCTGCGCTTCTCGCTGGCGGGCGGCATGTTCGACACCATCCGCAGGTAGCCGCCCTTAGTGTACTAGCAGGGAGGACACACCACTGGCCCTCAGCCCCATCCACGCGCAGCTACAACACTAAAGCCTGGTCCGTGAGCACGTAGAATTTTGTCCAATGACCCCAAGCTACCCATCCTTATCGCTCGCGCGTAATTATATTGCTGTCGCGACTGTGCGACGGGCGCCCGCAGTGAGTGTGCGAGCGCGACAGCAACATAATTACGCGCGAGCGATAAGGATGGGTAGCTTGGAGTCATTGGACAAAATTCTACGTGCTCACGAACCAGGCTTACCTGACGCACGCGCGCGGCCACGAGCGCTCGGCGTGCAGCGACACGTGGCAGGACGAGGCGGCGCCCGAGGCGCTTCAGCTGCGCTTCTCACTGGCGGGCGGCATGTTCGACACCATCCGCAGGTAGCTTAGACAAAGACATATCCCGATTTGCTATAATCAATCCCAATCCAAATCCATCCGTCAACTGTCAAATTTTAATCTGTTTTTGATCAGCATAGAGGAATACTGGCCCTCATCGATGCGTCGCCACGCGGCAAGCACGACGAGCGCGATCAATGCCATTGCATTCTTTGGTTGCGGCGCTGCAGTGGCACGTTTGTCAGAGTGTCGCGACGCGACCGTGTCTTGTTACGCCAGCCAACCAGGAGCACGATTTTCTGGTGTATTTTAGAGGGTAGTGCAATGGAGACAGGGACCTCATGATGATAGTGATCGGACACTTGCTCACAGACGTCCGCCTAATTGACAAAAAATCGCGCGACCAAACGATGCGGTTTCGTCTCGTGATGAATAATACATAAATCTAATATTATTAAAAATACATAAATCTCTGTAAAATGTAATTGAAGTATGTAAGTCATCAGCATCACGCAAGCATGTGATAATAAGAGGCACGATTTAAGTATTTCATCCCGTTTTCTCAGGTCCTACCAGCTGATCTCCGACTGGGCAGTGTTGCTGACGCAGCTAGTGGCGCACCAAGTGGTCGACGCGTACAACAATAGGTAACTAGTGAGGTGGTGTGGGTTCAATGGTTTGCATCGCGATTGCACACTGCTGAGTGACGTGACGTTTGGTTTGAATTTGGAACGTTTTGTCCAGGTTTAAAAGTAAATTTTAAAATGTGGCCAGTCCTGCAAATAACATATGACATCCGAACTTTTTGGTGACGAAATTCACAGACTTAAACTGGTCTTCATTGATTCATGTCATTGATTGTTTTCACTCCTTGTTACTGTTATTTCCTTGTTTTCTGTGTGTGTTGTGGGACTTAACCAGTTCATCAATGTGTGCAGCTAGCACCATACGCTTTCACGGAGGAGGATCGCTAACGACATAACCTACACAGCAAGTCGTCCATCACCCTTCACACCATTCAGCGCTTCGGTGCGAGGTGGATTCAGGGGGCACGATCATTTCAATGTTACCTTCATACCATTACACCGGGCTTTTGGTTTACTTCCGCAAATAAATCAAAATTACACATTTTCCACTAGCTTCCAATAATCTATTAAAATTTTGCACATGCTGTAATTATTGTCGTGATTAGAGGTAGATGTAGTATACCCATCTCTTTCTCCACTAGTTTAGTCAGACCTGTGATTCCGGCTGAATAGAATAGGATCACCCTTTACCCATGGATGTCGTAAGAGGCGACTAAGGAACAATGGGAACGTCAAGGTTGGAGAGGTCCAACCCGTCTGGCTAGTGTGGGAAATGTAGGCCAATCCACCATTAGCCTCTGGTAAATTTTATTTTATTTTTCTTTATTCAGAAAACCACTGCTCTTTATAATATTACAAACAGGTAATGTTTTAGTTCTTGAATTAGATACAGTCGTCCTCCTACAGTGGAGAATAAATGGCCTGATGATAATGATGATTTGAATTTACTATTTACGAAACAACCTTTTTGGCAATTGCCAAATCAGAAAATACAATATTTGTCTACTACAAATATGGCAGCTACGAAAACTTAGAATCATTTGCACCCTCCACCCCTATCGTTACCAAAAAAAAGTAAATGCTACATTAACCTCTATCACCGACAATGTTAAGTACAAACCAAAAAACAAAACACAACCGTGAACAAAGGAACCCTGGATCCGCCAATGGTGCTACTGACGACTTGTTGCGTAGCATGGCTGACCGGGCGGTGTATCCACAAACGTTAATGTAGTCTGTGTCGCAGCAACCTGTTCACGACATTGATCGACATGCTCGCCACGCTCATCCATTCGACGCTCGCGGACGGAGGTGACGACAACAATAGGAAGCACTACCAGAATCTGATGAAGAAGCTGAAGAAGGAGTTGGGAGACCGCCACGGGCCGTCCGTGCAGGCTGTCAGGCAGTTATTACCGCTGTCGAAGAACACCATTATAGAGGTCAGTTTAATTATTATTATAGTTTACTCTTTGTTTGTATTGATGTCTCTTCCTTTGTTTATTTGCTAATAGAAACAAATCTGTATTAGTCTAAAATGTTGATATTCAACACATTATACACTGTTCCGTGTAATGCTAAAAGTAAGTCTAAATTAGCTATTCTGATGTGAAAAAATTTAACACACTGCCTGTACATCATATGCCACTGTGTTGGTACCTTTTCTTGGTGTAAAATTCTGTCTGATTGTGGACTAGTAAGTAATGTAAATATTTATTTTAGGTCATCGCCTGCGAGCCACTGGGATGTCTCGTCGACCAAAAAGGGAACAAGATTACTGGTTTTGACAGCGACAAGAAACAGGTACGAATAAATAAATATTTTTTCCGCAGACCTTTTTACAATCGCTAATTAGAGTTGCAACTCTTTTGAACTCTACAATATATAAATTCTCATACGTCAGGGTCTTCGGCTGACGGACAAGCAACGGGTGTCGTCGTGGGAGCTGATGGAAGGTGGCAGGAACCCCGCCCCCCTGTCGTGGGCGTGGTTCGCCGCCACCAAGATCGAGAGGAAACCGCTCACTTACGAAAATGCCCATAGGTCGGTTATGAGGAAATTGGAATATGATTCCCACTGTATTTTGAATCGTGTTCCCTTTTGTTAAGGTTCAAAGACAAAATTTGAACTGACTATACCCGTGGAAGGGTTAACGTAAATTGGACTTCAATGACTCATAGACCTTTTTGCCTCATACCACTTTTGTACACTGTGGTAACGAGTAAATGTAACCTGTTTTGAGACAATACTTTCTAAAGCCTGGTCCGTGAGCACGTAGAATCCCGTCCAATGACCCCAAGCTACTTATCCCTATCGCTCGCGCGTAATTATGTTGCTGTCGCGACTGTGCGACGGGCGCCCGCAGTGAGTGTGCGAGCGCGACAGCAACATAATTACGCGCGAGCGATAGGGATGGGTAGCTTGGGGTCATTGGACGGGATTCTACGTGCTCACGGACCAGGCTTTATCAATCTATAGTCTGACATAAAATAAAGCTTTTTAATATTTTATTGCATATTGCTTTTTACTAACTTAAGTAATACGAGGTTATGTGTTTGTAGGTTATTGAAATATCACACGCACAGCCTGGTGAAGCCTCTAAGTTATTATCTGGAACCACTGCCACTGCCGCCAGAAGACCTCGAAACGAATGACAGCAAGCAAGTAAGCGTGAGTTACAATAAAACCTACTTACTTCCTTTGAATGTTCATCTTTATTGTATCTAGCACACTGAAAAAATATTTTTATAACAGGACAATGGAAGCCTAGACTCAAGTCCTACTGGATCTGGGAAGGGAAGGTCACGATCAGCACCTTGCAAGAAGATCAAGAAGCAAAAGGTCACAACACCGGTGAGTTTGACTAATTGTGTACTGACGACGGCATATAAACTCTACGTCATCTGTGATAGGTGCTATTTTGCAACATACATGTATAGTTTTGTCGGTATAGTCGGATGTAGTGTCGCTGTACATGGGTTTTCCATTCAATAAACAGCCCTATTGAAATATTTACTAGTGGTGGTAATCGCGAGTGTCTAACGCAATATCCACTGCTGTACTGGGGTGGGTCAAAAGACTTACCCAGACGTCAGTATGCCATCTTAACTTGGCAATTAGGAATCTTAAATGAGGCAGATAATGCCCTATGCAATTTTTTCGAATCGTGTACTCATTTATGTGGCAATAACGGTTTAATGTTTGAATCCAGACCAACGGCAGCAGCGGGCCGGGCAGCAACGGCAGCGCCAACGGCATGGCGGCGGCGCCGGCGCAGCAGCCGCAGTTCATGCAGCAGCAGCAGCAGTGGTTCCCGCCGCCCGGACAGAACTACTACAACCCGCCGGGTAAGCAATGATGATGTTTTATTTGAAGAAAACAATAACTTCAAGGCACACTTCTAAGGCCTCCTGAGCACTAGGCTGCGGCAGCTAATATATGAAAATTCTTAGCTGCCTAGTGCGCGTGCTGCATGGAGTGTTTATACATATACCGGATTGGCTGCCACAGCGAGGCTGCCTAGTGCACGAGAAAACTTGCTTGAAGCGTTTTATAGGCTAGTTCATTAGTTATCAATGAAATGTGAATTTCTATTTTTACTCGCTTTGAAATTGACGAAATCTTGACATTATCTATTACCCATACAAAGTCTACGAGAGAGACTAAAGTTTTGACAACTTTCAAAAAGTTTTTTATGTAAAGCCATTTTGGTTCAAACATGTACAAATACTAAGACTTTAAAATTGTAATAATTGTTTTGGACCAAATAAATTTTTTCTTTCTTACTTTTCTTTCTTATCTTTCTTTCTTATCTTTCTTTCTTATCTTTCTTTCTTTTCTTTCATTCTTTTCTTTCTTACTTTTCTTTCTTATTCATTACCCCACACGTTTATCTGACGATTTCAATGATTTCTTTGCAGCTGGCGTGAGTCCCCGCGGAGTGGCTCCGCCGTCCAACACGCAGTCCAAGCAGGCGCTCAGCAATATGCTGCGCCAGCGGTTACCCTTCAACCAGATGTCGCAGATGCAGGTAAATGTGTGTAATCTACCAACAACTTATTATCTTTCTCTATTTTTTTAATCCTACACCTACTATAATATTATGAAGGCGAAAGTTTGGATGTCTGGATGTTTGTTACTCTTTCACGCAAAAACTACTGAACGGATTTTGTTAAAACTTTACAGTATTATTGTTTATAACCCAGATTAACATAATATAGGCTATAATTTATGACGATATGTGACAATCCTACTAATATTATAAAGGCAAAAGTTTGGATGTCTGGATGTTTGTTACTTTTCACGCAAAAACTACAGAAAGGGTTTTGTTGAAACTTTACAGTATTATTGTTTATAACCCAGATTAACATATAGGCTATAATTTATGACGATATGTGACAAATTTTCAATAAATAAATAAGAGTTGTCTAAAAAGCAGCGAGACTTGTGTTTCAGACTTATATGCTCTGTCATATTGTCACCACTTTCGTGCGGCTCCCATACCTGAGGCACTAACTTGTTTTTAGTTATAAGAAACTTTGGTACTTAAATAAAATTATTTATTTATTTAACTTAGGCCCATTTTCCACCAAGGCGGAGCGGAGAAATGTTTTGATAACCAATCAGATTTCATTCAGATTGAATGAAATCGCTCCGCCTCTTGGTGAAAACCGAGCGTTAGTTATGAGACCTGAAATTTAGATTTAGCCAATCAGGAACTTTACCAACCTACAATTTGTGATTTTAACTTTTAGCAAGGGACCGGGTATCCAGGAGCCCCCCCTCATGCAAGAGCGCCTTTCCCGCGCCAGGGCATGAGGCAGATGCAGCCCAACCAAATGGGGCAGATGCAACCGACGTAAGTGTAAAGACCACAATAATATTGAAAAGAACGTAATGTTGTGTTTTAGCAACTATCCTAGTATCCATAATACATCTAAAACGTGGTCCATGAGTAATTATTTTTAATTATGTTGCTATCGCGCTCACACACTCACTGCGGGCGCGCGTCGCACAGTCGCGACAGCAATATAACTACGCGCGAGCAATAAGGATGGGTAGCTTGGGGTCATTGAAAAAAATTCTACGTGCTCACGGACCAGGCTTTAGTTCGATTTCATGACAGATTAATACCTAATACGATAACTACCAACTGTATCATTCATTTTAAATAAATAATTAAAAAAATCGTACTGCCTAAGGCGGGAAAAGTTTTTCAAGTTGTTTATTTAAAATTTAGTTTGAGAAGTGACTCTAATAGTTAAGAAAATTTATAACTATTGTGTCATTATGTAAGTAATTCAATTCTTGCAGTCAAATGAATCCTATGGGAGGAATGAGCCAAATGGGACCAATGGGCCAAATGGGTGGAGTACAAATGCCGGGGCAAATGGGAGCCGGACAGATGGGTGCGGGACAAATGGGGGCAGGCCAGATGGGCGCGGGGCAAATGAACCAGGGCCAGATGGGAGGCATGGGTGGACAGATGTTCGGAGGACAGTATGGTGGGATGCAGCAAGGATACGGAGGCTATGGGCAGCAGATGATGCAAGGAGGGCAGCAACAGATGATGAATCAGGTAATAAGAATTTATAAATAGAAATTATCTTGTGCAGGGCTACGCCTAGGCGTATTGCACGTCGACCCATTCTTCTGCTTCCCTTTACCTTTATTCCCGTCATCCGCTAAAATTCTATCCATTAGGTGAATCAAGTGCTTGGGTGAGAGAGTCCTTCTAGTGCCGCATAAGCCGACCCCAGTAGGCCTAAGATGCGCGCCGTGATAACTTTTATCGACGTCAAAATGTATGGGCAAAATCGATAAAATGGCGTGATAACCACTTATCGCGACGCGCATCTTAGGCCTACAGGAGACCCATCCTAGTTAAGACTCGAGCTCTTTCATTTATTTCAATATTGTCTATCTTCCAGGGAATGGGTCAGGGCGTAAACCAGATGGGTCAACAAGTAAATCCTATGGGCCAACAAGTCAACACAATAGGTCAAAATGTAGGCCAGATGAGTCAAGGCGTGGGCCAGTCGGGGCAAATGCCTCAGGGCATGGGACAAATGGCCCAAGGAATGGGGCAGATGGGTCAACCCATGGGCCAGATGGGGCAAATGGCCCAAAGCGGAGCCATGGGTGGCATGAACAACCAAGGTGGCAATATGGGCCCACAAGGGGGTAACGCGATGGGCGGATTCCCTGGACAACAATCATTCCAACAGGTATGTATTCAAGTAATTTAATTATTTATTAAATAACTAATTACATGTGTTTATCGATATTGTTAACAATTGCTCTATTTTGCTTTAGAATATGATGGGAGGTCGGGCAAGCCAAGAGGCATACCTTGCTCAACAGAGGCAAAATGCTCGTCCACAATATATGCAGGTTAGTTTTAACGTATTTTTAATAAGGGGTAATTATAATGTCGCAATCAGGGTGAATATTTACATTTATACCTTTCTATTTATGTAATTTATTTAACAAAATAGTGCCAAAAAATGCCAGTAAATTTATTCCTGTACGTAATTCTTCCAGGCGCCAAACGTAACTATGGGTGGAATGGGCGGTCCCGCGCCGCCGTATCCACGCACCATGCAGCCGCAGCAAAGCGCTCAGTACCAGCAGCAGATGACTCAGCAGCGCATGCGACAGCAGATGCTGGCTATGCAGCAGCAGCAACAGCAGGGCCCGCTAGTTCAGCATCTACAGCGACAGCCTTACCAGCCACCGTACTAATAAATTGACTACACTCGCGAGCAAAAGTATATCGCCCTGTTTGTTAAGAACGACCGTAAGAACTAAATGACTAATAGAAGATAAATAAAAATGGTACCATTTTAAAGGTAATATTATATACTTTAATTTGATACCATAGATACATTCATAGGCATTCAGTTCTTACGATGAAAATTTCAAAACACAAGAGGGTGATTCCATACTTTTGCTCGTAAGTATAGAATCAACCCTGACGCTTCTATGTGGATGTGATGGAGAATCATAGCCACGCAGCAGCGGCAAAGCTAGTAGATTCTGTTTACTTGCAGCGTTAACTCTCCAGCCGTCCCAATAAACTGTCATATCAACTGAAAATTCTCGCTTATTCAAAGCAACTACGTTATGGATTGTAAGCGTTACAAAAACTATGGTATTGGTAGAAAAGTAGAATTTCCTATATTCATAATTTGTCAGAAATATAAATTATGTTCTGTGGTACATGTAAAGGCCCATTAGATTAGATGCACCGAACTCATTCCAAGTAAGTTTCGCGCGTCTCGAGAATTTTGAAATGGTACTGCCGCTCTTGCAGTCGACAATTCATATAAAGAAATAGTTTTATACGCAAGTGCCTCCGCATGCTTTGATGGTTTCCCCAAACCAAATATCCAAGAGAATATTTTATCTATAAAAAAAAATTCTAGCTAAGCTATCGTATGAGGCGTCTTTATAAACTGACTGACAGATCACTACCGGTGGTGTCTTTGTAAAATTAAGATCTATGCCTATACCACTGTAAGGCCTTCAGTATATAGTAATAAGAATAATTTAATAATTATTTTGAATTAAATGTAAATTATATCGAATATTATAATTAGGTACAATTTATATGCATAGTAGGATTAAGAATTAATCTGTATCTTTAGAGTTTAAGTGAGACAACATTATCACCGGCTCCTGAGGTCGGCGACAATAATTAGCAGCTTGAATGATGAACCAATCACAGCAATGAACAATGCTGATAACTTTTGTCAGAGCTCAGAAACTGGCGATCTGTCTGGTACAAACTTAAAGTGTACTTTCAAATTATATTTTTCTAGGTCCCTTTATTATTTTTATATTATGTCCTTTTGTATTTGAGCTAATTATGATACGTTTGTTTAAATTTTATTTCGGAACACTGAGTTTGATAATTATTTATGTAGTACTCGTATTTTGTACTCTATAATCTCCCAAATAATGTAAATAATGTTACATAATATTATACAATGACTTAGATGAATGAAATTTGGTGTTTTATTTGCAATCGTGATAAACTTATTATGCAGAACACCTTGATTTAAATAAGTATTTACTACAGAGCTAAACACGACCTGCCTGGGGACTCAAGGGCATGGAGTCTTGAAAGTGCCGAGTTAATTTCTGTTCTAGTTGTACAAGACTAGTTCAGTGTAAAATCATGATGGGTCCTGTGGCCCAACCTCCACCCACATACAAGTTCCAGACATTATGATCCGTGCTATAGTTCCAAAATACTGGACTGTCCTGTCGATGACATTGACAGTGGGGCGCCACCGTCAATACCGGATCGCTGGTTCAGATTTTTGCCATGTTGGAAACCATATAGTAGAACGATGGTAGCGCCCCCCTGTCATTGAGTTTGGTGGGACAGTTAAGCGTGGGTCATCTATATCAATGTTGCCTAGAACGGAACGTTATTTCATTCATTGTTTGGCAAGCTGTCAAACTTTGTTTTGACTTTTGTTGTAATCAGCTGGAGCGTGTTTTTTGAGGTTATGTTTATCATCGTAAATCTTCATTGATCTCATAAAATGTATAAAATATATTGTAATTTTAAGATAAATAAAATTCGCGTATCGCATTTATTTTTGAAAGCTTGTACATGTGAGTGTAATAGTAGAAACATACATAATGTAGGTCTAAATGATATTCCCAAGATAACAGTTACTGATATCCGCAAATTATTGAGACAAAAAGGCTTCGCTGTGCAAGATGGATTTACCTCACTATCAACGAAATGTTCCCTATGCCAAGGAGATGACAAAACCAAGGAAGGCAAAGTTTTTATTAACAAAACAACGGGTTTGTATCCAATATCCATCCATCATTTATTCAGATAAACATTAGGGTTAACTTGCTATCACTTATCCAATAACTGCACCATAAACTAAAATTAATCTTACACCTCAAATACAAAAAAATAAACTTATTGACTTATTTGGGTTTTTGTAAATATTTAAAAAAATGATATATTTATCTTTACAGAACTTTAAAGTAAATTACAGCCAGCGGACATACTTTTGTTTATTGTGAATATAACACCCATGTTGCATTATTTCAGGATATTTTGTATGCCCCAAATGCAATGTCCATGGTGACTGGAATATTATGGAGAGATTATTGAAAAAGGTCAAAATGGAAGCATCTCTCAAAGAATTCATTGAAAAATGCCAAAACAGCACAGAAATGTTCCAAAAAAACTGGCAAGAAGTTGTAAACAGTTCTACCTCAATAGCTGATTTAAATGAGACTGAAATATTAGACCTCTTTAGGTTGTTTGAATATCCAGTAAGTATACATTTTCAAAATACCTAAATCTTCACTGGTCACAGTATCAGATCGTAATAAAATATAATATGGTAAAAAAAATTGTATGCATATTTTCTTAATTTCAGTACCACCAAGACTCAAGAAAGTTTTTGTCTGAAGTTAGAGTATCAGCAGACCGAACAGTATTATACTACCCACTTAAAAACTCTCTAGATAATGTAGTAGGCTACCGTAAAATCCAGGCAGGGCAAGAAGATGAGCCAGAGACTCATGGGCTGCATACCGCAGGACTGTTCTCTTGCAGAGCTCCGAAGGTGAGCCGTAGTGACCAGGCGATTCTTGTCCCTAGTATACAAGATGTGCTACATCTAGCAGCGCAAAAAATACCTGGTGTGTATTCTTCTTGTAAATTTTATACCTTATGGGCTATTAAATTACTAATTATGTGTGTTTTTATATTAAACATGTTATACTTACTTGGCTCTCAACTATTTAAATCTTTTTCTAGGTACTCTGGTATGGCTAAGTAATTGCAGTCTCCCTCCGATAGTGCTGCCAACTCTCGAAAATTATCAAAAGCTCTGTTTGTGGGGTGACTGGGACAATATGAGATCAGTTGCTGAAAAACTGGGTGAAGACAGATGTAGATTTGTAAGGTAAGTTGTTGATAATTTATTGAAACTGACACCTATGCGAAAGTAATAACTTGTAAAAAAATATCAATATTTCTAGAAATAGGTAGGCAACTGTTGAGACAAAAAAAATACTCACTTCTCAGGTAAATATACTGTAGTGGTTCTAAAATCTCTTTACTGTTGCTCTGTGTAGGTTTTGGCAAGTGGTAAAAGTTGTCTGTTCATTTTAGGCCTACAGATGGACTGGTGACTGCGACCGAAGCCGCTAACGCACAACTATCCCTGAAGACTCTTGTATCGGAAGCTAAACCAGCCGCCCATCGTTCAATAACCACCTTTGCAGCGCTTCGCGATGACGTCTACGCTGAATTGACTAACATTGAGAAGGTAGAAATTATTTCTAAAGAATAATCAAAAAGCCTTAAGTTTCCAAGGCGGATTTCCGGTTGCATTTTTCTTTGTTCAACCCGTAGGACACGTGACAATTTTGACATGTCAAGTCCGTTAATGGTACGAAATAACCCTGAGCACGAATCTCATGGCGGATTTACACTATGCGGAAATTAGCCGAGTCAAGTCAAAAAAACAGAGGAGTGGGGATGAAATTCATTCATTTTACATCCCTACCCCACTGTTTTTTTTACTTGACTTGGCTAATTTCCGCGCAGTGTAAAAGCAGCATCAGGGTACTGAAAACCAGTTCTACGGACTTCTCACAAGACACACGCCCGTATTCACAAACATTACTATGAGGTCTCACAGTGCGCGTGGATGCACAGGATGACACACGAACCAATCACAGAGCTCTATTCAACGCTGTGCGTTTGATTTGCTGCTTCACTTAAGAAGGCATCGTTTGTGAATACGGGCGACAGTACCTACTTATGTCACTCTTTGCTCCGTTTTTAATTTAATCTCTTGACAGGTCAGAGGACTGAAGTGGCGTCGATTCCCAGCGCTCACGAAACTGCTGGGCGGGCATCGGCGCGGTGAGCTCACTGTGCTGACCGGTCCTACCGGCTGCGGCAAGACGACGCTCTGCGCTGAGATGTCGCTCGACCTTGCACAGCAAGGGGTAAGTAGATCTCTAGAAGAAGGCATAGAAATGTTATCTTTACCTATCTGAAGGAACTGTATTTTTTAGGACACCCTGTATAGATATAAATCCAACCAATCACTAAACCAAACACTAACAACACACACAATCCATGATCAAATCTCCTAAACTGCAACTTTATTGGAAGTATGTAATCTTTACTTATCTGAAGGAACTGTAGATAAGCTATCTTCAGTGTTATTTTTAGGACATCTTGTATAAATTCAACCAATCACGTGCTGTAAATGCTGTAATCTATATTGAAAAAAAAAAAAACTAAAAAATGCATTCTTGACCAGTTCTGCAACCCAAATTCTTGATAAAACTCGTTTTTGTCCAGCTCGGATAAAATGGCGTTTGGTTTTAGGTTTCAGTTTGATCCCTCTCTCACATGTGGTAGTAAGACCAAGAATACTGTTGGCATTCATATTGACTTCTACCAGTAACTCAAAACGCATCATTTTTTCTACTAGGTGAAAACACTATGGGGAAGTTTCGAGATCCGCAACTCGCGGCTCGCCCGTACCATGCTACAGCAGTTTGCGGGAGTGCCGCTGGAACAGAACCTGCAGGACTTCCACAAATACGCAGATGAGTTCCAAAAGCTGCCCGTCTACTACTTGGCCTTCCACGGGCAACAGCCGATCAAAGTCGTCATGGAGGTCAGTCACAGTCGGCCATTAACCACCCTTTGTTCTCATTATTATGTTAGTAGGGTATCTGTTACAAAGATAAGCGATATCTAATGTACCTACCTAATTTATGTGTCTGTTTTGCGACTCATTGTAATTTTGCATATTTACCTAACATATTGGACACCAATACACCACTATCTTAATAATTAAGATGATCAATTTCAATTTATTTTGATCATCCAGTACCTACTTTCATTTCGGCCATTTTCGTAAGGACACAAAAGCGACAAATTCATTATCTTAATTGAACCTATATTCACTTGTGATGGTCGCAGTTAATCATACAATTGATTTTTACGACGTCATTAAAGTGTTTATATACGATACAATTATTGTTTTCGTAGATAAACGAAGTAAAGTGACCGGAGGAAAAATACTAACTAATTTGTAAATCATGAGTAGATATAGTTGTAGCTTCATATAAATTCATTCCAACCAAGTCTGCGAAAACCTCCTCTGTCCAAGTATCGAAAATTTTGGTTTAATCGCCCCGCTCCTATTAACATTATTTATTGTAACCAGGCGGTGGAGCACGCGCGTTACATGCACGACATCGCACACGTGATCGTGGACAACGTGCAGTTCATGCTGGGACTGGGCGAGGACCGCGACGGCGACCGCTACCACCGCCAGGACGCCGTCATCGCCGCCTTCCGCACCTTCGCTACCGCGCGCCACTGCCACGTCACGCTCGTCATGCACCCTAGGAAGGTGAGTATCTGGTCTGGGGCAGTAAACTATAGTTCACGACGGGCTGGACGAGGAGCGTGACGGCGACCGCTACCACCGCCAGGACGCCGTCATCGCCGCTAAAAGGAAAATCTCGACTTCAAATTTTAGCTTTGAAAATAGTCACTGACAGACTTTTTCTTTACAGGAAAGAGAATCAGAAGACTTATCAACCAGCTCAATTTTTGGCAGTGCAAAGGCGTCGCAGGAAGCTGACAATGTTCTTATCGTCCAGGTAAAATGTTTGCTTCTAAACCCCCTATTTTTTTTTACATTACCATCAAAATCGTTTCTAAACTATTTTCTAATTTTCAGGATAAACGTTTAACAGCAGTTCGTGGCAAAAAATATTTGCAAGTCGCCAAAAACCGGTACAGTGGCGACCTAGGAATCGTACCTTTGGACTTCGACAAAGATTCTCTCAGCTATCAACCAAAGAAAAAGAGTAAAATGAAACAAGAGGAGCCTGATAAATTGCTCAACCAATGTTTCGAAGAGTTTTCCGTAGATGACCCGCACTATATCGCCGATTTCGAGGATAAACTTTCGAGAACCGATTCTTGTTACAGCAAACAGAAAGTAAGAAATAAAAAGGAAGTTGATAATTATTTAAGCGACATCTTGAACTTAAACAGGACTAGGTAGCGCACGAAGTGTGAAATATTTAATAATTTAAGGAAAATGTATTTTAAGTGATAAGTTAAACAAGAGAATAAAATAAGTTCAGTCCCAAAAAAAACTCAGTATTAATTTTTATTCAGTTTTGTTTATTGTATCGATATTTATTTTATTTCTATGATTACAATATTTTTATTTAGACTACATTTTACAGATGTTTAACTGTGGTTTCTCTGCATTATTTGGTAGAAATCAAAAGGTACAGACAGAGAAATTAAAAGGCCGTTAATACAAAAGAACAATAAGCGATAACAAACGATAAGCGTGAGGGGAAATAAAATCATAATACGGACGGAACCTTAATAAGAACGAATGGATGAAGATATACATTATGTGTATTTTTAGGTATTGTACACACCACACAGTAAACAAATTCAAAAAATTAAATCCATAAAACATAAACTTAGCGAACTTAGCTTGGCACACGGCACACCATATTTTATTATTATCTATAATAAAATTACATAATAGGCTTCTATGTTACAATGAGTCAATGAAAACATTCATAAGAAACTGATATGAGAGTAATTTTCTAGTTTACTGATCACTCTGATCAGTTAATTGATCATTATGTATCACAGCTATACAAACACAATATTTATGTATGCGGCTCAAAGTTCAACTTATTGTCCTTAGGTGGAGGTTGTGCCACAAATTAGTTTTTCGAGGAATTCGAGATTTAGGTATAATCGTTATTCTCGGACATCGCTCAGCAATCGGTCATTTCCGAATGCCTGATTAGTTAAATATTCACATAAAAATAATAAAAATTCACGCTTACTTGAATTGACTAAAATTATTTTTATGTTTGTGCTAGTTTGCGTATCAAATGATCATTCGTAAAACGAATACCCTTGGCGAGTACCATCTTAGACAAATCGCAAAATTACCAATCGGCTCATAACACACACATAGTTTAAATAAAATTTATAAAATAATAATAATATTAGTTATATTAATATGCAGAAATTCAAACAAAAATAACTTAGCCAGTACATACCTACTTAGCTTTAAAAAATGCTGAGGGCACATTAAAATATTTCATTTTAACTAGTTTCACATTATCAAATGTGGAATTCTATTACATTTTTAGTAATGAAGACAAACCACAATCTAGCACTGTCAACTTATTTACTAAATAAAATAGAAGATACTTATGATAAGTCTTCAAGCTAATTAACTGCACAGTTAAAAATAGACATATTTTGATCAGTATATAATATTTTTTAAATATCCATTAATCATCATAAAAATTATGTTTGAAATCAAATACACATTATCACATTGTTACTTCTTAAAATGACAAAAAAGTTACCAGAGGCAAATCAATTAATGTTTACTATCACTTCTTGTCTGCCAAAAGTTAGTCATGTTTTTAGGTACATGAATGCCATTTCTTGGACTAAGTTATGTTATAGCTATTTCGGCATCCAATATTCTTAAAAATTTTCTTCTAAAACAATAGTTCCATTAACTTCAATCAATCAACAGTGGTGGTCACTAGTTCCTTACCCAAACTAACAACAAAATACCAGCCTACTTTTATAGGTGCCTTGAAAACATTCAAGCAAGATTTCCAAAAATATAGATACTTATAGTATAAAAATAAAATATGTATTTAGACTGCCATTTTTGTGTAACAAAAATTTGAGTTTGTACAAAATTCCACTACTAAGCTTCCAAATATTCACTTGTTAAAGTGTGCATGGACAGCATCTATTAAAGAAGCATCGCTAGTACGGTTTTGCTTCCGTTTGCACTTGGGGCAGGGTATATTGGCATTGAGGCATTTGCTGTGAAAAACACTAGAGCATTCATCACATCGATATGTTGTACTTGTTTCAAAAGGATACAAAATTTTTGGATCGCGACAGACTTCACAGATGAACCCTTTCTGGCTACATAGCCAGCAATCAAGGACGTGGGTTCTAGCAAAGTTCACAACTTTCTCTAACTGCAAAAGTAGTGAACCATTTGGTATCTGAGCCAAGTCAGATATTGTATACAAATGCACATGATCATACAAATACTCACGAGGCCACACCCTCTTTTGGAGATCCTCAATGACAGGCTCACGGCATGTAAATATATACGCCCTTAAGAAATTTAATTGTATTCTGAGATCTTGCAAATGGGCCATATCTGACACACCGCAATAAATTTTTGGATTAAGTTTTTTCATATCTATCCAAGGGTGATGTTGAAATTCTAATAAAAACATTGCAGATTTCTTTGAAACTGAGTATCTTTTAAAATCCCAGTTGTGTATGACTCTTGCTGGAATGATAAAGACATTGGGATCCATACAATCAGAGCAATAGTACTCCCCAGTGAAGGCACAAACCTTAGCTTTGGATATGGTGCTTCCCAGGAGATCTTGGCAACCCATGCACTGGTAGTTTTGATGGTCCAGTCCCTGTTCTCTTGAGAGAGCACCTAGCTGTTGTATCATTTTTTGCAATTCTGGTACAGTAAAGGATCCAGACATAGAATTAGGAACTACTTCAAAGTCTAAACCCTGAAGCATGGGGTCTTCAAGAGTGTCAGAATCTACTGTGATTTCACAGATGTCTGAGTCGTCTGTTAATTTTAATTCTTTTTGTATGTCTTTCATTATGTCATGTAAGTTTGAGTAATTTTGTGTTTCCCCATAATTTGTTGAATTGTCTACTAATGAGGATAAACTTTTGAGCTCAGGTGTTTTAATTAGACTGCTCCCATGGGATGAATTTGAATGTACAGACACATTCAAGTTGTCAGGATCGTTAGACCAGCCTTTACCACTCAAGGAATTACCTGTCACTATGACATCCGCAGAAGCAACGAAGTCATCTATATCTAATGAAGGTGTGGGAGATGTTACTTCTCTTTCTTCTTGGCTGCTTGATGGTTTCTCTGCTCCAAAAGTTTCAGCATTGGTTTCATTAGCAGTGTCTTCTTCTTGTGCTTCTTCTGTTATGTTTGTAGCTAAATCTTTTGAATCTTTGGACAGTATAAAATCAAGGGCTTCATCTTCATTGAGTGCGAGCATCCTCCCTAAGCCAGTGATGTTAGAAGTGTGGGTCGGTGTAGAGACCAGCTTCGGCTTTACTTCTTCATCTGTGATGGTGCTGGCCACATCTAGAGCAGTGCTAATAGGGGCCACTCTTATTTTAGGAATCCATATCCCTGCAAGCATCAGCACTTGTTCTGGCCATTGATTGAGTAAACTTGAATTAATCGGGAGATTAAATTGCACACAAGATTCCAAGCCTTCAATCAGCTTTTGTGCTAGTTCAAGTATCTCAGCATCGCACACAAAAGCAGTTCTGTTGTAAAATGGTTTAACAGCCGATATATTTTTTAAAAGTGTCGACATATAAGAAGACAAAAGGCATTCATTGAGAGCAATTCGAAGCCATGCTCTACATTGCCCAATTTCAGTGTTGATCTGCGGTAATGATGATATCTGATCAATGTTTTGTCTGTGCGATAGTACAAGGATCAGAGGCCAAAAGTTGGGCTGAGGACGATGGTCCGAGTCTCCCGACAAAGCATTTTTGGCTTTCCTCAATAGGGTGTCCTTCAGTCCATGTAGGAATACAGCTTCTAAGGCGACACATAAAGTATTTGTCGAATCTGTTGAGCCGAGAACACTGTGGAAGTTTTCTTCAAACTGATTAGTGTATTGTATATCTTTTACGCACTCCGATAAATTGTTAATCAGTGATTCTTTCAAAATCGTGTCACGACTGCGAATATTGAAGCCTGAAGCAACACTCTTGAAAAATGACATGATGATTTTTTCAACACGATGATTGAATTTTAATAATCTCAAACAAAATATAAATTTAATCACCACACCACAATCACAAACAACACAACAAACAGGAGATTTGACATTTTGTTGACATAAAAAGTTGTCAGCACAAAAAAGTTTTTTTTAAATCGGCAACTTTGTCCTTTCCACCACCCCTTTGTGTGGGTCTANTCTAGACCACAGACAAAGTGCAAATTATAATCGCAAAGTGGTCGAAAAGCCCCTTTTTTGTATGGAGTTTTGACGGATTCGATTTTCGATTCGATCAAAAAGTGCGTTTTGTCTAGGGGGGCTGTTCTTTTTTTCGCTCTCATCAAAATAATGGTAATTCATTGCGAGAGAACGAGATGACATGACTGAAAAATATGAAGTGGGAACTGGTGACCCTCTATATTCACCACACTGATACTAAACTGACAAAGTGGGAATTTTTTTCCCTGTACTTGGTTTTTTTTTGTACTTGATTAAGGGTGAATAATCCCATGGCGTAGATCAAAATTAAAAAAATAGAACCATAAATGTCAATAATGTCAAAGTCAATAAAACTTCAAATCGACCAAATCAAAAACACAGATCAGCTGGCCGGCTGGAATTTGTTTAATTTAAATTTATTAAATAAATTACTGGGTCACTTACATAATAATTCTACAAAATGATTCAAAACCTATTTTAATGTTAGTTTTATTTCCCACAGCGACTTTAAGTTAAATATTTTTGCAATCTATTAATTGTTCACAAAAAGCCAACGCGACGTAAAAGAATTATTACGTGAAGGAATGTTTTTCCTGTTTAATGCTGTGCTCTTTCTAAGCATATTTTCAGAATATTATTCCTTCACCGACCATTCGCCTGGAAAGAATGGACAAGGTATTTTGTCTGCAATCTGAATTTGTTATTAACACGTACGCCTTTCTAGAATTAAACATTTTATCGTTGTAATTTTCAGAACTACTCTTATGTCGCAAATGTGGCACGGATATCGCAGACTCATCATATTTAATAAGCATTTTAAGTCCGGGTGCAATAAATGTAGAGGAGCATAATTTATTTGGAAGGAAAAATGTAACGGTACAAACTCTAGTAAACCCTTTTGGTGTGAAATTTGAAATCATCACTATTGAAAAATCAAGATGCAAAGTTCTTGGATCTGTAAGGACTTTTTTCTTTATCTAAAATTACTCATGTAATTTTTGCATTTAAGCAATGATTTTGTTATATGTTACAGCCACAAGGTGCTGACTCCTGGTTTCCTGGATATACATGGCGCTTATGTGCTTGTTCTTGTGGGAAGCACCTGGGGTGGGTTTTCGAGTCTTCAGATGAAAGTAATGTCCACAAAGATAATCAATCATTTCATGGATTGATATTAAACAATATCCTTAGTGAGAATTGTAAGTACCTCAGATCATCATAATAATATAATGACTATCAACTAAAATACATATTTTAATAAGGTTATTGCTTGCTTCAAATGTCAAATCAATAATATTAAAATTATTTTTGTTTCAGTTACTGATTCTCTCATAATGTTGCCGAATATTTATAAGATGTGATGCATATTAAAGTTATTTATTTGGATTTGGATTGTTTTCCTACTAAACAACAAAAACTAAACTAATGCAAAGCACCTTAGTATCAGGAAAGGAGCATTGGTAATGAAACAGGTGTTAATGATAGTTATTTTTATTTCGTACTACTACTTAGTAACAAAAACATTATAGAAACCTTGAAAAAGAAACTTATTTACTAAATTTAACTTTTTTGATGAATAGAATTCTTATTCAACTAAACCTAAAATGTAATATTAATTTGCACCTTAGCTGCAGTTCGTAACTTAGTACACATAATGGCATTTACAACTGAAATAGTCAAAACAATGAGCATCATGCTATTACGTCAGAGAGATTTTTGTAACAATAGTATCAAAACTATTTTATTACTCTTTTTATACTTACAAAAGAGATTGCACTGTGTCAACAATTTAATACTGTATAACACCACTAGAACTTGTCACATAAATAAACTTAGTCAAAGTTAGAACAAACACAGTTTCATACATTATGTACTTCAAAAAGTAATCTCAATGATGTAATAAACGATCAATTATGTACTAGCAAATCTTTGATGTAAAGTTTGACCAGTAGATGCAGGTGTGGGTGTAAAGTGCACTACCCCACCAGGTGCTTCTTGTGTATTGTCACCATAAACCTTTCCTTGTAAAGCAGCTATTTCTTTTTGCAATTTGGGATTGAGCACTTGTTTGTTGACAAACTTTCGGCCAATCCCACGACCTGCACCTCTTCCTCTACCACGAGATCGGGTGGACCTTCTGCTTGCATTTGACTGGTTGGAGCGACTTGACCTATTGGATCTGTTAGACCTGTTTGATCCCATAGATTTAACACTGCCTGGACCTCTTCTAGTATTATATCCTCCAAACTGGTTATTAAGCTTAGCAAGGCTTTGTTTATTCAAGTATCCAGCACTGCCCACACTGTTACGGCGCCTCTTTGCAAAATCATTAGCAACACTGACTGTGAGCTGAGATGCATTATTGAAAGAATTATTCCTGGACCTTGTAAATGTCTGGGATTTTATAGTATTTTTCTGGATGATATAGTTCTGACGTTGCTCTTTCAGAATTTGATCAGATCGCAATCCCACAGCACTGTACCGGTTGGCTGTACTTAAGCCTCTGCCTCGTTTAGTTATTCCTCTTTTAGCTACAGCCAAAGGTCTACGATTATTTGCAGCTCCGCGGTTGGAATTAATTCCTAGTCTGCTATGTATACCAGTACGTAGGTTTGGGTTAGAATTAGAACGACGTAGCCTGTTTTGCCAACCACCTGGAATAAAAACTTTTATTAAACAATGCATATGCATAAAATAAAATACGTTTTAGTATTTATAAACAAGTATGTATTTATAGGCAAAAGCACATCTGTGTTTCACACAATTTACGTACATGTTAAGTAGGTAATTAAATAGCTGTTTATTGCAACAAAAATGTACACAGATACATAATTAATTAATATGTGCTGATCTCTATTTAAGTGCCATTGTCTGTACTTTAACCATTTACATAATGTGCATATGAATCAATATTTACCTCTGAAATTTCCGTTTCTAACCAACGGAGGCATATCATATTGCTGTTCTTCCAAGCCTGCTCTGCCCTTCGGAGTCAGGCCTCGCAGTTGAGAGCGCGACCTGGATGCGGACCTCGCGCGTGACATGGAGCGACGCTGCTGACGCGACCGGGAGCGCGCTTGTGAGCCTGAGCGGGAGCGGGACTGAGCGCGACCCCCAGGGCCTCGGGAGCGGGATCGCGACCTGCCTTGCCCAAGTCCGGGTGTGCCAGACCTCGACAGAGACCTTCCGCGACCACGTCCGCGTCCACGGCCTCGGCCTCTGCCGCCACCACCGCCGCCTCGGCCCCCTCCGCGCATATTACCACGGCTCTGAACAGACCCACCGCCACGACCGCGCGACCGGCTTGCGCGATTTTGTTTGTTTTTCTGAATTATTTCATCTGTAAAGAATTTATATAATTACTAATATGCAAAAATTAAGATCAAATTCATGAAAAAATATTTCTATTTTTGCAACATACGTCACGCTTGGCGCCATATGTCACAAATCGTGAATAAACCAAATAAAAATACCATACAAAACTTTAACAAGGCATTGTGTCACAAATTGAATATCTAGCCAAAGGCGTGGTATATATTTACACAAATTGCTAATCTAAGCAAAAAATCATATGTAAGTTCTAAATATCTGGGACAAAATAAGTGGTTTACCTAAAGACATATTAACGGAGTCTGCCATTTTTAACACACAGTACAAAACACAGGTGGCACGGCTTTAATTTATTGTTGAAATTAAACTTTAGCACTTCTACTTCTATCCACAAACCAACACAAACAAATAAATCCCCGATCTCGGAAACAGAAAATAAACCAAGATTTAGGTTATGGTTTCTTTTTTTTAAATAAATCACCACACCACAGACTGAGCGCGTCTGTTTAGTTACGGCTTTGGTAAACCTTTTTTAAGCCAAAAAAAAACGCATTGCGAAAGTATTTTGGGAAAAGGCTTTTACAAAATTAGTGGCCATCATAACCATAGAATAAAGTAATACCAAAACCACCCACGTTACAAATCAGTCAGTGGGATATGACCCACCCCATCTGCCAAGTTTTTGTCCATAATTTCTTTGATATCAAAAACCTGGCAAACGGGGGAGGGGCTTTTTGCCTATGTTTTTCGCGCAAAGAAGTCTACGGACAAAAACCCTAGAAATAATCTTAATTTTTTGTCTTTTTTCCATTTCATTAAGGATTAAACGCGCTAAATGCTGGCAACACTTACATTACGAGAATGGACTGTCTATGGCGGTCTATGGAATAAAATTATAGTCTATGGGTAAGTCTTTCTTGTCTTTAGGTCAGTCAGTTGGTTAAAGTTTTGCGCGGGAAGCAGAAACAGAAGGATGGATGGACTTTTTTAAGGTTTTTGAGATGAGCCGATTATAAATAATTATAATTATCGTTATTTTGTGATTAAATTGTTAGGTTATGATGAGCTGCAGATAAAAATAACTATGTATGTACCTACTATTTGGCTGTAAGTACCTACATTTAAGTAGTCAGTCAGTTAATGGCGCGAACTACTTGAGGGTAGTTGTATTTATTTTACTTAGACAAGTTTTAGTATCAATCTCACTCAACCAGAGCAACTGTAGAACACACGCAGTACTTTTTCGTTTTATTGCGCGGTCTTAGATTAATCTAAGTGCGTGGTAGATATTGTATTCCGCAAAACCCTAGGCTACCTACAATTATACAGGGTGGAAACGATAAGTGATCTCACTCGATTATTTCTAAACTATAGAAGATATCGAAATACTGGTTACTGATCCTGAAAGTGCTTCACGAGCTCTTTCAAACGGTACCAATAACAAGTTACAGAATAAAAGGGATCTATCCGAAAATTCAATGTTTCCAGCTTCCATACTAAATGTATGCCAACAACTCAAAATTAGAAGTGTAATTTTTTTTAAACTTTAAATAAACTCGTAAATTGCATTCTTTCTTAAAATTATTTATGGAAAACATTAGTTTTAGGCTTTACTTGCTATAAAATTTGCTATAATATTATCAAGAGATAAGTACCATATTTGTGATAGTACTTAATGTATGGAAGATGGAAACATTGAATTTTTAGATTGATCCAGTTTATTCTGTAACTTAATATTGATACCATTGCATAGAGCTCGTGAAGCACTTTTAGGATCAGTAACCAGTTTTACGATATCTTTTGTAGTTTTTAATATTATGAGGTTGTACCAAATGTATGGAAGCTGGAAACATTGAATTTTCGGATAGATCCAGTTTATTCTTTAACCTATTGTTGGAACCGTTTGATAGAGCTCATGAAGCACTTTCAGGATCAGTAACTAGTTTTTTGATATCTTGTATAGTTTAGAAATAATCGAGTGAGATCACTTATCGTTTCCACCCTGTATAAGGTACCCCGCAGACTAAAGACTTTTCGTCACGCTGTTAATCAGTATGAACAGTTCGCACATTATAAAATCGTATCGGCAGAGTGCGCAAAGCATTTTCCGACATAAAAAGAATAATGTAATGTCTTAGTGTAATTTAAGCCACAGAGAAAATATTAATAGATGATGAAACTAAACATTCAAAGGAAAATCATTTTTACAATGTAATTTTGTGGAGTTATTAATTATGTGATACCACGCCATTAAAGTGGTAGATTATTTTTTGTTTCTTTAGGGTGGCTCCTTTACATGTAACGTGTGGATGATTTTTTTCGTCTACCCCAATACGTGTGGGGTATCATTGAATAGGTCCTATAAAGTGAACTAGGGGTTGCGAGTTAGATAATGGTTGTTAGATAACGCTGTTATAAGTAAATGCTCTAGTCTATACTCACCTTTATTGTTCAAGTTCTGAAGACGGACAGTGTTTATTTGTTTTCCGTCTTATTATTAGGGTTAAATAATGTTCAATCTCAAAAAGGGATAAAATAAAATACTTAAATCAAGTTTGAGCTAAGTGAAAATTTTATTAACAAAATGAAAATAAGAATAAATAACATAATAATGCATAGAAATATTAATTTGTACATTATTTTACTCTTCTTACAATTAAATCATAATATTCCTCTACAAAGAGGACAACAACGCACATAAAATACAATTGAGTTAAATATCTACACATCAGATAGAACTGTAATATTGCAAACGAATATTACTTACTACTATTATAAAGATTACAGAATCAATTTAACTCCTGTGCAATTATATTCGATATAAGATTGTTTGCAATTGACTGATGTTTATATACATACATTCTAACATTAATTACATTATACTATAAATATGAGCGGAGTTTGTAAAGTGAATCACAGAGTTAAACTTCAAGGCCATGCTGTGCGCGGGCGCGCCGCGTCCTAAGGCCGTCTTATATCATGCATGATACAATTTCATTTAGAATAATCTTTCATTAGGAGTGTCGGTAATATCAAAGTTAAGTACATACAATAATGTTAAATTCTAATCGTACTGAGAGTAGGTAAATAACTTGAGTGCTTTTTTGTGAAAGTTCTCCATTTCCGTCATTTAAACATTCATCTTAAGTTTCAGTCGTCAAGAGTTGAGAATGTTAGCCATAAAAATTGAAAAAGTAACATGCAATTATAGTTATCCTTCTAATATACTACATAAAACAAATATATAAAAATACGCTACCTCGACTCGCTACTTTCGAGGTGAGACCGAAAACATCATTTCTAGAAAAGATATCTTCAGTATTTAGACTTTCACAAAATTCAATACTTTCGTGCTACAGGAATGAGAGTTCGTCCGCCGCAGCGGCGAGGTCGCACAACACTTGGCACCTTTTGAGTATTTAAGCTATCGCATTATCCTTAATCATATCAGTTATTCCATCAGAGAAGCCGCTACTATCTAAAGAGGCACACGGTTCAGGTCAACGAAAGGAAGTTCAAACGTAGTAATAAATATAAATCCTAGTCTATCGTTTCAGAACCCGGCGGGCGGCGGGCGGCGGGCTATAGGCGGATGTCGCTGGAGGCGGCGGCCAGCAGCGAGGCGTGGCGCCAGGCGTCGGGCGGCGCGTCGGGCGCGGCGGCGGCCGGCGCCTCGTCCGTGCGCACGAAGGCGCGGCACTGCACGTCCTCGGCCGGCGCGCCGTAGCGGTGCAGGCTGAAGAACTTCAGGTTGGCCACGATGGACGAGTTGATGGGCCGCGTGGGCATGTTGACCGTGGTGGCCGAGCGCTCGATGCGCTTGCGGTCCGGCGGCGCCAGCTCCAGCGACTGGCCGCGCCCGTACAGCCGCGACTGGCCGAAGCGCGGCGTCAGGCGCCCGATGAGATTGTCCTCCTTGCGTGCGCCGCCCGCCGCCGGCGCCTCCTCCGGCGGCTTCTTCTTCTTGAGGAAGAACGGCGTCAGGCGCTCCGCCAGCGGCCGCGAGCCGCTCGCGCCTATGTCGTGCACGTTCGACGTCGAGTTGGACGTCTTCAGCGGCTTCGCGGCGGCCGTCTGCGACTTGATCGGGTTCGACTTCCTCTTCATGCTGATCCGGGAGAACGTCGCGCACTCCTCGTCCTTGGCGTCAACGGGGGCGGCGGTGTCGTCCGGGTCGGCGGCGGCGGGGCCGGGCGCGGGGTCCGAGGCGGCGGGGGCGGGCGGCTCGTCGTCGGGCGCGTCGTCCTCGCACACCTTGAGCACGCAGTAGGTGCCGCGCTGCAGCTCGTCGAGCAGGCTGTCGTCGTTGGAGACGGCGTCGGCGGGCGCGGGGTCGTCGAGGCTGGCGGCGGGCTCGCGCGGCGGCGGCGGGCGCGCGCGGTGGGGGGCGCGCGGGGGCACGGCGGGCGGCGCGGGCGAGGGCGCGCGCGCGCGGAAGTCGGCCATGAGCTCGTACTCGCGGCAGCGCGGCGCGTCGGGGTCGCGGCGCGGCGGCGGGCGCGGCTCCACGGCCACGTACTCGCCGTGCGCGGCGGCGGGCGCGCGCGCGGGCGACAGGCGCGCGGGCTTGGGCGGGCGCGCGGGCCGCTCGCCGGCGTCGCCGTCGTCGTCGTGCTTGAGGCAGGACATGGCGAGGTAGCCGCCGGCGGCGGAGCGCGCGGACTTGCCGGAGGAGCGCTCGTCGGCGTGGCGCGCGAGGCGCACGGACTCGGTGCTGGAGCCGATGTCGAGCGAGGCCTGCAGCGGCAGCGCGCGCCCGTCCAGGTCCACGGTGGGCGAGGCGTCGCCGCGCCAGGCGCGCCAGTGGAACGGGTCCGCGTCCGCGTTGCCGGCGGCGCCCGCCAGGTGGAGGTAGTTGTCGTCGCCTATGGGCGCTTGCCTGTAAAATGAATATAACTGTAAGTATGCCCCTAGTAACGCACTTAAAAAATACGATTGTACCGATGACAAAGTAGATACTGACTTGCTGCCATATTTGGTCTCCCGTGCGAGTGACCGCCTATAGAGTCGATGCCGGTGTTCGAGGTCGAACATCGCTTTCTGCAAGTCGCGGAGCGTAGTCGCCTCGGCCTCCCGCTCTTCTACATTCGTGACATCTGCAAAAAAAAAATCAAGAATAAGTTTCATTATACAAAACATTTCTCAGGTGGAAGCTGCAGCAGTCCGAGGAGTTACGTCTCACACTACTAAAGCCTGGTCCGTGAGCACGTAGAATTTTGTCCAATGACCCTAAGCTACCCATCCTTATCGCTCGCACGTAATTATATTGCTGTCGCGACTGTGTGACGGGCGCCCGCAGTGAGTGTGCGAGCGCGACAGCAACATAATTACGTGCGAGCGATAAGGATGGCTTGGGGTCATTGGACAAAGGCGCGTCGGGCTGGGGCGGGGCTCACCTGGCAGGCGCAGCACGGCGGCGTCGAGGCGGTGCGCGTGGGCCACGAGCAGCGCGTGCAGGCGCTGCAGGTCGCGCGCGGGGTCGAGGCGCAGCGCGAGCGCGGCGGGCGCGCGCAGGTCGCCCTCCGTCAGGTACTCCGTGGACTCCGTCCGCCCGCCGCAGCCTTCGGCCTCCGCTTCGGGCCTGCCGCAGCTGGAAAGAAGAATATGACTTTAGTGGTAAAATAATTTTGTATAGTAATTTTTTAACAAATAAAGTTATGGAAAAAAGTTATGGAAACAAACAAAATAAGTTTTTTTTTATCCTGGCTATACAGGGTGTTAGGTAAATGGGTATATTGGGTATATGAGCCGACACTAGCCCATGTTAATATGGGCATATAAATGGTGTGGTGAAGTCAGAAAATTAATATCTTTATTTTAATTATCATACAAATCGGATTTTATAAAATTTATTTTGTATGAAAATTAAAAAAATAAAATGATGATATCAAATTTCTGACTTCACCATACCATTTATATGCCCATGTTAACATGGGCTAATGTCGGCTCATATACCCATTTACCTAACACCCTGTATAATATAAAAACGAAAGGTCACCAACTGACTCACTCATCACATTGACTCTCAGAAACTACAAGTGCTCACTAAGACGGGATTTAGCAAAATTCAACTCCTAGCTAGAAAAACGGGATCCACGCGTATGAAATCGCGGACGGCCGCTAAAGCCCGGTCGCGACTGTGCGACGGGCGTTCGCAGTTGTGCGAGCGCGACAACAACATAATTACGCACGAGCAATAAGGATGGGTGGGTAGCTTGGGATCATTGGACAAAATTCTACGTGCTCAGCGACCAGACTATATCCTACTTCCTACTAATATTATAAATGCGAAAGTTTGGATGTCATGATGTCTGGATGTTTGGATGTCTGGATATTTGTTACTTTTTCACGCAAAACTTGAACGAATTTTGTTGAAACTTTACAGTATTACTGTTTATAACCCAGATTAACATATAGGCTATAATTTATGACGATCTGCGACATACTAAATTTCACGCGGGTGAAACCGCGGGCAAAAGCTAGTTCATCATAAAAATTCCAAACTTACCAAGTCCACGTGTCGGCGTAGAAGCCGCGGTGCGGCGGCGAGGGCGCGGCGCGGCACAGCGCCCTCAGCAGGCGCACCCACTCGGCGCGCTCCACGCAGTTGCTGGCCTGCACGAACAGCACGCGCTCGCGGTGCACTGGGAAAATACACGACGGTTATTAAAACAAAATGCACGAAAAAAATTTACCTAATGAGGGTTTTCGCGATTGAAAGATCCGCCAGATGGCAATACGTAGACGCGAGGTCCAAATGCTGAATGATTGGTTATTTTTGACATGACATTGACAGATATATCAAAATCCACCAATCATGCAGCATTTGACCTCCCGTCTACGATTGCCATCTGGCGGATTTTTCAATCGCGAAAACCCTCATTTAGGACGCACACATTACGCGTCAGGGTAAATAGTATTTGACTGAGGTACCTAATAAATAAATAAGTAAAAATACCTAACATCTAATTGAAAATGCGCATTACGTTATTAGCTCAGGGTAAATAGTATTTGATTGGGGTACCTAATAAATAAATAAATAACATACACTTACTGTCTTATGATTAAAATGTACGTAAAGCTAAAGAAATAGCGGCTATGTGACGGGAAAAAGACATTACTTTAGAGAAAACAAACACTTTTCTTACGCCATTACTGGTTATTTTTGAATACCAAAGATCCAGTGTTGGTTGCAACTATAGATAATTTTACAAATAAATTGGGGAAGTTTCAAAAAAAGAAAGAAATGAGGGTAGTTACCTATTTGGAAGATGTTATTGGCGCCAAGCGGCGCGCCGGCGGGCGGGCAGTCTACAGCGGCCACGGCCAGGACTCCCGATAGCGCCAGCCGGTTGGCGGCCGTCTTGGCGCCGCAGCGCGACCACGTCAGCTCACCGCTACAGAATTAAACTATTAGCTCGATAAAACACAACTAAAAATATATTCTATGATAGGGTCATAGATTAGCTCGATAAAACACAACTAGGAATATTCAACTATGTAATAATAGGGTCACATTCACCATATCCTTCGTAGCGTAACTTATCTATCAAATAAACTGAACCTTTGTTCACAAGTCCATAAAGAAACCTGGTACATTAGGTCACTAAGAACAACCTTGTTTATCCTTCAGATTGGTTAGGTATAGGCACTTACTACATCGTCGTTACTACTAGTCGTTTAAAAAAATCTTAGATCTGACAAGTTAACATTTAAATTTTTCGCCAAATATTGTTTATAATTGAACAACACTAGAAGGGGCAGGGCAAAATGATCTTCACCCAAACTACGAAATATGTACAAGTAAATAAGTTACCTGGTGAGTCGGAAGTGGCGCCGCTTGGCGTGCTGATGAGCGGCGCGCGCCCAGCGCTTGCGTGGCGACCCCGCGCCACCGCGCACTCCTTCTGATCGCTTGATCATCGTCCTGTGGACACGAACACAATCAATAACGCTGTATCGCAACGGAATACTACTATCTGTTCGCTTTAAGTTTGCCGCTAGCGATATGACGTCACTCGAAGGGAAGCGTCTATAAATTTATCAAACTATATTTAAAAAAAAAATATTACTATTGATAAAACTTGTGTATTTACGTAAAATAAGACACATTAATTTCGTTTAATCACTAACTAATTACGTTTAATCGCGGTTGGAGGAGGGGACGCGCATTCCACGGACCGGCAAACTTAGCGCGAACGGGTAGTATGCTACACATTTGTCATACAATGCGGGCGCGTATGCGCACGTAAATAGTGAAGTTTCATCGCTTTATAGAATTAATTAAGCTCGTTAAACATTGCATTTATAAGTCGAGTTATGTTAACGTACGAATTAAACAAATTTCTCTAAAACTTTGTTTTATTACTAAGGTGTGGAAGACTACAATACCACACCACTTTACCAGAATAATACATACCCATATCTAATCCAAATGAAGCACAAACATAAATTCGATTATAATTTTAAAAATTACAATATAATCTCTTTTTTTTTAAATGCATTTATCAAATAAATCCTCAGTATTAAATATCTATGTACAAACTTACCCTTCTTTGAGCAGCACGGGGGTTTCTTGGACATTGTTGTTCTGCGTGTCCGTACTGGTGGAGATTATTTCGAGGAACTGCTTTATTGCTTGCACCTGCACAAAGATTCAGAAGTTAGGATTGCATTCAAATAGCTCCATATAAAAATAATGTAATAAAATAGACATACATAAAGTGCGTGATCACTAATATCTTGTTCCTGCTGTCAGTTGTATCTTGATCAGCAAAGGAGAAATAATAATTACACCAATTTATTAATATATCCAAGAGGCAAATAAGATATCAAGCACAAGACTATTTTGCAACCTTGATGCATTTTGGGTGTAGTTTGTCGACAGATTATTCATAAGATTTAAGATAGTCTGCTTGTGACCACGGCTGCAGCATCGCAGCCGAAACGTCAAGCCGTGAGTACATAATGTATTTATTTATTAGGTCTACCAACATTGTTACATTACAACATTTATTATTTCATAAATAAACGTCGCGTTAAGACCCGTGTCTTACTATTTTATTCATAAGATTGTCGCAAACATAGTGCATCACCATATAGTTTGCGAACAACCAAAACCTGTGCAACGAAAAAAATAGCCGTGTTTTTTCTCAAGTTGATATGTGAGCGACCAGCTCTATAGCACTCGTATGTAAAACATCAGGTTCTCGCACGAATGAGGGCTATCGTTTTAGCGCTCACCAGTTAGCGCCACTGTAGAGTAAGGTCCTGTCACTTGCTAGTATAGTTCCAAAATACTGGACTGTCCTGTCGATGACATTGACAGTGGGGCGCCACCGTCAATACCGGATCGCTGGTTCAGATTTTTGCCATGTTGGAAACCATATAGTTGAACGATGGTAGCGCCCCCCTGTCATTGAGTTTGGCGGGACAGTTCAGCGTGGGTCATCTATAGCGAAGACAGTGGCACCAACTGGTGAGCGCGAAAGTGGTAGGAGGACTATCGCATTTGCACTCATCAAGATGGCGCCACTGTAGAGTAAGATCCGGTCAATCGCCAGGGGTGCCAACTTTTAAGTATAAAAACGATAGCCCTCATTGAGTGCAAACTTTTTAGAACATTTTGTTTGTGGTGTTCAGCGTTCAACTCGCGTGCGAAGAGAAGTTGTTTATAAAGGCGGTATACTAACATGTCTGGGCGTGCAGAAGCTGCGGTACAGTTCGGCCATGTACTCCTCCTTGCACACCTGCTGCGCCGAGCGGCTGCTCACCAGGTTGCCCAGCGACTGGATCGTCTTCGAGATCAGCGTCAGCGTCCGGTTGGTTTGAGGGTCCTGAGTTAACAAGGTTAAACATAAAAAAATCACACTCTGATTATACAGCGTTCATCTAAAATGGATATAATAAATGTTGTCATTTATTGGGGTCCATTATTTAATACTTTTGGTTATAAAATGCAATGTTGATAGTTAGACCTCATTTCTGATACCACCTCCTCTTCTCGTCTCTCGCACAAAAAGCTTATATTCACGTTGTTACTATTTATATGGGACACAGGCCGGGGCACATATAACATTTAATTTCGAGGAATCCATATCTTATGGATCGCAATAATACAAAACATTTGAAACTTAATTCAGAATTGATTTAACTCTTATTGATCGAGATCAAATATTTGCACCAGTCAATTAACTTGAATTAATCAAATTGTTACATAGTAACGTTAGACAATAAAAAGTGTGTAATTGAAGGAAAACAAGTCGACTTACAATTTGTTCAGTAGTGAGATCGAAGAGCCTCGGTCCGAGTATAGCTGGCGCGAAGAACCGCAGGAATATGAACCCCGACACGACGGAGTAACGCACTTCCCCGTTGCGCGGGAAATGACGCACGGCGCACTGCCGCAGCGCGTCGAACAGGCGACACATCGCGGCTGGGCACATCGCGTACGATGATGTTATCGCGTCGAATACCTGTAGGTAATGAAAAGGTTTGTTAGCACGTTCAAATAGCAACATTTTAAACGTATAGTAGAGCAGGGACAGGGGAAATTGTATTAAATTGTTCGCATGTTCCGACGGCACCATTTTACCCGTATATCCAACATTAGCCGGCACAACGTGTATTAAGATGTTATGGCACATTAATAGGCGTCAAACACTTGTAGGCACAATAATAGGCTTCGTTAACACGTTCAGGCGCCATGATTTTTCGAATAGAACAATGACAGTAGAAAACAACAAATTATCACACACTACGCGGGAAAAATCGTCGTCGAGTAATTTTTTTCTCCCGTCCGAATTTGTAATCGAAGTGGTCGAGTCTTGAAAGATGACGTTATCACCAAAAAGGTTCTTTAACTCGCTCAGACGGCATGGTTTTATCCGTATACCGTACGCAGTAGAAATTAATATTCATATGATCACACGCGGAGTATACGCGGGAAAATATCGTACTCGGAATATATTTTCCCGTATACCGTCCGAAGTTATCACCGAGGAGGTCGAGGCTCGAAAGGATTTATCGAATACTACCTTCTCCCACTATAGATTACAAAAACAAGCTATGACGTCACGTCCACCAACTCAATTGATGAACTTTTTAATTTAAATTCTTATTTTTGATTGAAATGAAAACTAACTCGGTTTTCAGAGCTAAAAAGAAATATTTTTTTAAAGAAATGTGTCTTGGAATTATTGGTTAAAGTATTACGAGAATATAGAAATAAGAATCCTGTCTTGTAATTGGCGACAATACGGAAATTCAAGCAATAAAGCGTTTGAATTTACGCCTGAGAAATTGAATTTTGAGCGTCTCTTTGTAATACGGACCTTAAACTTGCTATAATTTAATGTCAGACCATAAATACGATTATTAAAACTTTTCCATGTAATGAGTCTAATTATTGGATGTTGTGATTTAAATAAAATTGTTTTCTTTAGAGTTTCCTGATTGTGCTTTACTACATTATCTATGCGATCTGCTGATATCCTGTTATTGAAATTATACTTTCTAAAGCGCTCCGAGGAATACAGCCTAATTCCAATGATGGCTGGATGTTTGTTACAAGACAGCGTGCGTACAACACGTTGTCTGCGCTTTGCTATGTTAGCGGAGACAAGATGACAGCAGAGGGCTTGATTTAACGCTCCGTTAGCATAGCGGCTAGTGTGGGCCGCAGCATGCCGCAACTCAGTCCTGGGGGTTTTTAGGTAAGTGGAGATGGCGGCAAGGATTTGACACGCAGTGAATCTCGCACGGCGCTCCGCTAGCACAGTCGCTAGCTAGCGTGAGCAGCAGCACCAGGCACATGCTAATGAATTTAATATTATAGCGTACTTACCCTCTCCACGTAGTCCTTGAGGTTGGCCAGGTTAGCGGAGATGGCGGCGGAGGGCTTGACGCGCGCGGGGTCGATCTCGCACTGGCGCCGCTCCGCTAGCACAGCAGCTAGTGTTGGCCGCAACACAGAGCGCAGGGCTAATGTAGTATTATAGTATTCGTTCGTACCCTCTCCACGTAGTCCTTGAGGTTGGTCAGGTTAGCGGAGATGGCGGCGGAGGGCTTGACGCGCGCGGGGTCGATCTCGCACGAGTGCCGCTCCGCTAGCACAGCGGCTAGTGTTGGCCGCAACACAGAGCGAAGGGCTAATGTAGTATTATAGTATTCGTTCGTACCCTCTCCACGTAGTCCTTGAGGTTGGTCAGGTTAGCGGAGATGGCGGCGGAGGGCTTGACGCGCGCAGGGTCGATCTCGCACGGGCGCCGCTCCGCTAGCACGGCGGCTAGTGTTGGTCGCAGCACGGAGCGGAGATAGGCAGCGCCCGTCAGCCGCATCGCTTCGTCCATCATCTTGGACACGAGTGTGTTGCCGCGGAATATCGTCGTCGCGTCACTGGAAGAGACATGCTACAATAGGGTATTTGACACCACCAATCAATTGATGTACTTTTTAAAACTGTCAAAACGACACTCGCCCATAGATTTTGTACGGCAATACTAGCATGTGACGTCACAATTTTATCAACTCAATGAAAATACTTTTTTCAATTATAATGCAACCAAAAATCGTAATTTACAGGTAATTAAAAATTAATTAAGTTTTTAAGACCAGAAAGAAGTGTCTTTTTAAAAAAGTTGTGCTTTAGCATTATTGGGAAATGGTGTCAAATACCCAATTAGTTTTTTGTTGGTAATCAAATCTGTTAACTCTCTAAAATAGAATCTCAATTTCGTCAATTTTGAGTAATTTATGAATATATTTATGAACTTAGACGAGTTAGCTAAAAACTCATTATTGTTCCCAATGTTTTTTATCCATGTCATCAGGCCAACAAATGGGAACTACCGCTGCCGTACAAAACTTTATGCCAGCCCAACTCGTAATGAATACAGAGCTTTATTTATTGGCATGTATTGAAAGGTTTTTTATCCTATTGTCTGCGCCGACGAATCAAATCTAACAATGCCAGTTTGTTACTGGCGCAAAGAAAAAAGGTGGAATAAACTCCCGTCGATTTGCGTAAGTAAGTAGTCTTTCCTTATTGATTGCAGACATTATCAGCGATCGGTTGTGCAAGGCTAATTGATTGCAGTGTGTAATTTGTTGAGACAAAAGCGGTGGTTGCAGAGATCGGGATTGTGATAGTCAAGTCTAGTTTGCGCCAAAAGAAACTGTCAATTTTTCTGACAGATAAAGCTGGATAAAATTTATGTCAATGCTGTCTGTTTCCAGTGATATCAGTTAATTGGTCTTTGATTTATTTATTTAAGGACAACCAACAAAACATACACCATACATTCACAGTATCCTTATAAATAAATTAAGCTAAGGTGTTGCCTTAATTAAAGGTTGCCACGACATGCACAATTGATTACAAAGTAAAGCAATTTTAAGGGCACTGGAAACAGACAGCATTGACATAAATTTCAGTCAACTTTATTTCATACAACTGTGGGTCTAGACAAAGTGCACATTTTAATCGCAAACTAGTCGAAAAGTGGTCGAAAAGCTTTTTTTTGTATGGAGTTTTGACGGATTCGATTTTCGATTCGATCAAAAAGTGCACTTTGTCTAGACCCACTGATGCTCTCAAAATTGACATGTCATTGTCTATTGGCACGAAAATTCGATAAGTTATGGAACTCACGTGAGAGCAGAAATCTCGGCATGCGCGAGTTCCCTGACGATGGGCACGATGAGATCGTGGTGCGTGAACAATCGCACCAGAGGCTGCGCCGCGTCAGTCTTGTTCGACACTATCTCGCCGAGAATGTACACCGCTGACGCTGTTATAGGCTGCAATAACGAAAAATAGCTTTTAAATAAACTGAATTAAGGCCCGTTTTTGATTTGGTTACTTCTATAACATGGGACTTGTTTGTATCGTCATCAGACGCTATTATAAGCAAAATATCATTTACAATTAATAAAAATTAGGTCGATTTTTAATGGCCTAGTACATTACACAATAATAGGCATGTATTTGTAAATCGTCATTTACAAATGGAATATGAATGAGGGCTTTACAAATTAGAGACAATCACATTATTAGCCTAATAGCTAAGGTAGGTCGTTGCGTAGGCGTCAATAATGCATAAATCTAATTACTAGACCACATTCTAGCGATCTGCTTAATCTGATGAGTGAAATATAGAGGGTGATCTGCAAGATATAATGATAAAAACTTCCTTTTGATAAGATTGTTTTTTCCTACTGTATCAAAATATGTTATTTCCTGTGATTAGATATCTAAGAGTGTGTTATTCTTATGAAGTACTATTTTTGTTATAGAAATGTAGGTATTCAGCACACTCTTACAAGATCAAAACAAAATCCAGTTGAATTTGCATTTTTCTAATATTCAATAAACTGTAGGGTTTTTTAAAAACTCCGTGTTTAACTCTTTTGACCCAACTTGTGCAAATAGACACCTAATTGGCCAATATCAATTGTTCAAAGATGCATCGAATTGGCCATCATCCATTTTCCAAAGAGATGTATGGAGAGAGTAAAGCTAAGCGTCCACTTGTCGGTATTGTACGCAACGGACGCATCGTACGAAACACATCGTATCGGATGTGCGATGCGTACGATGCGGACAGTGGACGCACTTATATATTATGAGTTTCCATATAAATAATACTACGATCCGTTGCGTGCGATACGTCCGATGCGCACGATGCCGACATGTGGACGCTTAGCTTTAAGCGGAAGGGCGTCAAGTAGTACAGACGCTCTCTCTCGGGATTCGGTTCGTAAGCCGTGAATCAATTAGATCCAAGGATTAGTAGAGGACTTCTTCTCTGGTTACCTTCTGCTGCACGCTGCGCAGGAAGCACTCCTCCAGGCGGCTGTAGTGGTCGAGCGGGAACACGTGGTCCACGGTGTACTGCAGCCACAGCCGCAGCGAGCCCAGCGCAGCCGCGCTCGCCGCCGACAGCCGCGTGCCGGGCGGCGTGGCGCCCCGGGACAGAGCGCCGCCGGCCCGGGAGGTTAGGAAGAACCTGGAATATAATGACAGTAATATAAGGCGTTAACCCTTAACGCGTCCTCGGCATGGGTGTGTTCAGAGAAAAAAAATCTAAATTTGTGCAGACAGAGCCCTTCTCTAGTCGCTACTGAAGCGATGATCGGCAGGCGAATAGCACGACGGATTAATCATTGCTGTTGCACCGTAACTTAAGCAATAAATGTTTGTAATCCAATGTACAAGTACTAATTTACATACATAACTGGGAATTGCTTATTTTTTCCTATGAGAACATCTTTACTTGTGCGTATGTTTCAGTTATTTAAATTATGCATATACACAATTATGAATGGTGTCCTTTTTTACATTGTCACCTTGTACTGCATAAGTTACGTGTCAGTGTTATTGCGTTTCCGGAAGTTAATTTCTGTTTGTTTCAAGCCAAGGTCAGTAAATAGGGCTTAACCCAGTTAAACCACTGTCGTAATAGTTGACTCAGCTCGATTGCCTTACTAATGTTTGATAATATGGTTTTTTCAATCATTAGTTGTAAAAACATGCTTACCAAGCGCGAAGAGGAGACAGTGCCGTTTGCCGTAACTGCAACCGCACTTCGCCGAGGAAGACAGGTGTTGCTGCGTCGTGCCATACAGAAACTCGCGCTTCGCAGGCCACGCCCGCCTGAGGACCAAATAACATTCCATTATTAAAATTGAATTATTCCGAAACAAATTTTGTAAAATGCAGAAAACAAAATAACTCACCGATTGAGAACCGTCCTTGTCTTTGGGGTCGGCGTCCATAACGAGATCAAAACAGAATATTTCGTCAAATTGAGGGTTAACAGTCTTCTTTCTGGGTTTCGTGCGCTTTTCTACTCTTCGCCCGTTGGAGTACAGTAACGTGACGAGAGCGAACGGATCGCACTGTCCGTTCTTGGTGGTGAGCTCCAGGCACTCCAGCACGCGCAGCCGCAGCGTGTCCGGGCCCACGCGCGCGGCGCAGTGCCGCTCCGGGTCCGACCAGTAGTCGGCGGCGGTGGGCGGCGACGCGTCCGGCTCGGACATCGTGTGCATGGGGGGTTTCGTCCGAGTCCCCCACTGCGCTCTGTCCTTGAGACTCTCCGAACGCGACAAAGCTAACGAGGGCTCCGTTGCCACGGCGCTGAGCAGCTTTTTGCTCGTCGAGCTGGAGCACGAGCCGAACCTCATGCTCTCCTTGCAGTATTCGGACAGCCTCACGAGATTGTTTCCTTTGTTCTTCGACGACCCGTCGGCGGCCGGGTCCGGGTCGGGCGGCTTCGGCTCCATTCGTAACCGTTTTCTCGAATCCTCGAGGGAAAGTTCGATGTGCGCTTTGCCCTGAACTTCTGAATCTGCGTCGACCGGCCGGAGGGCGAACCAGTGGTCTTTGTTGTTGTACCGGTGAAGGTCCTCTCGCTTGATTGCCACTTTTCCGAGCACCTTGTCCTGTTTGAGATGCTTGTCACGGTCGAACACGTAAATTGAGAGGTATCGAAATCTTCGGGGAACCTCGAATTGGAATTCTTCGCCGAAAAATGGACTGTAACAAAAAGAAAATACATGTAATTAGTGATCATCTCATTAAATAAAGTAAAATAGATCATGCACTCTGATAGTGTCAACTGTCGGAGCTATCATGAAACAATTTATTCCCTTTGACTAGTACATTTACACAACAATCGTTATCAAGCTTTCGACTGGTAAAATATTTATTACCGTCTAGCTGCACGCGTGGGGTGCCTTGCATCTCTTGCGCCCACTACTTACATTGCGAATTGTAAGATAACATTCTCGTTTTAAACACTATATTACATACATAGATTTTGTGTTTGTAATTATAGCTATTTTACGCTGAACCCTAAAGCGGTTAAGAAAACTCGTTATAAAAACAGGTGCATTTATTTAGTATTTAACTAAATTGCGGGCGTTTTCAAGGCGAGAGTGAATAGGCACTTACAGGGCAGATATGTACCATCCTAGACTGCATCTCACTTAACACCAGGTGCGAATGCGGTCAAATACCTGCCTTGGCTAGCATAAAAAAAAAAAAAAACGATCGAACTGAGCGATAAAATGCATTTATTAACTGCACCAACTCCGAGGAAATCTATATACAGGGTGTCCCGTAATGTAACGTCAAGCCGGAACTGGGTGTTGAGGCAAGTTGTGCTGGTTATCAGAAAAATATAAAAAATAATCTATGTGGCATATTTTAAAAAGAATAGGCATTTAAAAAAAATCAAAAAATTCTACTCCAGGTGACGGTCCTTTTACTCGTGTTGCCACAAATCTTCACTTTTTCCAAATTTTTTTTTTTGTTATTAACCCTGAATAATGCTTCTCTAAATTGTTATCAAAATTACAAAACCAGCTGCTCCAACTTGGATGAAAAAAATACATTATTCCCAAAAAAAATATCAAAATAAAAATTTTGCCTAGTTTAAACTGACTGTACTGAAAAAAAATTGTACTACGCGAGTGTGGCAAGTGACGTCATAATTTGGCGCATTTAGTAAGGATTCCAAAATGGTATAACACTTTGTAAAATCTTGCTGTAATTGTCGACAATTTTTGTTTATTGAAAATAATCCCGTTTTTAACTTTATCTACCTTGGTTAAAAATATTATTTTAATGTGCCCAAAATTTAAGTTTCTGGCTTAAGTGAGGTGGAGAAGCCATTTTAAAAGGTATGAGCGGGACGGAGAGGGCCATCTTACCAAGCAGGGATGTTATGGATATCCGTAACCGTAACCGAAACTATCGGATATCCGAAATAAAAAAACGTCCATAACCGTAACCGAAACTGATTCAAAAGTTACGGATAGTTTCGGATAAAGGCGAAACTGCAAAACTCTATGAAATTTGCAGTATACACGCCGCAGCTGCAATGCCGCGCTGCCGATTTCATAGTTTTGCAGTTTGCGGTTGCAGTTTGCGGTCTGCGGCCCGTCTTGGAATTGTACCTTAAATCTTAATAATTTTTAACCAAGGTAGATAAAGTTAAAAATGGGATTATTTCCAAAAAACCAAAAATTGTCGACAATTACAGCAAGAATTTACCAAGTGTTATACCATTTTGGAATCCTTACTAAATGCGCCAAATTATGACGTCACTTGCCATACTCGCGTAGTACAATTTTTTTTCAGTACAGTCAGTTTAAACTAGGCAAAATTTTTATTTTGAAATTTTTTTTGGGAATAATGTATTTTTTTCGTCCAAGCTGGAGCAGCTGGTTTTGTAATTTTGATAACAATTTAGAGAAGCATTATTCAGGGTTACATAACAAAAAAAAAATTTGGAAAAAAGTGAAGATTTGTGGCAACACGAGCAAAAGGACCGTCACCTGGAGTAGAATTTTTTGATTTTTTTTAAATGCCTATTATTTTTAAAATATGCCACATAGATTTTTTTTATATTTTTCTGATAACCAGCGCAACTTGTCTCAACACCCAGTTCCGGCTTGACGTTACATTACGGGACACCCTGTATATAAAAATGAAACCCGTTTCGCGTTGTCACGGCATCACGTGTGAACGGCTGAACCGATTTCGATAATTCTTTTTTTTAAATGTTTGTGGAAGTCCAAGGATGGTTCTTACGGAAAAAAATATTAAGAAAATCTCTACGCTAAGGTGGTACGAAGTTCGCCGGGTCAGCTAGTGGTCTATAAAACTTTATATAGGCTGAATATAATCTAAATTGAAAACTCTGGAAGCTGTGGATAGAACTGCGGGCGTTTATAGGCCATTAGGGTCTTAAAATAATTACATGTCTGCGTATTGATTGCGATCGGCTCGAGCGGGCGTTTGGGAGCTAGGGATGTTCCGATACCACCTAAGTATCGATACCTACTCATTTCGATAATACTCAAATCTTTTTTCGATACTACTTAAATAAGTACTCCTAAAGTATCGATAGTTACTGATATCGATACTTTTTGGAACTTTTAGTTTGTTTTGTTACTTGTAAACAATCACTTAACACTTTCACAATGGCGGAATGGCGAGATGATTTGCGGGCGGGTGCGGGTGTCTCCTTCTCTCGCTTTCGGCTCGGGCTTGGCTGAAGTCGGACGAATTCGGCTGGCCCAGCGCGAGACAACGCGTCACTCACGCCGCCACGCGACGAATACCGGTAACTCGGTAACCGATTAAAGCTGATTAGCTGACTGTTTTTGCTCTGTCAGTTCTGTATGATGCGTTCTCGGTTTTTTTATTGTTTTCGGTTGTTTTGCTGACTCGATTCGATACCAAGTATTTTTGTTTCGATACCGATTATGTATCGCAAAATTGATTCGATACAATAAATACTTGGTATCGAATCAAAAGTATCGAGTACCTACTCGTATTTATTAGTATCGGAATATCCCTATTGGGAGCTCGAGGCTCGGGCAAGCTCGGGCTCCGAGCAGCCGGGCCCACGATTTGGCGCGATAAGCGATGTCGTTACAGGCGCGTGCGTCGTAGGCCCCGGTGAAAGTTCCTCTTTCCCGCTTCACCGAACCTCTCGTTGCAAACGTCTTATAGGGAAGTGTTAAAATTCATACATATTCTCTCTTCCTGAATGTGATTGACAGTTTCCTTTTTTTGTGTAAATGTAATTAGATGGAGGTTTTTTAATTAAGTTAAATAGAATATTGAATCTATTGCATAGATTATCAACAAAGACTTGTTATTATGAATGGTAGTAACTGGGATCTTTACTTGGGTTGGTTCCGCTGCAAGGATTAAAACGTATGTAAAATGTAAATCTAATGCAGTTCCAACTTTTAAGATTCTTGTAATTGGCAGTTCACAAAAAGATATTTTAATACATGAACCAACAATGCACTTTTTAAATACTTTACTTTCAATTTCACTTTCTTTTAAATTACAGTCAAAATAAAGTTGGCCAACCAACGAACTTGCAAGCAGGACAAATTGAACACTTTCAAGTGGTGTTAGTGTCGCTAATCCCATAGGCGTCGGTTCAACGAACAATATGAAGTTGTGTGGTTATTCGTCAGCTATTACCGCAGCGGCAAGGCGTAAGCCGCGCCCGCGCCGCCCCCGCTCGGCGGTGGCTGGCGGTTCCGCCTCCGGTTTATAAATACCGAACCGGCGCCGGATGCGCCGGCGCTGCATGACATACATATGTAGTACAGGGAACATTAACAGCTCAACCGATGTTCACTTATTGACTCCACCACCTTATAAGATTGACAACAAAAAGCTGTCGAAGCGCAAGATTCTATTGTTTAAGAGGACAGTTACTAAGAATAATGAATGAACTAATATGATCAACAATAGCAAAAACATACTGGTTCGTTAATTTGCACCACTTTTGTAATAATGACAACATGTGATATTATTATTTAAACAATACAGTCGGCCACTGATACAGACACTTATTATAGGTAGGTACTTATCTAACGTCTATCTTTTAGTTACGACGATGAATACAATGAACTGGTGATTCACTACATCTGCCTGTAGTCACTTACTCATTAGTTTACTCCAGCTAAACATGATTCTGTCGACATAATTTTGAAGATACCACCTAGTTATAGAGAACATTGAAATAGGTAATGTATTTTAGAACAATTAAATGATTTTATTAATACTTCTTTTTTATTATGTATGCTATGTGACTTCATTGTATAGCATTTATAGAATGCATTTATCAATGCACTGCGTCATGTCCCACCTCATATAGGTAGCAGAGAATGGCAGTGATTAATTAGAAAGAAGGAAAACCTGTCCTCTTGTTTGCCTAAAACAACAATTCATCATCAAGTGTCATTATCCAATATACCATTGTTATAAACTGTAATCGGTTCCATTCTAGTCTCTACAATACAGTTACTACTACGAAGAAGGAAAACAAAAACAAGATCGATCGGACGATTTCCTGGGTTTATATTCAATGTTAATCATTAATGAGGAACATGATTAAGCACACGCGAAGTACGCTGAGCATCATCCGCAGCTAACCTAGTTCGCCATTGACGGGTGTTTTTTAACTAACTAGGACACAAACCTACACGCGGATCGTACACACAGCAATGAGCGCATCGAGAAACACAAATAGCACGCTGTCCGAGAAACCAGAGCGTTGCACTTAGGGCGTTTGCACATGCCCCGGGACAACCGTTCGGGATGAAGGTATTAACGCTCGAGAGTCACTGAATCGAGGATTATGTCTCTAATAATAAAGTCATCAAGAACTGCCCACAGAGCACAGTACAGGTATAGTTGTCAGTTACAGTTAACATTTCCACTATCTGTAATGTTGTAACTACAACAGATATACACGCCGAGGAAATTCCGTAATGTAACGTAATTCATAATGTATTATGTAAAAATTAAATGGAGTATCCATTTGCTTTAATGAAACAGAATAATACAATATTGCAGTATCAGTAGCAGGCACAAAATGCAGCACTTTTTAAACCGTATTATAAAGTGTACACCGCCCCTTAGGTTGAATCGCCCGTGGGCCATACGGGCACGGGCGATGATCATTTTACGCACTACGAAGTTCCGGGACCAATTTATCACTTAAAAGCTTCCGCTCAGTGCACCACAAGATGTTATGAAAAGCTTTTTATGATGTCTCGCTCGCTTCTTGAATTGAGCGTATACCAACATCGGCCATGTTGGAATTCGTTTGAGTCTATACTTGATATTGATGAAACTATAATAAAGAAATTGTAGTTTTTTACGTAAAATATTCTGTCATACAGCAAAGCTTTTCTGAAATTCTACAATTTGAAAACTAGCTTGAATGAAACATGCTTTATCAAGGATTCATAAAGAAAAAATATAGTTATACATCTGCTCGTTCACTTGCAAGCAGCCAGTTGAAGAGCATTACAAACAAGACATAGGTATAAATAAGTAGGCGCGACGCAGGCGCAGTGCACTGATAAAGTATCGCGAGACAAAGAACCCATTAACTTAACTCGTTGAGTGACGTGACATTTCCTTCGATATCCGCCAATGCTGCTCACCTCTCGGGTCACTAAATCATTATCGCTTCCGCTCATTAACAAACAAAATAATTGCCTGCCTCTTCTTATAACATACCTATTCGATATTGGAGCACATTGTGAGTATATTTTGTTCCCACGCTGGAAAAAACCAATATAGGGTGGCAATTCTTTTAGCTCAGTTCATTCAGTCCCAAATTAAATGTAACGAGGGGGTGTAGCGGAAGGGACGTTCCGCGCGGGCGCACGCGCACCGGAAACGCATCCTGGAGGCGCGCGCCGTAGTGCCGCCCCTACGAGTGCGAGGCGCTCCACGGACAAACGCCTTCACCCAATAAATCATGACCGATCGGTTGATTTAATTAATTTTAATAGAGCTAACGAGCTAAATATGTATCTTAATGAAAATCCACTCAGTGAATTACACCAGGGAAGGCAAAACCCACTTTAGTGTACTAACTAGGGTAAGACATACTTCTTTATGGAGTGTAAAACAATAGAAAACTATTTTTATTATGAAAACCATCAGCGCGCAGCGTAATAGAGCTATACTAGCTTTTTCCCGCGGCTTCCCCCGCGTGAAATTTCGTTTGTCACAGATCGTCATAAATTATAGCCTATATGCTATTCTGGGTTATAAACAATAATACTGTAAAGTTTCATCAAAATCCGTTCTACTGAACGGATTTTGTTGATGAAACTTTTGTGAAAGAGTAACAAACATCCAGACATCCGAACTTTCGCATTTATAATATTAAGGGTCAACAAAATGAAAGTTTTTTTTAAGTTTTTAAAAGCTTCCAACAAAAGTTCTAATTTTCTGTTCGTCATAATAAATACGGTAAAAAGCGCTTTTATCCTTAGCAATGAAGTGCCAGGTCGCAGTAAAAAGATAAAAAAAAAACATTTCGATGCGGTTTACAAACGTGAATACGAACAGCACCTAGTGGGCTACGGCTCACTACATAATACGTGGTTTAACTACTCAATGCTATTAGCAAAGTACCAAGCTCTAATTATTCCTAATTCGCCACAACTAGCGTAGACGGCCGGCCATTCATAAAGTGGCCAAACCTTGACCCATTAAATTTGTTTGCCCTCCCTAATGTGTCGGCGAACGGTTCCCAACCGATAAGACCGGAAGCCGATCCGGACGCCGGACAATGGATCCGTTATTATGTCAGTTCCGTAGTGAAACGTAAAACGTTCGAAAAAGTACGTTTGACAGCCGCCGGCGAGGGGTGCGTCTGCGAACTATAGATATCACAGGAAATTCGAAAATAGTACAGTCAGTCAAGGACAAGCCTTACAGATTGTTGGGGCATTAAAATGTTAAAGTACATACTGGAGTAAATGGGCAAACAATACTGTGCCAATCTGCCGAGATTACCTGTCTTTTGAGCATAAGTTACGTACTAGCTAGTGCAACAAAGCATTATGAGTTTCTTTGAATTTCAAATAAAATAAATTAGAGAAAGTCGGGATTTTACAAAGGAGACTGAATAGCCTGAAGATGTTATTCAAAACAGTGCACGTTTTTAGAAACATAACATTCGAGCAGTAGTAAAACAGCGATAGATGGAGCGAAAGATAAACGACAAGGTTGGCTAATAGGTTCGGGCTCATTAGCACCCATTAATAGAGCCGATATCTAAGAGTGACCAGAATTGGACTGATGATGATCCATTACAGAATACAAAAGCAGCAGTACTCACTTGAGTGTCCGTTCCATGGTAGAGGTGCGAAATATTTCCTCCTGGTCGAGCGACAACACGCAGTATATGTCGCGGTGGCACGACCCGCCATGGCTGCGACCTGGCACGTTTTTTGCTTCACCTGGAACAATAACAAAACATATGAAGTAAAGAACCAACACTACTGTAAATACTGCTGGCTGACAAAGGTGGTCGAGTTTCCTCCGCCACTTCTTCTTAGCACCAGCTCATATTATGTTGTCCCTTAGGGTACGGCTATTTGGGAAGCGTATAAGCGCCCTGGAAAGGGCCTAAGTACAGAATAAATAACTTAGACATTGCTATATCTAATGATCGTTGAAGAAAACGATTGAATAGACCGAGATAAGTTAAAAGAGTAATTGCATGTATCACCATGGGCCTCAGTCTTCACTAAATCTAAAGAGGAAGTTGTTTTGGGAATAAATAAGTAAGTCCGAAAATGTATTATGTTAGGCTGCTTTGTATTATTTTACCTAATTCAAACAAAATTGCCCAAGTTTAAAGTGGAGTAAAAATACCTTTTACTAAATGTTTAATGGAATGTTGACATTAAAAGGCATTACCTTGAACCGTTTCAGATTGCAAGAAAAAGTGTTGACATAAAAGAAAATATACTTTTTTGAAGTTTTGGTAGAAATCAGGTCAGCTGGCCTGGGATTTCATATCTATGATAGATTTAAAAATTTATGCTATAATTAATTTTAAGAAGGAATACTTCTTTAATGCCATCGCAATTTCAAAGGACATGAACTCTACTAAACTGAATGAAATGATCAAGTTTAACGAACCCTTGCAATTATGTGGCAACAATGAATAATCACAATACTCGTTACAGTGTCCGCTGTAGGAGTGTAATCGTGATACATAAAAGGAAGAAGCAGTGACGGCGATTGCGCAACAAATCGCGACCTCGTCAGTCGTCAGATATTGCTTATACGGCGATCCAAGGTGAAACCATCGGCCCATAAGAGACCTGTCGCTTGCCCAGCGAGTCCTGATCGAGCTAAATCTGCGAAGGCGGTCTTAACTACTTGCAAAATTAACTCAAATCATCAATCATTTGATCTGAAAATTTTATTACATAGTAGGTAATATTTACCTATGAGATATTGTTGATATGAATGAAGTCAATGACAATGAACTCACATAACACTGGTCACTGGTAAACAAATATTATGTTAATGTCTACAGTCATTTTTGGATTATTATCTAAAAGATGACGGTCAGTTTATTACAGTCAGTCATTTATACATATTTTCTCTGAGGTGAAAGTTAAATTATAATGATGATGGTATTCAAATTGTCGCTATAATAGGAAAACGAACGCATTTCCATTGAACTTTGCAAAACGGTGTGAGAGTGATGAATTTGCTGAGGAACCTGGGTATGATAATGATTAATGATTACGAGTATGGATACTAAAGGTAGGCATTCGTTCTATAATAATAGGACTAAACAAATAGAGAGATGACGTGTGTTTCGGTAAATGTTATAAATAGTCAATTATGTTATGAAAACAACTTCCTGCAATAAGGAAACAAAGCGCGTGGCCGTGACCGACACCAATACACACGCTAGTTATTAAAAGTCCGGAATTGCACCTACTTTCATCTGAAATAAAGACTGCACATCGTCAATGAATTTACAAAGTAACGCTACATACACTTTCACAAAATTTCCTAACGTAAACGGCTCATTATTACGTACACCAGTAATTAGAAAGAATGTAAATTATCATGAGCCAGCCGAGGCAAGATTATTGCTGCGATTGTTAGGGCGTTTAAAACAAAGGAGAGACCTTCCTGTGGACGTAGGCTCCCACAAATTCGTAATTGGACTACGAGAGAAACTTGCAACAAACTGTACATAATTGCTGATGCAAAAACAACCGTCATCATCATCAACATGACAGTAACACACGCCACCAAAGTGGATCGTGGGAGTGAAACGGGAACCTTTGATTCAGCTACCGAGGAAACGCACACGAACCTAACTGCCTACTATGTGGCCACAATAGCGATTATTAAGATGTTTCCACACTGCGTAGTGCGATTGTTTCGAAATCGAGAGTACGTTGGATACCGCAGCCATGGGAACAGTTTATGGTGCAAATATATCGGTACTCGTGGTCTCATAATTTTTGAACATTCTGCAACTTCTTTGCATAAGTTTTACAAAGAACTTATCGTCTTCAATTTCATAAAGCATTGTAAATGCCTAGCTGAAAACGAATAAAGATTTTAATCCATTTTCAGTAACTTGTTTGGCGTAACGTAGGAATACTTTTTTGATTGAACAATAGCACAGTAAATCTTGAAACACTGTTACACATATTAGACAATGCCGAAACTACATTAACTTTTTACGATGCGCAGGAAACATTAAATTCGTTCACTTACGCAACGCGGACTTTATTCCAGGCTATTCCCGGGAATTAACAGCTCATGCAATTATTTAATTCTGCGTACTTGATCAGGGCCCGCAGGCAGCCATGCGTGTCTCCGGCATTACACATTACCCGAACATCATAAACTCAATTCGATTCGCTGGGATTCTGATAAAGGTGACTGTCATAAATTATTGTTAGGTACTCTGGTAATTGTATGTGTAATTTCACCATTATAGCATTCAGGGAAAACCAAGACTAAAACAGTTTGATTAGTCAATTCAAGGGGCTATTGTTTTGCGAATTATTTCAGTAAGAACCTCCTTTTTTTGAAGTCGGTTAATATTTAAATCATTCAGTTGATTATAGTATTAACTAATCATTAACTAACTATGGCAGTACCTAACCTACACTATGTTAGTCGAATTCGAAATATCTAGGGCATTCACCCACATAGTGGCAACTGGCAAGCCTAAATCTGCAAATTGTGGAAATCGGCGTTGGTAAATATTGCTATTTAAGTTTTAACATTTTGTAACATTGGCGAATTTATTAGAACAGTGGGCGGAAAGTTGGATCATTGTTGTCGTAAACATTTGACATTTAGAGAGAGAAGTCGGTATGAATGACGAGCTGGTAGTGCGGGCGCCAACCAGTGTGTAGAAAGTACCTACGCACAGATCGGTGCCGAACGGTAAAGGTACTATAGCTTTCTCATCTCGAGATAGTTGCGCGCACAATAGCTGGTGCACGATGTATAAAGAACATAAAGGTTGTGGTGCTAATAACAGTAACGATTTCCCCGTGTCGCGGCAAGCCACGAGCGATGAAAAAGATTATTACCCAGTGGTAGTAGAGAACGTACAATTAAAAAAAAAAAAAAAGAAACTTGAGAGAATTTTAAATAAGAAAATCTTTTTATCCCAATTATTTGATTTCATGTTATTCTGATAGAAGCTCATCTAATCAGTTATTAGTAGTAGTAACGTGAAATGAGTGCTCTCATTTTATGCTAATGAAACATTGAAACTGTAAATTACTCTAAGTCATTCAAAAAATCTATTGTATTTATTCTCTCAAAACGACCTTCAACTTGTTTGTAAGCATTCACATAGTCATAGAAGAGTTTATATTTTTCATCAATTGCACAAGTAGACACAGTTACTACACAAGTACGTCGTAAGTTATAATTACCTCATTATGTAAAGCCAATGTGAGCAGATTGAGGTGGGTAAATAAGGCGAGTTTCTACTCTACAGTTGTTTGAGTTTAAGACCAGCTACGATTTTTATTATTTCGTAAATGTATTTGTCAATTGAGTCAAGTCCAATCAGATAAATACGAAAATGAAGTTACAATCAAGAAAACGTTCAAAACAAATGTTATCGATGTCGTAATCTTATCGATATTGCGAGTGATTAGACAAGAGTGTTTTGAATGTAAATATTACACTAGCACATGCGGTCGTGGTGTACCGTCGACGATAACGTTGACGATAAACGAACGCGTTTTTCATTAACGGACTGGCGAGTTTCCATGAATGGGTGCGCTGAATGGAAAACGTTCCGTTTGCCCCATTCACTGTGCGGCGTGGTCGCGTAGATAAATAGTAGCGGCGGAGGTTCGACGCCTCGCCCTCGATGTGTCACCCACCCATCACTTTACAACCCCAGTAAATTACCACCACACACGAATGCCACCATGAATGTACAGAAACAAAGGTTCATTCATAGAAACCGACGCAAAAATAAAATGCTATAGGTAGATACTAACTATTAACCTATTGACGAGTCACTGTTAATAGTTGGTGGACCTTAATGGATTAAACAATAACAAATCAAACGAATATTATTATTTGACACACGCGGTTTGAAGCGTATCTGCATTGCTAATTTATCAGACATCCGTTTTAATAATGGGCTCCTCCATAAGTTGTTCTAGTATAGTTTCAGTAAGAACTGGGTTATGAAAGTTTTAAGCATCGTGTACGATATAATACTAAGTCTATGCAAATTCAATAATTTTATCTAGAACAGCACATGTTAGAAGTCGGACCAATTACTGGCCTGTCCATCCTGGTCTGCCGTAGGTACCGGAAAGTGTCAATGCCGCAACACGCTCGGTTGGTCGGCCCGTAACTCGCCGCGGCTCATTGGCTTTGGGAGAACAATGTGCATGTCACTACTCGTGACACATTGCATAAGTATTTTTGTTAATGAACATAACACAGTATTAACTCGAACACAGGCCTCTTATGTTACCTACTTTAGAAGCAATTATACTGTTTAGTGCTTTGGTTTTAAAATGAATTGATGGAAAATTAGATCTTAATATTTGTTATCAGATAGGCAAGCAAACAATGATAACTGTCTGTTAAGACGGGAAACGTAAAGTTTACTTACAAATGATTAATTTCGAGGTCACTTTAGTCGATTAAAGAGAAGTAAGCCAACGGAAACCGCAGACACTATAATAAGGAGATTCAACTGGTGAACTCCCACAGACAAGGGATGACTAGTTAGTTATGACTTGCGTGATTCAGTCATCTACGTCATTAAACTTTGCGTATAAGTTAACGAAGGACGTCTTTGAAATGCGACCGACCGCCTATAGTAAGCTTAGAGGCAGGTACAGTCTCCATGAGTCACTTAATGCATAAAATATAATGGGTTTCAATTAACTGCAGCCTGTTTGGGCGAGTAAGTGGTATGCGGGAGCGGGAAAGAAAAATGGTGTGCAGTATAGAATAGATATGCACCAGGTTGAGGACGGAAGTAACCATAAAGAGTTTATCGTCTGCAACAGCGAAAATTATTGCATTTATAAGGTTTATCTCCTTCCATTCAGAGATCATGTTGTTCAATAAATAGTATTGTATACCTTCAATAATGACTTCAGCATTTTAACCCTAATGATCAATAAAAAAATATGTACTTTACATTCACTCAGAAAAAGTAGTAGATTCCTGCTCTTTAGGGATTTTTATCCCCTACAGAAGGAAGAAAGGAAGGCAGAGAAAAGGCACCAGTATTTGTAAATCGACATAGGCATTTACTACATTATGGAAAATTAAGAAAAATATACCTACATTGCTTGTTATTATTTCAACTGAAGGTTTCAATGAGGCTTTTGGTGCTGTTTATGGAATTTAAAGCCAACTGTTTAATTTTATAAATAACTAAACAAAAGAACAAAAAAAGGTTTAAAAATGACTTTAAATGAGAACACTGTTTTTAAAATACAATCAGAAAAAGACATAACATGTAAAATTAAAATATGTTTGATGAACAAGTCACTCAGAAATAAGTGAAACAAATTGAAAATGTAAGCAGTTTGTTCATTTGTATTTGACGATAGCGCAAGAGAACAGTAGCAAAGGGGGAGAGGTCGCGGGTCGTGCCCCGGAAGGCGTACTGCACTCCTATCAGACATACTTCGCGTTATCATGGATTTATGAGTCCGCTCCGTCATCAACACAAATCAATCAACGCTCTACTCATCTAATATAAAGGATAATTACTGCCAAAAAATTCTTGTAACATTTAACGTAATAGTATAATATAGCTTTTTTAGATAAATGCTATACCTACATCTACAAAATCATTTTATTTTTGATTTGATAAATAACTGAAATAAATTTGTTAAAATTGATGGTTTTTTTTTCCGTATTAATAAAAAACATTTAAACTATTGAGCATTTCAAATGCATTAAAATTTCCATGATGTGATTGCCAATTTGAATTTCAGATGACTTCGGTCTATTGAAATAACATGTAAGCAAACCTATGAAACTATGCTTGAATCTGAATCCTATTTAAGAGTACTGCATCAAAATTAAGGGTTAATATTATAACTAAATACAGTAGAATCTCGATTATCCGGACTTCGATTATCCGGATATCCGATTATCCGGACTCATTCTTCACGGTTTCTATTTATCGATTCAGGGTCTGGACCCATAAAAACCGAAGGCGCCGCCACCGTAACATGGTACGGACGTCTTTTTAGTTCATTGTTAAAAGAAATGGATGACCAATGGTCTAAAATTTATATTTTTAGACTCTAAAATGATGTATTGAAAACCCTTTCTATTGTAAAAAGTTAATTATTGTTTGATTTTACTTTGAAATCGATTATCCGGATTTTCGATTATCCGGAACACCCCTGGTTTTAATTGATCCGGATAATCGGGATTCTACTGTAGGTAATTACTGGGCTTTTCCAGTCTACAAGTTTTTTCTTTTCTTCAGTTAATTTCAGGTCTACGTATCACTACGTCTAAATTAACAGCAATAGCAAAATGGTTTCTTGTCCCTTTTATTGACCGCTTTACATTCCCACACCAAGATACCAGTTAAGTACTAATTTCAATTACTGTAAATCACATTTATAAAAATGCTATTTTTTTATTTTATTGTTCGTTAGTTCGTTTCAGCCGAAAGACGTCCACTGCTGGACAAAGGCCTCCCCCAAGGATTTCCACAAAGACCGGTCCTGCGCCGCTTGCATTTATTTATTTTATTGGTTTATCAACAACTTACGACTAACTTTTAAAAAGCGATTTTACATGTCCCTATAGAACTTGAAGCACCTTACCCTAACCTACCACTGCTTCGGGACAATCAATGGGCTAGTTCTGAGAAGAAGCAGCACAAGAAATTCAGCCACCTTTGTCAGCCAGTTCTTTTTATGTTTGTTATTGGTTGGTTGCCATTGTAATAAAAGAGATAATTTATTTTTTTACTATACTTCAAATATAACTACAATATAAACAAGACAGTTCAATGTACTAATGATTTGCTAGTAGTAATTTTTACATTTGAGTAAAACATTTCATGTACGTAGGACTTGCAAACATGCATTATTTTACTTGCCAATGATAAGGATAGGATAGAACAGTAAATTAATACAAAATCGCTGTATATTAATTTGTTATTTTCAACCGACTTCAAAAAAAGGAGGAGGTTCTCAATTCGACCCGTATGTTTTTTTTTTTTTTTTTTTTTTTTTTTTTTTTTGCAGATTTTAAGAACAATATGTAAACTATTAAAAAATAAAGAAATTATTGCTCGGACGGACCCTGAAGTTAGTTAAACGACCACTTTAAAATAAAAAATACAAAAAAAATCTCATTTCTGATACAGCTATCTTTGACAATTTTTAAATATATTTAGGAAAACAAAAACTAAGTAAATTACTGTTGAAAAACATAGGCTCTATCCTTAATTATCGCAATCCACCACTGTTACTCGAAAACAATGGTTTTGAAAATAAATATGCAATTTACAAAAGTTGTAAGTTTAAGAGCGCCCGAAAACAAATACATCCACGTTAAGCGAACTATCGCATTCAGACTACTCTAGAGGGTAGATTTGCGCTCGTTGAACATTGAAAAGGGTACCATGGTATTCCTGGAAGTCTGTACTACCCGCGTACATGGTTTATTTTTCAATAGATTGATTTTGGAAAACTGGGTTTTGGCCGCCTAAATCGTTGAAATCTACGTATGTACCATGATTGATACTTTTGGAGTCGGTGCAGGCAAACTTTACATGTTTCATAAACTTGGCACCGACTCCAGAAGTATCAATCATGGTATACCTACATAAATATTAATAATTCGTCCTAATAAATAAGTAGGTAATTAGTAATTATTTTTCTACGTTTTAGTGTAGGTTTTTTGGAGTCGGTTTTATTTTTTTTTTAGAAGGATATTTTACTAATGTAATTTTATTGCTCATGATGTAGATAATTCAGAATAATGTATAGTTAATGCTATTTTATTTAACCAAATGAGGTACAGATAGCTTGAGGTAACAAGGTCCTACCTCCCCACAAAAACTGAAGAACACAATTTTTTTTATTTCAGCCAAGTCTGGGATATTGCATTTCGACATATAGAAACACGGTAAACAAAGTGTACATAGTAGATATCTAATCTAATATGATATAGGCACGAGATTCATTGTGTACACGGAGATTCATTTTCATTCATAAACCGAGTATGAACTGTCAAAACAGCTATGAGCTCACAACAAAGATGTTAGGCTTTATTCGTTTTTGATTCCTTAACAATCGATCGGGATTTCACAAAATATAGTTGTGAGATTCATTCAATGTGCTTTTCGGCTGATATTCATTCACATCTGGCTCAGAAAAGCAAGAGTACTTATCACCACCTGTTCACTAGAATCACAACAACATTACTCCTAACGAGATTACAAAAGTCATTTACGAGATTTTCAACTCTACAAACTACACCAATAAAACTACAAGACAAATACAACGAAAAATTAGCAAAAAAGATGCTTACCAATCTTTATTTTCAATCTTTCTTCAACTCGTACTTTACGCGTATCGTCCGCCATGTTAAATCCATTACTGTTTATCTCTTTCATCCGTTGTTATCTCTTTCGGAACGAGCTCGGCCGGCTTGCTTGTCCCGCCACTTCCGGAGTGTCGTAATGTTCTACTTCTGCCTGTTTTCCAGACTTCCAGTTTCAATTCAGTCACTTGTTCATGTATTTCAAATCGAAGCACTTATCATCACAAAATGTAATGGGAGCCACATTCGAGAGTTCAAACAAAACTAACACTAGAGATCGCCTAGATTCACGTTTGCAGTGCGCATGTGCTCAATACCTGCACTCTTTCAATGAATGAATGCACTTCAAGCCAAAATGCACGTAACATTCAGGAAAAGGTATTAAAACATGTTGCAGCACTTGTGTAACAAATCACTAAAAATATTATTTTGTGGTAAACACAACACAAGAAACATTATTGGAAAACTCATTTTCATTAATGAAACAAAAAGTATGAATGGACAATTACGTCACGTCACGACGTTGCGCCTGCGCGGCCGCGGATGTAGGTATGTAAAGTGATGCGAAATCAAGCTTCGATATTTCACGTGATACTGGAAGTAACTGTTATACAGAACATGTGAAATCACAGAGAAAAATACTCTCTAGCGTATTCCTAATAGAATCATCACTTCAGCTTCTCAAGCTGGGCCCCGATTACGCTAATTTTTAACGTAATTATTCGTTTATTTATTTCTAATAAATTGACATTGCTTGATTTGACTAATTATATTTTTTTATTCGACTTATGAAATCAATCATTCAAATCCAAATCTGTCTGAACCAGATAGAAAAAAGCCATCAATACTCAACACAGTCAGTAGTCTGCCCTTAATCCGTAATTCCGTACAGTTATTTTGTTTTATAATCAGCCTACCACTTTTAGAATAAAGTCAAACCACGTTAAAGATAGAGTCGAGAGTGTTTTTATCTTGAATTTTTTTTTTTTTGGGAAAGTTTTATTTATCCGTGGTACTTATTCATTTCATTTTATTAAAAATAAAATGTGCAAAGTTTAAAGGCAATAGTTGTTATGTAAGAGATAATAATAAAATGTTTGAAAATGAATACTATTCAAAAGCTAAACTTACCGTTACCGTGTCATCTGATTAATTATTTTTGAATGTATCTTTTAGTCACTTAGTACATCCCTATGACGAGACTTTCCTATTGCCTACGTATTGTTGAAAACGAATGTTTGAATGACAGTTCTACGACGATGCTTATTGGTCCACATATTGTGTCCACCATGTCATTAGCAATTAAACAACGAATTTTGATTGGTCCGCACTGAGTTGGCATATCTTACTATCTCCCTTAATCGTATAGCATTATCTCGCTTTTACCTTAAAAAATCCGTTGGCATGACGTTCTCTTTAAATCACCTTACGTCACACAAAATGTCATTTTGATTTGATGTGTTTGTTTTGCTTTTTGCTCTTCGATGTTTTTGTTTTGAACAAAATAATTTAAAATGTAATTAAACTTGCTGCCTTGCCTAAATGCTAATTAAGTAACTAAGAATTTTAAGTTAGTAGGCTGTTTTTAAAATGAGTATACATTGAAAAGTATGTTTCAACATAAATGTGTAAAATTAAAAGATGTTATTTATTTAAAATTGTACTGGTACTAATACAATTGTAATTAGTTTACATAAAACAATGATTGATGATAACTATTCTCATCAGAATCATACACTGATGTATGTCACAGAAAGTGTTCCAGGACCGCCAGAAAACTCGAAACATTATAATCAAATAGTTGAAGATTTCAATTCACAGCTAACCAAGAAATGTGATTGTAATAACTTATGTGAACTCCCATGTTGTCCTTGTGTCAAGCAGTCTGATGGAAGTAACTATGTACCAAGTTTGGATACTGATATATTGTATTTAAATGAAAGTAAACTGAAGGATGGTGTAATGGGCCCTATACTAGAATGTAATGATCTATGTTCTTGTTCTTATAATTGTGGCAATCGCCTTGTACAAAGAGGTCCTCATAAATCTTTGTATGTTGGAATGAGTTGTAATGAAAAGAAAGGTCTTGGTCTATTTTGTAATAACTTTATTCAAAAAGGTACATTTGTTTGTGAATATGCAGGAGAAGTGATAACCAAAGCACAAGCAATTAGCAGGCAGCCCCCCAACATTGTGAATAAAGAAATGAATTACATATTTTGTTTAAATGAACATAGTGTAAGTGGAATTTCACAAACATTTGTAGATCCAAGCGAGTTTGGGAACATTGGACGGTATGCCAATCATAGCTGTGATCCAAATTGTGTCATTGTGCCTGTTAGGGTCAATATTCCCATACCGAAACTGGCACTTTTTGCATGCAAGGATATCCCTCCACATTCTGAAGTCACTTTCCACTACGGCTCACCTGATCGTACTTCAGATTTGGTTGAAGAAGATGTTGTCCAAAAGAAGTGTTTGTGCGGTACCGCAAAATGTAAAGGTTGGATGCCGTATCAAAAGTTTTGAGTAGTCATAAGTAAGTCATACAATAAAATATTTATTTACACATAGTTTTATATTTTTTATTTCAAATATTTTTTACCTACCTAGCTAACAATACCTACTTTTCAGTTCAAGTTTTGACTCCTAACTTATAACTATGTTTTTCCTATAGGGTGCAAATATCTTCAGGCATCCCAAGGGACTAGGTGCAGTACAAATATTTATGATGTATTAAATAATACTTAAATTTTCAGAAACTTCTTTGAAAGTACAAAATCAGCAACAAGGTGTGACGAATATTAGAAATGACACCCAGTTCTGGCCAAGATCTAGCAAGATCGAAGTCAGTACGTCATTCTCACTGCATGTATGAAATGTAAGCATTGTTTTTCATATTGATATATTTGCTTTGTATTTTAGGCACACAAGACATTCAAACTGCCACATAACATTAAGTGAATCAAGCCCCAAAAATCTACCTTTCCACACACGCGTAATCACACGTTACTAAAATCAGCAATACAATCGCGATGATGTCGCGTGACTGTAAACCGCGCATTTGTATCGATGCAAAAAGTCGTAATGTGTACCCTGAATTCGACTTTATTATTTGACCATCAGACTATTCTATTGTAAAGAATTATGGTAACTTGTGTCCCTATAAGCCTAATAGCAGTACGAAAACCAGGTCTACCAGTACGAAAAGAATGTAACGCCTGTTAAAAAAAATAGCAATTCATTACTTAGAATTTGCTATGCTTTTTTCATAGGGGTAGCAAATATTTTATGTATTGAATTTGGATTGTGGTTGACGACTTTTTTGTTTTCTGTACCCTTCGCCCTCAGAGGATTTCATCTCAAGTGCCATGTTTTCGGAAGCATGGATTTTTTTCCTAGAACGGATTCACTTGTCGGCAGGCAGTACAGTACATACCTACAGTCATGCATGACTCCTGAAAGTACTGAAGTGTATTTTATTTTTGTTGACTCATGTCGTAGGTTTTTTTTTTTTTTTAATATTTGATAGCGTTGAATAGCTGTTAATAAAATATCTCGATGAATAAGTATTTAGAAATCTCAAAATACAGTGTAGTACAAGCAGTTACGTGGTGATGGACCATTATCCTAAAAAAATTCAAATCATAATGTACTCGTACGTATGTGTGTTTATCAGAAACTAAAGAAAGAAGATTATTACGATCATTATGATCAAATGCTTCGCTAGTAAATTAATAGGTATACATACAAAAAACTTACCAAGAAACTGAATTGGTACTTAGTTATTATTCAGAAATCTAAAATGAAGTAAACTTATATTCCAAGTATTAGTAGATGGTCAAAACAAAGCGATATTCTATTTTTTTGACCTAAGACCTGCGCATCTTCGAATCGTGGGCAATCGCCGTTAAGTACAGCGGAAAACCCGGTATACGCTAGTCGTCATACATTCGTATAGTTGTACATAAGCCGGCCGCGGGTCGCCTCACAACGAGTTTCGCGGCGACCGAGCTACGCACCACACGCTCCTCATCCGACTCCTTATTTATACATTATTCACCACCACCAGCCGGGACGTGGAACGTGCCAGAGTTTGAGAGATCAATTGGTGCAATCATCTCGTTGAGCGTAAACAAACGGGTGAGTGTGGCTTGGTTTATGTAACCACTCCTGATGGCCGACCGGCGGGTGCCTAAGAATCAATCACACCATTTTTTCATGTCCTGTATGATAACAATTGCATGAATACGAGCTCTTTTTGTGCGATTACACTCGGTTTATAACGCACCTATTATAGCTTCGTTCTATAAACCGTGCTGGCGAATGTACACCGAGGTGTACTGACGTATGTGCTGTATAGTATAGATAGATAGCTATTCCCAGGAAGCTCTCAATTGTTGTCTGTTGGTGCGGAATTCAATTTCAACTTACCTTCGACCATAGGTAGTGGTACCATCTGCATTATAGTGGAAAGGTAAGTAATTTAAACGGAAAACTACTTACTTATATCTATGTAGTAACTTTATTTACTTCGCATTAATCAACTTGTAAACCCGGTCCGGTAAGTACTAAGTACTTATGTGCCTAGTTAATATTCTCCCAGTGAAATTAGTCCCCTAGCAGTTTTAACACCAGTCAGGCCAAGTACCTACCTTCCAAGTAGGATGTTTGTTACCCAACTTATTAGAGAGGTTTTTCCCCTGATGAACGGAAGGGTTCATAAACGCAGTAGGTACAGATTTATGTAAATTAACTGCGTGAATCGTGATATCTGTTTTGTTACTTTATTATCATATTATTATTGTTTTTGTTTATCGATTCTCCGTAAACTCTTCAATTTGAGTCATCTAAAAATCTCTCAGTAACCTTGCTTGTAGCTTAATTAATACTTGGTAAAAGCAGTAGTTTAATAGGTAGGTTAAAACTAACCACATGCTTAAAACTAGTTTTTATGCAAGATACATAAAATTTTCCAGAATCATAAATTTGTTTCTTCCGTAGCGATGACAGAGCGTGAGAATCTGAAGGATGGTTTCGTAAATTCGAATAGCTACTTATTCAATGATGATGAATTTTTTGCGCGTTCTTATTAGAATACTTCTTAGACAATTTATCTAAATTAAAGATATATTTTCCTACTGTCTGATACTTCTTACTATAATATACTACCTTAAGATTAAAGTTATGATCATAAAAAAGCTTTTTCAGGGTCGAAACCAGCAGAGAAGCCATTTAAGGTGTATCTTAGTTTCCAGTCTAAAAATAAAAAGATGCTATGCATGTAAATGGTTTTGCCTAGCTAGAGGCAAATGCTGGAGTTTGCCTGTTATCTTTTTGTTAGGAGCCGAGAGTCGAGACTGGTTTTCTTAGAACACTGCAACTTGTTTACCGATGTCGATAAACTTTTAGCTTTATCCAGTTTGTGAAATGACCTTCGGCTGGTAACAGCAGTCTACGCTGTGATAGCTAATCGATTTATTACACTTACTCTTGCCCATTACTTGGACTTAGGTGGACTTAGGTGCTAATTAATTTTGTAAGCTGTAATTTGTATTGTTCTACATAAATAATACCTAACGAATATTTTCGTCAACGAAGTACTGATGGCTTCGGATTCAAATTCAAATATTTTATTCAGTACATAGGCCCTTTCCAGGGCACTTATACAGAGTTATATTATTGATTTTTTTTATGTTATTGCATTTACATGCACCTTTTGTTTCATTAAAATCCATTCAGTTATTTTAGCGCGTAACGCGACATCAATATGTCCTCACAAACTTTCACGTTTATGTTTTAGTGGGTGAACTGGGACCCATGACTTATTATTTCTTCATTTATTTACAACGCGACTCCACAATGCTTTTCAATGTCAGTTGAATTGACGATTGTTGACAACAATGCAGTCGGTTGCAACACTTGTAACCCTTCACCACTTTGTACGCCGTAGATTGAACTCAGCTCAGAAACTCTGAGAAAGTTTAACCGCTACACCATAGAGTAGAAAATAGCATTAATATATTGTTTCTTTCTTTCTTGGAAAGCGTGGTCATCATTTTTAAGTTAAGAGAACTATTTACATTGGCAGACATTATCTCCTGTTAGGTCACAATGCCAGGGTCTCGTAATCGTGATACAAACGGTACCTACCGGCTAAAATAAACTTTATTTTAATTTGGGTTAATAAGACAGCAGAACAGGTGTAGTTTCCTAATATTTACAATCGTCCTTCTAATTTGACATACTAACATAAAAAATAATATGTGACCGTTTAGAGATTGTATACACTTAAAAGATTATTGCATATCGTTATCAAAAAGGATCACATACAAGAAATGGTCTTTGTACTTTCCAATTTACGGATTGCACATACTTTAGATTTTTGTTCTGGGACTTTAGATTTTTGATTGACAGGAAACCCTGGTCAGGGCCTCACAGTATTTTTATTACATTAAATTGGTACAATCTACATTACACATAATATTCCAGGGTGTAAAATGGGGCCTTACTGGCTGCCGATGCTAGGATGCCTCTGCGTCCTGGCTAGTCCGGTCTTCTCTGCTGCGGTGCCCACTCCAGACACCATGGTTGTGGCGAGATCTGACAATGGAGAATCGGTGAGTTTGTAAAGAAATAAGTAACAGCTAAGTTACTAAAAACTGGTTTTTGTGAAGTAGATTGGTATATTGTAGTGTTTTATCATGATAGAGCACAACGCCCACGCCTCCCACGACAGAGGTGGTGACAGAAGAACCGAGTCCTCCACTGAAACTGACGGAAATGGAGGTGTCGTCAAACATCGCGCTTCGTTACGCTCACACGGCCGTGGTCACCACGGTGCGGAACCCCGCGCACCGCTCACAAGAGGCCACCTTCAGGGTCTTGCTGCCGGAGACTGCCTTCATCAGCGGATTCACCATGTAAATAACATCCCAAAAATATTTTTTTGCAATTCGAACGTTAGCAATCAACTGATTTGAATACCCTTTGACAGGATCCTCGATGGCAAACCCTACAAAGCCTACGTTAAGGAGAAGGACGAAGCAAAACAAATCTACAATCAAGCGGTGTCAGCAGGAATAGGTGCCGCGCATATCGCTACCAAGTAAGTGAGGTTATTAGGAAAATTTTCGCTCTTAGTCATTTGTACAATTACCACGAAATTGTTCAGACTTCTCGTTTCTTTCATCCTGTTGACACGGCCATATGATCCCGCAGGGCTCGCGACTCGAACCACTTCACGGTGTCCGTGAACGTAGAACCCAACACGGTGGCTGTATTCAACCTGACGTACGAGGAGTTGTTGGTCCGGCGCAATGGAGTGTACAACCACGCTATCAACCTGCACCCGGGCGCGCTCGTGCCCAAGCTCACCGTCACGGTACACATCAAGGAAGCGCAGAAGATCACTGCACTCAGGGTGCCAGAAGTCAGGACTGGGAATGAGATCGATGCCTCTCCCGAAGATCCTCGTAAGTTGCGCTTTATGGCCAATGTAATTGAATTATCGCAAGTTTCAGGATTTTTTTTTTATTATTTTTCCTTTTTTTAGAAAACGCTAACGCAGTCATAGAACGGGGCGAGAAAGCAAACGAAGCAACCATAACATTCAAGCCGGATCTAAAAGAACAACAAAGATTAATTGATATTTACACGGTAGGTAAATTACCAATTGGATATTGGGTATTTTCCGAAGACCACAATGTTAAAACTTTTACGATTTCTAAGATATTTCTTGTCATTTTCCTTATAGGAAAAAACTAAAGAATCCCGCACCCCTTCGTATTCGTACGGCTACGATCAAGACGACGATAAGTCTGAAACAGAAGGAGTTTTAGGACAATTCGTGGTTCAATACGACGTTGATCGGCCTAAAAACGGTGAAATATTGGTAAGTTACATAAAATTTTTGGAAAACTGCAAATTGTATTGAGTGGTGTGTGTTATTTGGTAATATTATGTATAAAATTTATACATAATTTATACATAATATTCGGAAAAATGTTTTTGTGGAAGATTTATACTATAAATCTTCCACAAAAACATTTTTCCGAATTTGCGAATCTTCCATTTCTTCTGTATGTGTAGTAATGCTAGCGCTCTGAAGTTTCCACTCCATTATTGTTGTTCAATTTGGCTTTTAGCAAATTGTAGGTATTTGGTGGTGTGTGTTAACATATAATTTTAATATAATAATAATAATCTTTCATTTCACAAAAATATTATCTTCAAAATTTGCGAATCTTCCATTTCCACTGTATGTGTAGTGATGCTAGCGGAGTCTGAAGTTTCCACTCCATTATTGCTGTCATCATCTTAGTCATTTCATTACAGTTCTTTTCTGGAAGTGAACCTCTCCCAATTAGCAAAGGTCATGCCCTTCCCCAACCAGCAAATTGATAATGATGTTTGTTAGTTCGTGATCGAACCAACATGTCTACAATAATATTATTGTTGCATCATCCAGGTAAACGACGGCTACTTCGTCCACTTCTACGCGCCGTCGGACCTGCCGCCATTGAACAAGCACGTGGTGTTCGTGCTTGACACCTCGGGCTCTATGATGGACCGCAAGATCGTGCAGCTTCGCGAGGCCATGCAGACCATCCTCGGGGAACTCAACCCTGGGGATTACTTCAATATCGTCGAGTTCGCTTCGTCTGTGATGGTAAGTGTATGATTGCGCAAGTGTCTCGTGAATGTGTCGCAACATTTTCTCCTTTCTTTCCCTTTTTCACACCATTTCTCTCCCTCTCTCAATTAGCCTAGGCGCAGACCATCGATTTTTAGTTGGCCGATAGTTGCACCCGATTTTAATTTGTATGAAGAATCGGCCAAATCAAATCACACCGATTTGATGTGCGATGACGATGTGACGATGTGCGTACTTCCATACATGCCCATACTGATCAACTGCCCGAATAAACTATCGGCCGACGAAAAATCAATGGTCTGCGCATAGGCTTAGTAGGCCTGGTTTCCACCAAGGCGGCGCAGAGCGAAAAAGTGTTTTCAGTAGAGAACCAATCAAATTTCATTCTGTCAATTTCATTCAGTCTGAATAACATCTGATTGGTTGTTCAAAACATTTCTCCGTTCCGCTCCGTCTTGGTAGTTACTGAGCTTTATGCCCCCTCTCTCTTCTCACGCGCCCATCTCCAGCTTTCTCTCATATTGTTTCTTCTGGAACCATAATGAAATCAACTCCATCATTTGTGCCATAGGTCCACGAACTGAAAGAAGCCGACGCTGAGCCCACATCGCCACACAACCAGTACTTGTCGTTCACTTTCTCGGAGTACAACAAGCCGGCGCGCCTCGTGCCGCCCTCGCCCGCTACGCCTATGAACGTAGCCAAGGCCAAAGTCATCGTCAGCAGGCTCCAGGCTGCTGGTGGTAAGTAATCAGCGCAAATTACAGGACTTAAGTAAGTACTAGTGGTGGATGTAACCAAGTTCAAGAGTAAGTAAGTTAGTAAGCCCTTACTGCTGTTGGTAAGGAACTTTTGACAAAGTTCACAGATATAACCGCCAGACTCTTTACGAGGGTTGTCCTTGTCACAAGTAATCAAGGAAAAGGTCATCGTCGGCAGATGGTGGTTAGTACGCCGCAAAAATTGCAGGACGTAGGTAAGTGCCAGTTTTTGGCTAGGTGGTGGTTACTTTTGATGCGCTGGTGGACGTCGCCAAGGTCGATATCATCATCTTCAGGCCACAGTTGGTGAGCAGATATCTTCAAAAATTGCAAGACAAAGGCGACTTTGTCGTGCCTGTGACAATCAGCCAAGTAACCAAGGTCGAGGCTATCGTCAGTAAGCTCTCTCATCTCTTGGTAAGGAACACTCAACACAAGTTCGTGGATCAAAAGCCTCAGCTGATGTTGGCGTCATTCTTTGTTGCGGTGCTTGCGGACGTAATCAAGGCCAAGGTCACCGTCAATAGATTCCAGGCAGCTGACATTGTTAGAAAAGTATACTCCACAAATTCCATGGTTCAAGAACCAGTGGCGCCTGATGCCACCCTTGGTGGTGCCTCTGGACGTAGCCAAGATCAATATTTACAGACGGCACGTTAATAGTAACGACTCCGCCGTACAAGGTACTGTATACAAGTACCAATACACCTGGGGTCACATTTAGATACGCCCGCGAATGTGGTCATGGCCAAAGTCATCGTGAGCAGGGACAAGATACAAATAGCAGTCCTACCTAGTTTGGGTTAGTAGACTGGTATTTCTAGGTGGGGCTAAAGGATTCTCAGTTTGGGATGCGGTTCAATCAATCCAGTTATCGATGTTTTGAAATAGGTATAATTGCCCTGCCTTTTTTATACTACCCAGATAATTACAGTGGGTGGAATAATTAAAAGATACAAACAAAGTCAATACTAAGGTAACAGTACCTATGTTTTGTATTAAAAACAAATTACAATTACTTATTTCGCAAACAATACCACCTTCTTTGGGAATGGTGAAACGCGCGGCACTGGGCTGGTGTAAGTGTGCCGCGCTGTCCGCATATGTAATAAGTAGAGTTAACTGTACCGCTTATTGTTGTGACAAGTTAGTATCAAGTATTATTATGTAAATGAATTAAAAAATCTGTCATTTTGTTCATAACAAAACATAAGATTGGACACTGAAAAAATGCTGAAAAGTGTTTTTTTTCTCACTTAAATAGGCATGCCCCTTGCCATCAATTCTTTAAATACAAACGTAATTAGAACCTAGTTATTTAATTTTTAGCGTTAAGAGTCAGTTGGAAGAGCAGTCGCCCGGCAAGCGAAAGCGTGAGTTCAATTCCTGCCTTAGGGAGTTCGATTTTCTCAAGTTATTTATAATTCTCAAATTACGACCTAATTTGATTGTTCTCTACCAACAATTTAAAATTAGGATGGTATAGGACAGCTGGAGTACTATCTACTTGTACATACATATAGACAACGGATTTGAGCATTGTAAACACGTTATAAACATCCACGATGACTCATTGTATGACCTGGGTTAGGTAATGTCATTATTGAAACAGGATGGACGTAGTAACAACTTAGTAAACAAGCTAGGTATACGTATTATATCGGTGCTTTGATGATGCCACCTATTATAAAGCTATAAGATGATCGGACGATTACATATTATCCTGTTGGCTACCTCTTTTTTATTCATAACATTGATTGCGGTAACTAAATACTTTTATAGCGGTAGAAAAAAAGAAGCCAATAGTTGATTTACAACTTGATTTGGTACTACGTTGATAAAGCTTTTGTTTCTTTTATCGCATTGTTACCGACTTACCTATTCTTTTTAAGTTTCAAAAAAGTAGCAGGTTCACATTTCGACTGTATTCTTTACAAAAATCAATTTGTTTTGATGATAGTTTGAATAACAATACCATTAAGATGTTTATTGTTTATTAATTCTGCACTTTAGTTGTATTTTGTATCTATTTTTGACAAAAAGAGCTTTATTGATGATTACATAATTATGTTATTGTAGGAACCAACATCTACAGCGCGTTGGACGTGGCGGTCGAACTGATCAACAAAGGCATCGGCTGGACGCTGCCCACTAATTCCTCCGCTAAGGGCACGACGGAATCCCCTGTTACGGGCTCCCCTGTCGAGGAAAAGGCCACCACTGAAGTCCAAAAGACAGGAGGCGAAAACACTGAAGGTTTGTATACCTACTTGAACTAACTTTTTTTGACGGGGAAACATTTTTAACCCGTCAAAAAAAAAAACTTTGAATCGCATACCTAACGGGTAGGTTAAGTAAGGCTCACCAAGTCAGAAGGACAAGGCATACCTACCTACTAAAAAGTCCCCAGTGCTCCTTCACTCGCCATGTGAGAGGAAACTGCGGGATTCTAGGAAAAGCCTGTCCCAACCCCCGCCACCCACGATTTTCATTTGTTCTTTCAAATCTCGAATGCCATATTCTGATAATTTAATTTGTTTTTTACAGAAACTCCTAAACTAGAGCCGATCATAATATTCTTGACTGACGGCGACCCAACCGTGGGAGAGACTGACCCCACTCGCATCATCAACCACCTTACCGAGAAGAACTCCGGCGTTAACAGGGCTACTATATTTTCTCTTGCATTTGGTAAGAATATTTTTCTCTTTTAACTCTTTCTCAGTTTAAGAATTATTTTAGACACCCGGTTCGGAATGAACGAAACAAAGTAAGTATGTATGTAGTAGGGGCATTAAAAATATCTGGGAGAGTAGGGTGCCCTCTCTTACACTCACTGATATACTCATGATTACAGCCCATATCAAGAAGCGAATGGCTACATAATGTTTTTTACCCGCCAAGCAAGGAGCTTTCCCTCATCAGTCCCGGATGCGAAAGGCATTATTGGCCGTCGCACAAACCATGCTAAACCAAAACCCACCTTATTCCCACCAGGCGAAGAGCTTTCCCTTATCAGTCGCGGATTTGCACCTGATTGATTGGTTTGCAAAAACTGTGCTAAACCAAAACCAACCTTATTCCCACTAGGTGAGGATGCAGACCGCAAGTTCCTGCGCAAGCTATCTCTACGCAACGACGGGTTCATGAGACACATCTATGAAGCGGCCGACGCGGCGTTGCAGCTGCGTGACTTCTACCGCCAGGTGGCGTCGCCGCTGCTCGCCGATGTCAAGTTCGCCTACCCGAAGAAACAGGTAGGAAATCTTCTCAAGATCGCTTTTTGTTTGGTAACTTGTTTTTGAAGAATTAATGTTTATTTATAAAAAAAAATGTTTCTTACACACAAACAGCCCAAAAAGCGCATTTAGAACTCAATCTAATCTAATTACAGAGTCAATAAATGTTGGTAATTTTGCATATATTATAGTCAAATGCTCAAATGGTTGTAGATTTGTACCATATTACCAGCGTGTGGTGTAAGCCAAATCCTTTACAAATGCCTGAGTTGTTTCCCAGGTGAAAGCGGAGTCGCTGACGAAGCACCAGTTCCGGCGCTACTACTTGGGCTCTGAAAGCGTGGTGGCGGGCCTCGTGGAGCCCGAAGTCACCGAGCTCACGCCCACCGTCGGCGCTTTCTGCGGGAACGACCAGCTGGGACGAGTGAGTGCTAAAATGTACCTTATTCCGATGTAATAAGCACCAGTTCCGGCGCTACTACTCAGGCTCTGAAAGCGTAGTGGCGGGCCTCGTGGAGCCCGAAGACACCGAGCTTACCTACGCCCACTGTCGGCGCTTTCTGCGGGAACGACCAGCTGGGACGAGTGAGTGATAAAATTAACTTTATTCTTGTGTCTTGGAAACGGTCCAGGGTTATAAAGCCGGATATCGTCCCCGTAGTAGAAATGTCTTTCAGAATTTTTACCTAAATCCATTGAAAAGACGAAAATGGGGCAACGGGTGTGCCCCGTTCTTACCTACTATTATTATGTTTCCAGAAAGCACTAATGAAGTCGACGTGTGATAACCAATTAAAATGTCTTAAACATTTTCCTGATGTTATAAAAACATAGCCTATTGAAAAAAACCTATTAAATACAACAATTATAAAAAAGAGCCGCACGACTTAAAACAAAAAATATTGACTGACCGACCGCGCTGATGAGGATAATCTTGGATATTTTTAATGTATGCTACTATTTTGTTAATTCTGAACACATTTAAAAACTTATTCTACGCCCCTGCCTGTGCTTAGCTTAGAGCTCGAGCTTGCCAAATAATAAAGAAACTTGGTTTGCTACAGAAATACATGGAAATCGTGCCGAAGGCGCCGGTGCCGCTGCTGAAGGAGCACTACCTGCCGCTGGAGCGCCTGTGGGCCTTCCTCACCGTGCGCCAGCTGCTGGACGAGCGCGACGCGCGCGACGCCGACGACAAGCTGCCCGCGCCCGACAAGAGGGCGCTCGACATCGCGCTCAAGGTACACACGTCACTACAACCCGCAGCTGCTGGACGAGCGCGACGCGCGCGACGCCGACGACAAGCTGCCCGCGCCCGACAACAGGGCGCTCGACATCGCGCTCAAGGTACACACGTCACTACAACCCAGTGTTGCCAGAAGGTTACTTTTGAACTGCATTGGTTACTTTTAGGTTACACTAATGAAAAGGTTACTTTTAGGTGATTTTTCAGATTGTAGAATTAACTTTTACAGGTTATTCAGTAAAAATATTGATAGTGACAATTTAAAAATTAGGTCATAAACTGCATTTAAACATGAATTTGAATTATTATTTGTTAAAGAAAATGACTTTTAGCGAATGTTATTTCGATAATAAAACGCAAATCCATGAAATGGTCTTCATGGAATGGTCAAAATTTCGAATTTAGGTAAACGATTGATGATCAATTGCATTCATTTCATTCATTTTCCACAACCTTACACAATCGCTCGTATGAAGGTTACTTTTTTATATTTCTGGTAATTTCTGACAAGACCCGACTGGCAACACTGCTACAACCAGGTCTGTTCATCTCCGCGAGTTTACATCGAAAACAAAACAAGCACGGTGGCACCCTACAGGATTACTATTCGACAAGGCCTCACATACGAGCGAGGATTGACTCACGCACGCGTATTCTTGTGTATGATGGAAAAAAATAAAGAAAATGGTGTACTAAATACTGTGCAGTATTTATCTGCCTAAATAATAATAAAAACACAGTACTTTTTTAAGTTGCCTGAAGACACTGAGAGGTAAATAAGTGGTTAATATTATTCATGATAATTCATGCTTAATCATGTATTTCCTCCGCCATTTTCTGCAGTTTGGCACCTCACGTCATACATCATTTTACTGAAGTCAGCCCTATGGCTTCGGCGCAATACCGGTCACTAACGTTTGTCAACAAAATGGTGCTTGACTCTTGAGACAAGCTAAATTACACTATTGTTAATGCCATTGAGCATACATTTTTTTAAATACCTTCGCGAAGTAAACCTTCTGTACGTAGTACTTATTATTATTCTGTGCTACAACCCGCAGTAAACCTTAACTGCGCACCTGGCGGCCGTGACGTCACTCCGACGGTCTGGTACAGACGGGGCGAACGCGGCGAGGTGTGCGGGTAATGGGGATGTTGCCTGGGTCAAAAAGCAAGAGTTTTAATTAGTCCGTCAGTTAACTTATCAAAAAATACTCTACACGTATTTTTCACTTTTTCAAACTAATGAAAATTTAAAGAGATAAAGCGCCCCAAAGTTCATAAGAAGAGGCCCGTGACGTCAACGCTTGCTTAAAAATGCCGCACGTTGTGACGTCGTGCGCAACTTCAACGCACCATAACTATGTAATTATTTGTTAGATTGACAAATAAAAATATATGTGTCCAATATTTTTTGATATTAAACATTATGGACTAAAAAAATTTTTTTAGGCAACTAGCCTATTGGGAGAGAGTCGCATTCCAGCGACGTGCGCTGTCAGCTCGATTGGGTTGTATCTTCAACATAATCAACGTAAATAAACCTCCGTTACAGCTCCGCAAAAAATTCGGAGACAGAGGCGGAGGCACGACTTGTTGCGAAAGTTTCACACATTTGGAGGCGGAGGCAAGGTGCTTTTACTACCACCACACAATTGATATTTTGTGCTATAATCCTGCCGAAGATGAGCGTTGCGGGAATTAGTTTTTATTACGTGAAGTCTAAGTCAGATGTAAATGAATTGCCCTACGACCTCCTTGAAAACATAATAAGTAAAAACCACCTTAAGAGAACTCTGCGAAAGCACTATTTATCGATGTGTCCATGACCTTACGAGTATTATTGTCCTCAGACGGTTACCTATGTTGTGTGTAATACCACAGAATAATAATAGATACTTGTAAAAAGCTAAGTGTTATGTTTCTAACATGAAATGTGAGTGTATGTGTTGTGTGTACCTATGTGTATGTGTGTATGTGTATGCGAGTGTGAGTGCGTGTTTACAAAGTGTTTTGGTTTAAACACTGGTCTTATGTTTGTGATTAACATTAAGATTTATTTAGTGTAAAAAGTCAGCGGCGGTCACCATTTTATCAGTAAGAAAAGAGGCCTTGGGGTGGGTTGTACCATCTTACTTTAACTTTAACAAACGTCAAGGGTCTGTCAAACTCCATATAGAAGGCACCGGTTGTTGTGGTCGAGATTGGGGTGGGGTGGTGCAATTCAACCTAAGTGTTTTACTTGGCGTGCCGTCGACTGTACCTATACGTATAATGTTATTTAGAGGCTATGTAATAACAGTATTGTGAGAACTGCTGCCGACAAACTGTGTCACAGTTTGGCAGAAAATATTAATGTTTACTGTGTGTATTTATATGGAAAATAAATAAATAAAATAAAATGTAAAGAACTGGTCTACAAACAACAAATTGTATGTTTCAGTACTCATTCGTGACGCCACTCACTTCTCTGGTGGTGGTCAAGCCGAACGCGACTGACGCCATCGACGCCGAGTCCGTCCACAAACAGAGTAAGTGACATTTATTAATTTCTGTAGGTATTTGACTTTGTCTTATTGTTTAAATCAGTCATTGGGTGATATTATATGATGCAGAGACTATTAAAATCCCAAAATTTTGACGTTCATAAGTGCCACCTGTGGTCTAAACTGAATAAATGATTTTGATTTTTGATTTTGAAAGAAGATTTTGATTAATTGAAGACACATAATAATATTTTAAAATGTTTTTGTTTACAGATCAAGATGTCGGTTACAGTTCATGTAAGTTTCTTTACCTTTCTTCTATAGTTGCTATGCTGTCTCTAAATTATTTGAGTTATTCCAAACAAAAACACGTTTGTTCGGCATGAAATGAAATTAATTCTAACTCTTTTCTGATCGTGAACAGTGCTGTCGGCCAACTACGCCAGCTTCGCGGCGCGGCCTATGTTCAGCTCGGTTGGATTCGCGGGGGCTCCTGGTAAGTCCACGTTGACCTTTATTCCGATCCAATTTTGAAAAATTTCTAATTCTTTCTTAATTATCTTAAGAGGCTGCGCAAACGCAGACACTATTTGCTGCCATTACAGTAAAATGAGCAGTTGTGTTCGGTATTTTGTTGCTGTGTCTGGTAGCAGCTATCGGCTATGCGCAGCGTAGTATAATTGTAATATTTGTCAACGTTGCTTGTGTCGTCTACTGACGATTTTTAGGTTTCTCCGAACACTTTTTATAATCGAAGAAGAGTAAATATATCACTAGTGAAAGTAACTGGTCACAAAAATTATCCACGTCTACGCAAAAAGTGTCTGATTTCATGTTGAAAATTAAATATCCACTGATGGCTTCTATGTCTATGTGACACAAAGCACAAAAGTTTCTACTTAGGTTTGCGCAGCCTCCAAAAAGCAACCCAGATGCACAATTACCTCCTTATTTAAATAAGCTCACACACCTTAAGTATTTTTTATCAATGATTCTTGTCCTGTGCAGTTGCACGAACCGCATGAACTGTGTCATAAAATATACAGTCATTTGCACAAAGCAATGCATGTCTCATTTGTAAGTATATTATTATCACCACCATGTTTTTATTTATACTCGATCACAAAAAAGCTTTTCCATACAAAAAAGGCCGTGTTGTTATCCTTGAATTCGGTATCTTCGGTCAGAACTTGTATTAATGATCAGATGATAAATATTGATCACGATCACGACCTCTCTGACCAAGAGTGTAACAACGAAGAAGAAGATAGATTATTACTTGTAAATCTCGTCGTGGTCACAGAATAGGCGGTTTTACACAGTATGTAATGTCCCCGTTTGACATGCTTAGTGTCGAAGCGCAGTGGTATGGAACAGCTCGTTTTGTAGTGGTCGCGCATCGCTTTGCATTCGAGAGCGCGAGCACCCCCGCCCACTTTGCAGGCCCCGCGGCGCTCGCGCTGCCTGCCGCCGACAACTGGGGCCTTCCACTAGACGAGCCGCTCGACTACGAAGAAGCACTATCACTACCAGGTATGAGAATGTTGCCTGGCGAACAGAAACTGTATATGTTACGGTTAATGTGATAAATTGAAAATTATTAATAATAACCGGTTATTATGAATAATTACCGACAGTCGCGGTAAAAGTGATAAATTAATCACATTTAACAGTGATTATTTAATAATTCAACCTTAGTACTAACAAATTTCATAAAAGAGAACAACATCTTGTGTACGTGCTCGTGTACAGCCAAACTTTTGAACGTTTTGATATCATATATTAACATAATTTGGCATAATGAGTTTGGAATGTTTCTTACATAATATTACTTTTCTATGATGCCTATAACATAATGTTTTATTTTAAAGTGAAAAATAGGTTAAGGTGCGGCGGGGGTGGCCCTTGGGCCACCCCTAAGCCGCCTATTTAGTTTTATACACACATAAATGACCTCATATTAATCACATTTACCAAATCATGCGGTAATTATTCATAATAACCGGCGATTATTCATAATTTTCACATTTATCACTTTGACCGTAACATATACATCGTTTCATTCACGAAGACGCGCCCCACCAATTTTTGGTCGAGGCAAGCGCGGGGTGCGGGGAGTTTGATCCGAGCAATCCGAGCGTCATTATTGTAGTGTGCGTGCACTCATGGATAATTCAGCGTGTACCGATAACACTCAAACATTAACGGAAGAATGGTGGAGCGCGTCTTCGTGGATGGAACGATCTATAATGCCACGTAATCCGTTTACAGATGTGTAGTATCGGTTTATATTATACAACCCGATCAAGTTATCTGCCATCATCGTAGTACCAGAGCATCGGTGTGACGTCACAGTCGCCAGGTGCGCAGTTAACTCGACCGGGTTGTAGTTAAGTTACGACCTTGCCGAGTCTACAACATTATCACTTTCCCGATTGACTACTCAAATAAAGTATAATATTTTGTGGTGTCTTCTTGTTAAATAATTTGCATTCAACTATTCTAAACTTCATGCAATTTGACATATTATTCTCTAAATGCACGTTTATTCTTTTATTTAATCCTTTAAGCGTGAACCTGGGAATATGTGTTTGCCGTAATAAAAATATAGTAATACCTACCTATGTCAGATTAATAAATATATTGCCGCGAAGCAGGTTGATTTTTCGCGCAATTTTTGGTGACCAACTATGTGGGTATTTGTTTGCATGACGTCTGCGGTCCCATGCATTCCCGCAGGGTTTTAGAATTTATTTCAACCCTAGGTAATGTAATGCCAATGGGTGTGCCTGGTGCATGAAAACTGTTTGGGCAGCGCTGTGGAGAGCAGACCACCCCGCTCTAGCAGCATGCGAACGGAGTTTGCGGAACGCCAAATATAATATCAGTATGCTGCACCGACTTCAGATAATCTGAAAACCTCAGGCGACTGACGCTATGGACTACCTAATGTCCACATTGAGTAATGTGCATGAGTGCAAATATATCAGAATGCTACTGTGATTTTGCCACAAAGAAGTCCACTAAATACTTATAGGTGTGCATCATATTTCATGCTTCATAAAAAGCTTTATTTTTCAAGAACTGGTAAAAATACTTAAGGAATTTAAAACAATGAATACGAGGAACTACATTATTAACCCAGTCCTTTATATTTTAAATTTCAGTCAGGACATCGTTGTCGTCGACCAAATCGACTTACCGAGGCCTGCCTCAAGCCCAGTATAGTAGTTTCTGTAAGAAATTTTTGTATGATTTAAGTAATTTTAGGCTATTTATTAAACCAGCTTGACTTTAATAACACCTTAAAATAATCTAGACACGCGACAGCGTGTCAAGCCAATAAATAAATATTCTTGGACATTTACACTGCACCGTCCAGTCCCAAAATAAGCAAAGCTTGTACCTATTTATTAGTAGGTACACACCCAAATTAAAAACAAGGAGAGTAATGTGTTTATCCTGTTGATTTATTTAAATTTCAGCACGTCTTCCAATTCCGATGAATGCGTTTGGATTGCAAATGTACCGTCAAACAGGAGCAGCTGATATGGCAGATACCCGTAAGAACAAACATTTTTAACTAGGAGGTGCCACTCTAAATAGTTTACCAAATCAGACATAGGTACTTTTCATCATCAAGTGATTTATCGAGCTATATATTCCCAGGTTTATGTATATGTAAAGTAGGTATGTACCATTATAAGTATAATTAAAACAAATGCAATTCATACGTTCCCTAAAAATGAAGAATTGGGTCCTCGTAATTTGATTATTTTTTTGAGAATTTGATATTGGTCCGTTGTATTTTAGTAGAATCTTTTCTGTTTGACCAAGTATAAAAATTACGCCTTGTACCTGTAGTGATTGAGTGTGTTGTATTAGTAGATGCAGGTGCGCCAGTCAGCACGACTTTGCTAGTGGCGCCGAGCACGCCGGCCGCGCTCACCAGCGCGCCCACCACGGCGGCCGCAGACCCTCTGGAGAAGTACCACCTCTCAGATTTTGTGTGGGTATCGCTGCTGCTGCGCCCCGGCGAAGACGCTATCCATCTGAAAACCAACACGACAGATGAGACGTTGAAACTCTCTAAAGACGATGTCGTAAGTAGAGAAACATGAAAACTAATAAGTTTCAAATGTTTGCACTTATTGCCAGTTAAACCTGCGTTTATTATTTTAAAAACATCTCCTAAATCCATAATAACAGGGTTTTCATAGCGTAGCTGTTGTAATGAACTCTTCTAGCATTATCGAGAGCTAACTTATAGACAATGCCATCTACTAGTGGTACGTGAAACTGCTAGGTCATTTAGAGCGCTTTCACATTTAGGCGAACAGGCGACAGACGCGCTGCCGATAATTTCATACTATGTGACAGCGGATGCATGCCTTCTGCTGCGCTACTGTCGCGCTTCTCACGCCTGTGGGCTACTCATTATATTTATGTAAATGTCAACAACAATAAATAATTAACTTAAACTAAAACCTTAATGTTAAACTCTAATGTGAAAGCGGCCTTATGATGTTCCCGAATAATGAATAAATGTTTTGAAGGCGCCGAAGCCAGCGAGCGGGACCGACGCCGAGTGCTCGAACGCGCTGGCGGGCACGGGCGCAGGCTCGTGCGTGTACTTAACGCGCTGCGACGCGGCGCGCGCCATTGCCACCGCCCAATACCTCGGCTCGTACTGCAGCGTCGACGGGTTAGTATTATTTCACCGAACAAAGCGCCCTGACACAACTTATTAACTTAATTACCCTCTATCGAGTATCTCAAATAAGAACTATAGCCTGACCAGGAACATAAAAACCCTCGCCATGTTGCGGAAAACTAATGGTACTAATTTCTTTTAATGGCAACAGTAACTGAAAACTTCATTGACATGTCACCTTGCATGTCAGTCTATTGTTGTCAAAGTGTAAACAAACTTTATTTTAAATGTGTGCAATTGATTTGTGAATTAAATTGCTAAAATATTTTTATAGTCGTGAAAGAAAAGTGGTTCAAAATGTGTTAATGTATTTGTCGAAGAGAAATACTAACGGTTCGGACAATATTTTCATTGAATAATGTTTCCGACAAAGGTTGTCAAATTGACTGACATGTTTATCGTATAGTACAGTCCACTATGAAAATTAGCTGTAATCTGTTTCAACTACCTATTTTAAAGTTTTTTGTCACTTTCTAAGTTTTGAACTTTATGGAATTGGGAAAGAAGTACCGAGTTTGAAGCGTTCATGAGCAGACATTGCAGTTGAATATTCAAGTTCTGAATTTGATTATTGATGAATAATAAAATAAATCCTACTAGCTCGATTGATGGTTTCATTTAATTTATTTAAACTAGGTTACCTTTAATAATATTTTTTCGGTAATTTATGAAAACATCAAATTAGCCCGTAATCCTGAATCCTGATACATAAATTTAGCCTATTAATTTAACACAGGTACGACTGTACTCAGTGTTGCACTATCAAATGCAATTGAGGCGCCTCTATGCCAGGGTTTTTATGTTCCTGGTCAGGCTATACATACTTGTCCGAATCGGGTCACATCTTTTTATTAGGGTTTACAGTCGATCGTGATGAGGTAGCGCGTAGGGCGTCGCGATTTTTCTCTCTATGACGAGTCCCAATCTCTGGCACTTGCATTAATACTTTTAAAGAAATGTATGCTACGACGCGGACGACTGACGTCTTGTGAATATCATTACTACCTTTGTTCAAACTTATCTAAAGTCTCATGTACCGATTTCTGTACTGAAATCTTGTTCTTGATATTTTGTTATGGAATATTCTACGATAAAATACCTACATACTTTCAATTTTTGTTACAGATTCGCTGGAGTGTGCTGTCCGAAAGCTAGTGTCGATGTGGGAAAAACTGATTAATTCGCCTGGACTTGTTACGATATTACTGTGGTTTATTATAAACCATTCAAGTGATTTTAGCCTTATATGACTGACTCCACTACAATTAGTTGTTGTGACGAAATGTGATAGGACTTCTTTATTTTTGGTGCTAGAAGAAATAATGTGCAGTGCCATGAACAGTTTGTTTGCAAACTGATGAAACAAAATGTATGAATTTTTAGGGTAAAATATTTTTGATATGTCAATAAATAAAAGTATTGAGTTTTTTTTTATTTTCATTTCTACTGTTCTACCCTCACTATTTCAATCTTAATTTATTTACTCAAATAATTTACAGAGTGCTGATAATAGTTTTTGATTAAGACCATGGTATATACCTATATCAAAAACAACTTGAAAAAATCGAACTGCCTAAAATAAAATTTGTAAGCCGTGTAGGGAAAACAAGAACTGAATTTATTTGATCACGTTGTACCGATCCATAAGAGAACTTTGGCTCCCATTGCTACAGAAAATTAAGATGGAATAAGAGATATTTGACGATCCCCTTTGTACTATAAATTAATTTCTCCTAATTTCATATTGACATGGGCTAATTAATATTTACCTATTAGCCAAGCCGTCTCTTATGATTTTCTTAAAAAAAAAACAACTATTTACAGATGGATGACGGACTGTCATTAGTGTCATCATTGTGTCAACTGTCAATGTCATCATTGATTATTTTACACATTTGATCGATTCCGATATATTTTTGCTATTTTATCCGCTTTTGTGGCAATTTTCTAAGCAAAAGGTATGGTAAACCTGGCTGATGCGCTAATGATTAATACGGTGACAGATGGGGCTATGAATTTCTTACGCAATATCGTAAGTTTCGGACCTTAATGCGATTATTATCATTTTAGTGCACTCTTTGTTGTTTATATCTTATCAGCATGAATAAATTTGATTGTAGGCACTTCACCTTACATTAATTAACATTAATTACTTAGCTGATATCATCCTCGAATCTAGAAACAAAAAACACGACATTATTCCTTTGCTATTTTAGGGTGTTTTCAAGGCGAAATCAGTCAACCAAGTACCAGCTCCAATAATTGTTAAAATGCCACTATGGGAACTCGCTCAAGAGGCAGGGCCTTTTGTGAGGCTGGCCGGGCTGAGCGGCGCCGCTGCTGTGGTGCTCGGAGCAATGGGCGCCCACCGAACATTCCCTGAAACAGACACAAAGGAAGACCTTAGAAAAATATTTGATACAGCTAATAGATTTCACTTCCTTCACACGCTCGCCTTGATGACTGTACCACTATGCAGACGACCTTATGTTGTAAGTTATTTAATTTTGTATTTCCCTTGGGTGTCTTACTAATAATTATAAATGCGAAAATTTGGATGTCTGGATGTTTGTTACTCTTTCACACAAAAACTACTTAACGGATTTTTATGAAACTACAATATTATTGTTTATAACCCAGAATAACATATGCTAGCCCAGAATAGCTATAATTTATGACGATCTGTGACAAACTAACTTTCACGCATGTGAAGCCGTGGGCAAAAGCTAGTTATTATTTATTTTAGTGAATCTGTTTTCTTAGTTCTTACTAGAATGATCTAGTATTGTATGCATTTGTGTTTGGCATTAGTGCCAGAATTTAGGTATAGGTATTATTATTTATTGGCATGAAAAACTTGGCTTTGTAATACTCACCTTGGATAAATAAAATGATTTCTTTTTCAGGCTGGTGCTTTCTTCGTAGCTGGTATGGGCTTGTTCTGCGGCACTTGTTACTACCATGCGTTCACGGGAGACAAATGCTTCCGGCGACTCACCCCCATCGGTGGATCTTGTCTCATTTTAGGCTGGATAGCTATGGTACTGTGAGCAGTAGCTATCATAGTCATTTATATTATATCTATGTGGTTGTCTTGTAATGTCAAAATAAGCTATTTTAGTGTAGGATAATAGTGAATTTAATTCATTAGACTTCTATGTATGTTCTATGAATATTTTCAAACTACAATTCCATTGATGAAATAAGATTTTATTTACAGACAAATGTTTCTATGGTAGGTACATATTTCATAATATTATATTTTAATGGTAATTTGGTAATTTATAGGCATAGACAAGTAATTTATTGCACATGTATTATCATCATTACATGCTAAACTTATGAGTACAGAATTAAATTTACTCATGTAATGTGTCAAGTTAGTTTATAATTTATGGGATTATATTATAAAATCAATACATGTGGTTTTCTTTCTCTGCATCTTATAAAATTTGATAATCTAATAACAGATTTCTAAATGTGCTGTGCAGAGAACAGCTGTTTTAACACAATTTAGCACAGCAGAGATAACAACTAAGTGATGTTTCATTTTTCCTTGTGTGACTAGAACAAAATGTAATAAAAATGGATGGACTTCACTAGAGAAAGTTTTATATAAAATGAAGTTTACCTATGTGGCACGAAATTCTGACTGATTTATTTGCTTATGAGATACCTGCTGATGCATTTGCTGTCTTCCTACAGGTTGACAGTGAACACTGGGTCGATGCGATAATCATCACGGCCACTACGGTTATGCCCCTATGAGAAATTAAGCATGTTAGTTGACAAATAAAACAAAAGGTTGATCAATATTGTTTACATGGTTTTATTGAAATTGTTACATATTAAATTTTGCACTTTTTCTTTACTCATTAATCATACTTAAAGTTAATCAAAACATACACCGTTTGGTAATAAATGCTATTGAAGTTCATAGGACTCTAGAAGATTTTCTGTGGTCCATCAAACAGCTTGCGTAATCGTATAATATATGTTACCTAAAACTATAAACAGTGGTAGCGGTACTTCGGCGACGGGGCGCCGCGTCGCGGGCGTCGGACGAGGCGGGCGCGTCGCTCGATCACATATACTATTTAATCCAACGAGAACGGCGTTCCCTCTACATCGATAAAGTAATATACAAAAGCTATCACATTAAATTAACACAAAATATAATTATTAACATATCTGTAATCTAAAAAGAATCCAAAAGAAAAACAAAATTATAGAACGCACAGCACTTTCAGTGTCCGTCACATTAGGGAAATAAACACTCTGATTGCACATAGACAGCGGGCCGGGCCGGGCGCTCACGACAGGTGGAAGGAGTGCTGGCCCTCGGAGGCGGCCAGGCGCAGCTTGGCGCGCATGACGTCGGCGCTGCTGTAGTCGGGCAGCTTCAGGTAGTTGACGCACGTCATGACGGACGGCAGGTACTCGTCCGGGTCCAGCGACGACTCCAGCGACTTGCGCACCACCGTCAGCGGCGGGTTCAGCGCCTTGAAGCCTGGGAAACATACGAATCGTGTTATATTTAAGAAAAGCGAACAAACTACTGAAATATGGATTCATAAGTCGGTTTTTATTTTAGGTAGATATGTCTTAGCTAAAAGTTTTGGCAAGTTAGCAACTGACTTCAGCACCACTTTCCCAAATTGAAGATCATCACAAACCAAAATCTGATTGGGATATTCCCGAAAAACCGAATAAGTTCGATGTGAACAGAATGTTTCGAGAATGGATAAACATTACATGATACATGAGTCGCCTAGATGGATAATATTCACACAAGCGCTTCATAGGGTCATCTTATGTTATGTTGAAGTCTCAAACTAGACCAAACAGTAGTGGAAACGTGATTTATTATGATTTTTGCACGTGATTTACGATGAAGAGGTGCCTCACTTTTCTTGCGCTTACTCTCTACTCGGCGTTACAATACTATGGTGCTGGTAATGCTTAAACCTACCTCCAGTGGGCAAGCGCGGGCTGCCGGTGACGAACTGCAGGAAGAGGCGCTGCTCGTCGCGCGAGTAGGACGCGAGGATGTCGATGAGCATGCGCACGGCGCGCGACTCCGCCGTGTAGCCGTGGTCGGGCCGGATGCACTCCGCCAGCATACGCGGCTCCCAGCGAGTCTCGCGCCCGCCTGCGACAAAACAATACATGAATATTTTACGACACGAAACGAAAAGAAAGTGATAATAAACTACATGTCAAACACAAGTCAATATTAGATTCGCTCGACGATTTACATATTTCTAATAATATATTTTCCTTTTCATGATTTAAGTACCATTTAGACATTTCACTTATTCCTTATAACTCCAACAAAAAAGCGACTCACATCAGTATGAGTCACGTCGAATGTTTTAGGTCTACTTTGTAGACAGCAAGTGTATGAAAATATTGTTAATTTAATTGGAGATTGATATTTGTATTTTCCGCAATTATAAAAGTGAATGATGAACTTACCAGACGGGCTGCCGCAGAATACTTGTTCCAATTCTTCAGGGTAGAATATTTTCAGGTTAGCCAGTGGGAATACTGATTCGAATCCTTCTTTGAACGCTTCCATTTGCTTGCTCACACCTGTGGAAAACATAACAGTTTAGCTTCGACGTTCAAATACAAGGAAATCCATTTAAAGGAATTTGATGAAACCTTACAATGTTATAGCAGATGAACATTGCCGGGTACCATGTTTGTAGTGAGTAATAATTCATTTGTGTACTATTTTTTGCAATGATTTTGCTACATGCATCTACATAATAATTCGGGTACAGTGCCGCTAAAATTTCCACTGACAAAGACTGTCATGTTATTAATATAACATTCCAAAAAACAAATCCAAGTATGGTAGTGACATGTAACACCTCCCACGCTTGTCTTTACAAGCAGCAGGTAAACTCAGCTGTTGTATACCTTCGTAGAGCATCCAGTGCGTGACGAGGTCGATGTAGTTGTGCAGGTTGTGCGCCGTGACGGGCAGCTCGCGGCCGCCGCGCCGCAGCTCGGTGCAGCCGTCGCCCGGCAGGATGAAGTCCAGCCCCAGCTCCTCGATCGGGCAGCCGTCCAGCTCCAGGGCGCTTATCTGGAGGGGAAACAGTACGTCAATATGTTTGCATTGCCAATAGGTCTTTGGGCCAGCGACGAAGAGTCCAAGAAGAAAATAATTTATTCTAATATTTTTTTAGATATGGACTCATGGAGATGACGTCATGTCAAAGCTAAAAGTAGCAAACGGCTCGTAAGAGCTATGAAATTGCTACAAAGTCCCGCACGCGACTACTCCTAGTGGCATATCCTGTTAGCTACTGTTTCGGACAGTCCCATAGTTGAAAAACTTATACATGTGCTAGTAGTCGCTGCTAGAGGCCTGTAGCGGCCTACATGGGCTGCTTAGTTTCTGAGGATCTAAGATGGTTGAAGTAGGAAGATAAACCACATATCGCACACAATGGCCCAATAAAGATTGAGTTAGGCTAAGTGCGATGTCGATTGCCCTGCAAAACTAAGGCAGAGTTGCACCAACTAACTTTGACCGTAACTATAATGGTGCGTCCAGACTGGGCGAACGGGCTCGCGCGGCACGCTGGTCATCCTGCTCACCCTGCTCTTGAGTGAGCAGGATGTCGTGTTTGCCGCGCGAGCTCATTCGCCCAGTCTGGACGCACAATGAAGGCTATCGTTTTTATACTTAACAGTTGGCACCCCTGGCGATTGACAGGACCTTACTCTACAGTGGCGCCATCTTGACGACTGCAAAGGCGATAGTCCTCCTACCACTTTAGCGCTCACAAGTTGGTGCCACTGTCTTCGCTACTAGCAAGTGACAGGACCTTACTCTACAGTGGCGCTAACTGGGGAGCGCTACAACGATAGCCCTCATTACGATAACCGGTGTTTTTTGTATGGAGTTTGACCGATTTTTGACGTTTGTCAAAGTTAAAGTTAGGCCAGCCTAGGTAACGTGTGCCGCTCACCATCTGCGTGCGCTGGTCGGGCGAGTGGCGCGCGTCGGCGGCGATGGCGCGCGCGCGCTCGGCCACGCGGCGCAGGCGGCACAGCGAGCGCCACAGCTCGGGCGCCACGTGCCGCACGTCGCTCAGCGACAGCCAGCGCTGCTCGTTCACCACCCAGCGGTACATCGACACCGACAGAGGGATGTCCACCTGAACATTACACAGCATTACATAGTATATTATAAAACAAAGTCGCTTTTGCTATCTGTCCCTATGTATACTTAGATCTTTAAAACTACGCAACATAGAGTGATACAAGAGGAAGGTTTATAAGTATAAAACATGCATAATATAGAAGAGAAAAGCCGAGAAATACCATTGCGCCCGTGCGAAGCCGGGGCTGGCCGCTAGTTTATTATATGCATTCTGCTTTAACCTACAGGTTGTTAGGTAAATAGGTATATGAGCCGACACTAGCCCATGTTAACACGGGCATATAAATGGTATGGTGTGAAGTAAGAAAGATATCATCATTTTAAATTTTATAATTTTCATACAAAATAAATTTTATAAAATCCGATTTGTATGAAAAATAAAATAATTAAAATGAAGATATCAATTTTCTGACTTCACCATACCATTTATATGACCATGTTAACATGGGCTAGTGTCGGCTCATATACCCATTTACCTAACAACCTGTATTATAAAGAGGAAAGATTTGTACCTATTTTTGTATGTTTGGAATGAATAGGCTTAAACCACTGAACGGATTTTGATGAAACTTTACAGTATTATTGTTCATAATCCAGAATAACATATAGGCTATAATTTATGACGATCTGTGACAAACGAAATTTCACGCGTGCGAAGCCGCGGGCGGAAAGCTAGTTATAAATAAACTACTTAAAAAAACCTAACTGCTTAAGGCGGGAATCGAACCCACGACCTTTCGCTTGCCGGACGACTGTTCTTCCATCTGAGCTACTTAGACGCTGGATGAACTCTGCATTCTGCTATCAGGAAAAGAGAGATCGTGCGGAAAGCTGTATCCGCCTCTACAATCCACATGGACGGGATGGACAGTAAAAGCAAAACGATCGAGAAGAAAATGAAATACAGAAATTACTCTTGTCTGTTTTTACGCAACTTTTGGATTTAAATTGCTGTAGTCACAAAAAAAAGTAGCATAATAAAAACGTGTAAAACGTTTTTGATTTCTCAGTAACTAAATTTACTCGAGTCAAGAAGCGAGCAAAACATTATTATTCCATTACGAAAAACAAAAACAAACTTTATGCATGGAGCCAACACCCACAACGGAAATGATGCAACAAGTGTTTGGCTGCTTGCCAGCCACGCACGTCTAGCGAGTAAACTTTGCATAATAAGTTACAACCAATGTCTACAATCAATGTAGCTATGACTTCATGGATTGCGTAAAATGTAAACACCATTATGTGAACGTGCTTCATATATCATGAGTGCAATAACTCAAAATCTTTTTTCCATACCAGTTGCTCATAATAATGTCACATTCAATGACCCTATCTACCGAATGTGCAGATCGTACAATAATGTAAGTAAAGATCTGGCTCTAATCGGAGTTCAGACTTTATATTGTGCTATGTTGTTGTGTTAATTGTATTGTTATTGTTTGTTCTCTGTAGCTGTGCCTTATATAAATAAATAAATAAATAAATAAAGTTAGTTAAATACGTCATAAACAGCCTGCTAACAAACAATCAACTGTTTCGCATATTGTCCATATGACCCTCTAAAAAAGATCATCACTAGTTTTATAACAAAATGTTTCATGACCAAAATCGACTCTTGCGCACACTATCTCCCCAGTAGCAACATCATGTGCCCCTGAACGCGTCTTCAAATTAGACGCATAAAATTAGCGCTGCAGTAACACCACTGTGCCCCTCTTTCCGCGCCACTATTAGTATTCATACAATATCTAGAAGCGCAACAGCCGCACATCTTTACCACACTGTCACTTTGGTATTTGGTATTGGTCATCTAAAATTGTATGTGGCGCAGCAAGCTGGCCACAATGCTGAAGGCGCCCTAAAAAACTCCGAAAAACAAAAGAAGTAACAGCCAAACTCACCATCCGTGAGTCCATGACAGCCTTGGCCATGAACTTGCCGAGGAAGCGGAACTTGGCCTTGACGCGCGACAGGTGCGAGGCGCGCACGTTGCGTCCCACCGCCTGCGGGAACAGCCCGCACGGCCACGACACGTACGTCGCGTCAGGGGCGGGCGACGGGATCGATGTCTCTTTTTCTGTTGGGGAAAAACGTTGGTTATAGCGAGATGTATTTGAGCTGATTTTATGAGTAGATTGCCAAGTTGGTTGCAATAATAATGTGATAACTACGTTACTAGTCGAACAGTATTCAGATTTAAAAGTGTTTTGAGATAATATCTCAAGATATTATCTTGCGCATGGTTTTTCAACGTTTTTCATGCTGCGACTCTCGAATGAACAATATTTTGGCAGGCACCCCGATAGGGGCTCGGTACCTTATAAAATCAAACTTTCAAAGTTACTGTAACCCCTTTTAATAGTTTCCGCGTTTTTCTAAGGTTTTGTGATCCTCAAATAAAAACCCTGTCTTGGAAGATCATTTCTCATTTTCAGGGATGTGCATCACAATTCGCCAACCGAACAGTGATCAACCGCTGCTTACTTGCTGATTCTACTGGATGTTCTGTGTTAGAACTGTAGGAGACACGTACCCAGGTCGGAGGGCTCGGGCGCGCGCTCCTCGTCCAGACTGAGCGCATCCCGCACGGAAGAGGCGAGGCGCGCGGCGGCGTCGGCGGCACGGTCGCTGACCACCGGCGGCTGGCTCTTGACGATCTCGCCGCCGAACGACGTGGCCTTCTGCTTGAAGTTCTCGCTGCCATGCCACACGTCTAAGTCGGCGCGCTGCATCTCTTGCGACACCAACGCGTAGAATTCGAGGGTCGGGCCGAGGCCGGTGCCGACCTCGTTCTCGTATTGGATCTCCAGTAGAGCCTGAAATTGATTGAACGTATTATAAACTTTTTTTGACGTTAACATTGGAATTTTGTCTGTCACAGAAAAACTTTATCGCGCGCGTCCCTGTTTCAAAAACCGGGATAAAAACTATCCTATGTTCTTTCCCGGGACTCAAACTATCTCTATGCCAAATTTCATCAAAATCGGTTGCGAGGTTTAAGCGGGAAAGCGTAACAGACAGACAGACAGAGTTACTTTCGCATTTATAATATTAAGTTGGGAAGTTGGGATTGGGATACTAGCATTGGTCGCCCTACGGGCTACAAAGTCTAGTTCTGCGGCCTCGCAAAAATTACACGGGGCGGTTCTTGTTAGTCACAGAGCTCTTGTGCTTTCTTGATTCTATATTTTTGTGATTAATTTCGTTGCTGGATCGGTTCGACTTCGGTCGAAGACAGTAAGCTGTCCCCAGTATTCAACCTTTACTGTTTGGGATTTATTAGAAACCAAAAGTCCTGGCTATACAGGAGTTGCACCGGTGGTATGAGTTCTGAAGTTTGGAGTCTTTTAACAAGCGGTTAATGTACCTTGGAGTGTGCGAACTCGTACATAACGTGTTCAGCCTGTCGCAGCACGTTGTGTCGCTGCACGGTGCGCTTGCGACGGTCGAGGCGTGGCGCTACTCGCTCGGCGTCCGCGCCGCCCGCCGCGCCGCGTTCGCCGCCGGCTTCCAACAGTCGTTGAAGCGCGAGATAGCAGTCGGACGACTATAGCATGTACCTTGGGGTAAGCGAACTTTCACGCAGCAAGTTGTGTCGTTGCACGGTGCGCTTGCGACGATCAGCGTCGACATCACCCGTCAGTAAGATAAACATTTATCACAGCGTTCCACCACCACGTAGCGTTCGTACCTTGGAGTGCGCGAACTCATGCATAACGTGTTCAGCCTGTCGCAGCACGTTGTGTCGCTGTACAGTGCGCTTGCGGCGGTCAAGTCGCGGCGCTACTCGCTCGGCGTCCGCGCCGCCCGCCGCGCCGCGCTCGCCGCCCGCTTCTAGCAGTCGTTGGAGCGCGAGATAGCAGTTGGACGACTATAGCAGGTACCTTGGGGTGAGCGAACTTTGACGCAGCTCGTTGTGTCGTTGCACGGTGCGCTTGCGACGATCAGCGTCGACATCACCCGTCAGTAAAGTACACATTCATCACAGCGTTCCACTACCACGTACCTTGGAGTGCGCGAACTCGTGCATAACGTGCTCGGCCTGTCGCAGCACGTTGTGTCGCTGTACAGTGCGCTTGCGACGATCAAGTCGCGGCGCCACTCGCTCGGCGTCCGCGCCGCCCGCCGTGCCGCGTTCGCTACCCGCTTCTAGCAGCCGTTGAAGCGCGAGATAGCAGGCGGACGACTATAGCACGTACCTTGGGATGGGCAAACTTTGACGCAGCACTTTCGTTCCACGGTGCCCTTGCGGCGCTCGGCGTCGACATCACCCGTCAGTAAAATAAACATTTATCACAGCGTTCCACCACCACGTAGCGTTCGTACCTTGGAGTGCGCGAACTCGTGCATAACGTGTTCAGCCTGTCGCAGCACGTTGTGTCGCTGTACAGTGCGCTTGCGGCGGTCGAGGCGCGGCGCCACTCGCTCGGCGTCCGCTTCTAGCAGCCGTTGGAGCGCGAGATAGCGGTCGAGACGACCATATAGCACGTACCTTGGGATGGGCAAACTTTGACGCAGCACTGTCGTTCCACGGTGCCCTTGCGGCGCTCGACATCGACATCACTCGTCAGTAAAGTAAACATTTATGACAGCGTTCCACTATCACGTACCTTGGAGTGCGCGAACTCGTGCATAACGTGTTCAGCCTGTCGCAGCACGTTGTGTCGCTGTACAGTGCGCTTGCGACGGTCAAGTCGCGGAGCTACTCGCTCGGCGTCCGCGCCGCCCGCCGCGCCGCGCTCGCCGCCGGCTTCCAACAGTCGTTGGAGCGCGCGATCGCGGTCGAACGATACCACGTAGAACAGCAGGTGACGGCACTCGAATGGAAACACGAACGGGCTGGGGAATAAATTTTATATTAGCATCGAGTGATTCTATTGATGCTATTAACGAACACTAAAGATTTCTGTGTAAACTAGTAGACAAGCAGTAAATAATAGTATTGGTAAATTGGGTAATTCATAAGGTGTCAAAACGCTCTCCCATAGAGTTGTATAGCGATGGACAAGCCTAGCATAAAGATGTAATGTCGCCAGTTAGCAAACTTCATAACTCACCAAGCATATGCGATTTTCTTCAGCCATGGAGGAAGATTTCCAGTCATGATCACAAGTGGATCTTGGAGTTGACGGTTAGCTTTGGCAGCGAGCTGAAAGAAAAACCAAACAGTCACTATTAAAATTGAGAATTACTGTGAACAAGTGCAACATTGAAATAAGCTGTGCCTTAAATAAAATAAATAAATAGCACTGTTTTGTAGCAAAACAGCAAAATATTCCAACTACATAAGACGTATATTACCAAGCTTGAAAATGCTTATTAGATGCCTGAGACGTATTTTTGGCCATAGCTCCGAGGATTTTGGGAGGATCGAGATGGAAATAGTACCAAGAGTTGAGGAATTTATCGACAGGCTTTTTTTGGAATTTTGCTATTATGTAAAAAAGTCAGGTCTTTGGGCGGTTTACAAACCTTGGCATTGATGAACTCCGCGTTGGGCACAAGAGGCCTCGGGTCCGGCAGGCACACGGCGCGGTACAGCGTGTGCCAGTGCCGCGACAGCGCGTGCAGTGCGCGCAGCACGCCCAATGCTGGGAGAGAAGCATCGCGAAGCTCGCCGCCGCCGGCGCTGACTACTGGCGAGCGCAGGATCACCACGAGCGGCGAGTCGCGTGAAGGGACCACGCCCTCTGTGGATTAGATGTGTGTGCCTACCATGAGTTTAGGTTAGGTGAGCTCGCTAGCGAATACGTCAAAAAATTCTATGAAGATCTTATTTCTTGAAAGTAGCCACTAGGGGCGCTGCACAATATGTCATACATTTAAATGTCATTTTTTTACGCAGTCGCTAGCGAGCACACCTAAAGTAAACTCATGGTAGGCACACTGATCGTTAACAAATGAAGAGCGGAACAAATTGTATACCGTTTTTCCACTATTGATAACCTTCTAGAGAGGGAAAAAGGGACTCAGGAGATTTTATTAGAAAACAATTCAGCTAAAAATGGACGCTGCAACCTCGCATTACTTCGAAGTTGTTCATTACTAAAAATAATAAGAGCAATAAAGTTCAAATAATCCATGATAGTTTTAGACTGCATAAAAAGATAAGACGACTATTTTGGAAATCACTCAATCGAATTGTCAGATTGCCATAGCATTCGAAACAGAGCACCCTGTATGTAAATGTACATTAATTTTAGCCAAACTGGTAACGAGTACACTAAAAATGCACCACGTATACTCATCTTCGAATCAAACTCCTAAGAGTCGAGAGCATTATGTTTTCTAGAGTCAATAAATGTGTTGATTATGAACAAAGATAAAAAAATAAGGCCGCTTGTAAGCATCCGTTTTTTTGACCGGACAACGGCCCGATTTTTTCACCGGATTTAGCGGTGGTGTATGGTTTATAATGAACGTGTGCACATGCATCGGACATAGGTCCGGCGAGAAAATTGACAGCAAACAAAGGTTTTTGACGGTCCGTCGTCCGGTGAAAAAACGGACGTCTACAAGCGCTCTAAGGCATACCATTCCACAGCATGTCAGGTTTCCGGCGCGAGGACAGCTTAGTGGGCTGTCCTTTGCCCTTGCGGCTGGCGGCGGCGTCGGAGCGCGGCGGCTCGCCCGCCTCCACCGCGCGGTAGTAGATCGTGTGCGTCTGGATCCAGATGCCCGCGTTTGCTGAATGTACAAAACATTTTGGGGATTAGACAACTCTTAAATCTACACTTATGTGGAACTGAGCGAAAGGACTAAGGCAACCACCACTGTAAATAGCTGTGGTAAGCAAACTTCTGCTAAATTTATATAATGGTGACAGCTTGCGGAAGTCCACGTCTGCAAGTTTCATTGCTAGTATAAACCTCGCATAAGAGAAAGGAAATGAATGAGTGAGAGGCAGAAGGATTTCATTCTGAAAGAAGATCGGAAGTGGTTTTGTACGTGGATGACAATTTCCTTTTTTTACGGTTGTTCTGATAAAATACAAATAAAGCTGCGAAAATGCTGATGCTTTTACATTCCTACACTAAATAGGTCTGTAAATCCGTAAACTGATCATTCTTTTAGTTCCAAAAAGCAATAGACGTCAATGAATACATACCCAGCGGCGTCTCAGTGTCAGTATCGGCGTCATTCTGTTCGCCGAACTGCCGCACGGCCTGGTACACCGTCATATTGTATGGCAGCACCGTGTCGCCGATTAGGAACTCCAGTTTGTGTTCAGAGCTAGAAAACATTACAATTTTATAAATAAGTGTTGATTAAAGACACAAAAGGTGAGAGAAAAAGAGGGAAAGAGAAAGGGAACGAAAGAAATTAATGGCGTGAATGACCTTGAAATGTTATAGTCCGTATAGGTCGCGCAACGAGAGTTGAGGCCATCAACACAAGCAGCTCACCTCTTGCGTAATCAGACTGACATGTGCCTTCTGTCTCACTCGCAGACATTTAACACGAGCAAGGTATAGTTCCAAAATACTGAACTGTCCTATGCATGACATTGACAGCGGGGCGCCACCGTCAATACCGGATCGCTGGTTCCGATTTTTGCCATGTTGGAAACAATATAGTTGAACGATGGTAGCGCCCCCCTGTCATCGAGTTTGGTGGGACAGTTCAGCGTGGGTCATCTATAGCTATTGTATTCGTTATTTGAACTTGAATGTGTTATCTGTTGTTTGTATTAATTGTTTATGGGTCACAATCTATGGTTATATTGCATTGTCTATTATTGTGTACGTACTCTGTAGGGTGGTGGTGCGGCGGCGTGGCTAGCGAGTCGTCGACGTCGTCGTCGGAGGCGGCGTCGTCGTCCGAGTGTGCGCCCGATGCCGACCCGTCACGCTGCCGCGTGCTCGCGTAGCCGCGTTGTGCTAGATATCTGGTAGAGTAAACAAAGACTTAATTATTTCGAATTATGACGTTGAAGTTGTAAGAGGCGACTAAAAACTTCCTAAAAAGTCTGGCAAACGTGGGTAGTGTAGGCCAAATCTTCCATTTGTTTCTGGAAAACTTTTAGAGGTCGACATTCTGCAGCGGAGATTAAAAATGATGATGATGAATTATGCACCCTAATTTTACAGAGAATCCAGTCTAGATTACCTTATAGTTCCAGAAAATATTTACTTAAAATCATAAAGTAACATATGCTTAAAACAAAGAACTAATAAGTAAAATAATATGAACTCACCTTTCAATGGCTTGGACTAAAGCTAAGGGGTCTATCCGAACTACACCGCCCTTCCATTGTTTCAGGTTGGTGCAAGTTGGATGACGTTTGAGATCACACTGAAAATAAATAAACAATATTAATGATATAAAAGGAAGCTTGCATCCTTTTAGGCATCTAACAAAAATGCTTTATGGATTTTTATACACGCTCGGAGCTGCGTTCAGCGATTGCTTGCTGCCGCTTTTTCAAAATGTACGAACTCGCTCTGCTATTGGTCGTTGCTAGGGTTATGCTAAAGCCGACCTTATCGACAATCCGTTCACGACCGCGGCGAGCGCTTGACATGTCTAATTTTGTGTATTTATGAATATTTTGTTATGGCGAATTTACACTATGCGGAAATTAGCCGAGAGGAGTGGGGATGAAATTCATTCATTTTTCATCCCCACCCCTGTTTTTTTGACTTGACTTGGCTAATTTCCGCGCAGTGTAAACGCAGAATTATACTTGTATCTTTTGATGTGTTTTTGAATGAATACTTGTTTCGTAATGTGACTTGCCCTCATTTAGGACCCCGACCAGCTTCATAGCTGGCGTTGGCTGCTGTCATCAGCAACTTTCGATCTAAGTGGTAAGGAGTTGTGGGCGTTGGTAGATATTCCTACCAGCACTTACCATGAGCTGGTGCGTGTTGAAGAACTTGAGCGCGGAGGTGGCGGGGCGCGCGGGCAGGTCGTGCACGCGCACGGGGAACTGCTCCAGGTGCGACACGCACGCGTTGACTTTGGCCACGAGCGCGCCCATCGCGCCGCCGCCTACGTTGGCTAGGAAGCCTTCGTTCTCCTCCCATTCGGTGCTGGGGAAATATTAACACATAAATAATGGACCCTTGCTTGGCATGTGGAAAAGATGTAAGAAACGTCTTCAGGAGGAGCCACTAGCGTCTTTCGAGCGCGTCATCTTGCCAGCGCCCCAGCAATTTTGACACAGAGCGCGGCGCCAATGCAACTTTTTTTCGGACAAATAAAGTAACAGCGGGATGAGAGAGTTGCGTTACTCGAAACTCAAAAGACGCTAATGTGGGGTCTTTCTTTAACTATAGGTAACTAAGTATATGACTACTAAATAAGTAAATTACACTTTCTTTACTACTAACTTCAAAGTCAAAATTTCTTTATTTGCATAGACTATTTATATAGTGCTTACAAATCGTCAAATATTTTGCTCTTAAGGAGCCTCTACATGTCTCATAATCTTTTTACTCTACCAGCGCTTCGAGATCAACATTTGGCCAGTCTGTCTGTTTGTCAAATCTTCTCGCTATTATTCATTACGCGGCTCAATTCACAATGTGTAGCCATTTTAGAAAGTTAAGATTTACAGCCCGTTTCCTTTTATTTAAGTCAATACAATCCCCACAATACATATCATAAGAAAATAGTTTAAGGCTGAGTTACACCACCTTATTTTAACCGTGACTATAACTGGTGTTTTTTGTATGGAGTTTGACTAACTTTTGACGTTGTTTATGTTAATGATAGATCGCCCGGAGTCCTGCCAGCAGGACTTAAAGTACTTCCGGTAGGACGCAAAATTAAAAGATCACAGTTTCGTAAGTATACATTGTACAAATTTCAAATTTACACGAAAAAATAGAGTGTTTCTCTCTCTTTCACCCAATAGTGCCCAAGATCGAAAAACGCGACTAACCGTTAGTCGGAGCCCGATGGCGCACGAGTATACACGGGGGCAGCGCGTTCGCGCTCGCGCGACACATTTTGACGCGCCGGGCGTGGAGTCGGCAACATTTTGGCGATAATATTATAATGAATGTGAAGTATTCCAGCCTAATCAAACATTTATAATTTATTTCTTGTTTTTGTTTTTAATTTGTAGTGTATTTGTAAGTGATAGGTGTAATTTCTAATACAAAGTGACGTACCAAAGTAATTAATTTAAAGTTCCTTATTATAGTTCCTATTAGTTAAGTTGAAAGAAGATAAACAAGTTTATAATATATTAAGAAAAGTAAAATACTGGTTAAACAAAATGATTCTACGACATGACTTTTTATTTAATAAACACTAACCAAGTGTTTACTACTTCTGGTGAGGATGAGTTCAAATTTGAAGGTCACCGTACTGCTGGAAGGACCAGCAAGCAAACACGTACAAATTGCGTACTGCGGGCAGGACTTGCGATAATCTTCTGGCAGGACGTTTAGAACAAAAGACCAGTCCTTCCAGAAGAGCCTTCCAGCAGGACAAAGCACCGGGCGATCTATCATTAAAGTAAGATGGTGCAACCGAGCCTAAAGCTACAATCGACCATGACATAAAGGTGTCAACTAACAAGTGTATAATTTCCCTAACATTGCAAAAAGATATGCTGTGTATACCTGTAATTGAGGTCATATACGCATCATGTGTTAAACCATGTTAAAATGTATGAACTGTATTATGTATGTGACTTTGTTGGTGTACCTAATCTATCTATCTATCTATACAGGGTGGAAACGTTAAGTGATCTCACTCGATTATTTCTAAACTATACAAGATATCGAAACACTGATTACTGATTCTGAAAGTACTTCACAAGCTCTTTCAAACGGTACCAATCATAAGTTACATAATAAACTGGATCTATCCGAAAATTCAATGTTTCCATCTTCCATACATTTAATAAAACCACATAATATTAAAAACTATACAAGATATTCAAAAACTGGTTACTGATTCTGAAAGTGCTTCACGAGCTCTATCCAACGATACCATTACTAGGTTACAAAATAAACTGAATCCATCCGAAAATTGAATGTTTCTAGCTTCCATACATTTAGTATAGCCACTGTCATGGCACTCTTGTCTTGATAATATTATAGCAAGTAAAGCCTAAAACCAATGTTTTCCATGAATAATTTTAAATAAGAATGCAATTAACAAGTTCATTTTAAGTGTTTATTATTTAATTAAAAAAAAATATTTCTAATATTGTTTGGCTGGCATACATTTAGTATGGAGGCTGAATACATTTAATTTTCGGATAGATCCAGTTAATTCTGTAACCTATTATTGGTACCGTTGGATAGAGCTCGTGAAGCACTTTCAGGATCAGTAACCAGTTTTTCGATATCTTGTATAGTTTAGAAATAATCGAATGAGATCACTTATCGTTTCCACCCTGTATATATAAAAATGAAACCCGTTTTCCGTTGTCACGACATAACATGAAAACGGGTTGACCGATTTGGCTGATTTTTTTTTTGTAGTTTTCTAATACTCTGTACAAGGTTTTTACGGAATAAAATATGAAGAAAATCTCTACGCTAAGGCGGTACGAAGTTCGCCGGGTCAGCTAGTAAATAAATAAATAAACTCACTCCGGCACGAGCGGCATGTCAGCGAAGACGTGCAGGAACAAACGCAGGCGCGCCTCGACGGCCGCCACCAGGTCGTCGGGGTCGCGCGCGTCGGGCTCCTCGCGCTCCGCCCCCGTCTCGGGCTCCTCGCCGCCCGTCAGGAACTGCAGCAGGGCGCCTAGCACGCCTGAGTGGTTCACCTGGAATGGTGGGAGTTTGAATAGGTGTTCGACATTATGGGAAATGGTTCGGCGCGTGCGCATGTCCTCACGAAAGAGTAAGATCCATGACAATATGCAACTTTGTTTCATACTAAGCTCAAAAGCCTGTAGATTCTCATCGAGACTCGAGTGTATACAGGGGAGCGCTCTGAGTCATTGGGTGTTGCTGGCTCACCCTTGATCACGTGTCGGTTTTTTGAGCAGGAGTCAAAAGGGTCTCACGCACAAAGTCGATAGTGTGCATTTCTACACACGACACATTATAAACGAGTAGAAAGCTAGTGTACGAGCGTAGTCCTTCACCTCAGAGTTCACAACTACGACTGTATGCTATGAGAGTGTCGCCCTCATACTCGAATGGATGTCTACATAGTGTACTGCCGACATAAGTGAAGTTTTGTGTGTTGTCGCTCTGACACAAGTATTCTTCAGGCATAAGTGGAATGGCGTTTATCAGCGTGGCTATCAATCACCCTGACACAGTGTTCTGCCGTCACAAGTGGAATATTAGGCAGGGTACTCACCTGCCATGTAACACGTAACGTAGCATGTAACGTGACCAACCTTCAAGTGAGTACGGGTCGTCCACGGTCATCGCGTATCTAGCTGCGAGCTTCGGGATCCGCTCGTGAAAATAGTCGCCTTTGATCTTCCTGCGAATCACACGCGACCAGCTCGCAGCGGACTCGTGCCTATGTACTCACTTGATACAGTATCTGATACATTACATGCTACACGGCTAAAGCCTGGTCCGTGAGCACGTAGAATTTTGTCCAATGACCCCAAGCTACCCATCCTTATCGCTCGCGCGGAATTATATTGCTGTCGCGACTGTGCGACGGGCGCCCGCAGTGAGTGTGTGAGCGCGACAGCAACATAATTTTTTATTTTTATTTTTATCTTTGGACAATTTCACACAGCGCCAGCTAGCCCCAAAGTAAGCAACTTAATACTTGTGTTATGGGTGCTAGCTTAACGGATATACTACTTATATACTTTTTTTTATATATACATAAATATTATACATAGTCACACCCAGACCCGTCACAGAATCATCATTTCAATTTCTGCCCGGCCGGGAATCGAACCCGGGACCTCTCGACATAGTAGTCCGTTCTGAACCACTACACCAAACGGCCGACAAAAAATTACGCGCGAGCTGAGTACCCTGCTTAATGCTCATGTACTGACCTCGAAGGGCGACACGTCGTGCAAGGTGAGCGTGTCGCGCAGCTGCTCGAGCGCGGCGCGGTGGTGCGGCGGGTGCGGCAGCGCGGCGGCCAGCGCGGCCAGCTGCTCCAGCGCGCCCGCGCCGCCGCCCAGCGCGCCCCACTCGCGCTGCAGACGCGCCGCCGTCCACTGGATCCATTCGCGGACCTTCTCCCTGGGAAACAGAAGACAACAATGGCGTTCATTAAGAGTAGGCCGATAGTTTAGTCGGGGTGTTGATCAGTATGGGCATGTATGGGAGTGCGCACACTACGCGATTCGATTTGGCCGATTCTTCATACAATTTGAAATCGGGCACAACTATCGGCCAACTAAAAATCAACGGTGTGCGCCTACTCTAAGTGCCTACTCTATACTCGACGCATAGACTCGCGGCAGGCGAGGCCATAAGTTATTTTTGAAAAAGAGATACATTCGCCAATATTTTCAATTTATTACTTACTAGCTTTCCGCCTGCGGCTTAGCCCGCGTGGAATTTTGTCTGTCACAGAAATACTATATCGCGCGCGTCCCTGTTACAAAAACCGGGATAAAAACTATCCTATGTCCTTTCCCGGGACTCAAACTATCTCTATACCAAATTTCATCAAAATCGGTTCAGTGGTTTGAGCGTGAAAGTGAGACAGACAGACAGACAGAGTTACTTTCGCATTTATAATATGTATTAGTATAGAAGTATAGATAGTATAGATTATAAACTACGCTATTCCTGCCTATGTGTGACGTCACCAATAACCAGTGCGAATGCGAGAGAAAATGTGATATGCACTGTTTTATGTTGACACCGCCTGCCACGAGTCTTTTGCACTGAGTATAAAACTCGTGTGGTGCACGCACACGTGCGGCGGGTGCACCCGCAGAGGTGGGCGGGTCATTGCTGGACAAAGACCTTCAAGGATTTCCACAACGACCGGTTCTACGTTACCTTCATTACGACACTTCCCGCATTTAGTATACTAACTCGTCAGAACATTAAGGGGTGACCTGCCCACATTGCTTCTTACTTGAACTCAAGCTATATGCCCCACCCAAACACTATATTGCACTAAATTTGAGCATTGACTAGAGCATTTACTTGTAACCAAACGTTACATTCTAGCTAGACTATAGTCATTGTAAAGGACAGCAGCTAGGGCGGATCAGCCCTCGAAGTATGTAAAGGACAGCTTCTAGGGCGGGTCAGCGCAAAAAACAAAGCCTTGGTCAAAATTAAGGAGCTTTGTTTGGCCCAAAAATATGCCCTGACAGTTATCAAAATACAATAATACAAATACTAAAAACATAAGGTATAAAAAAACTTAGACAAGTATAAAAGAAGGTTGGTCCACCTATCGGTTCCCAACAGTCACCATAATATAAAAATATTTCAAAGTACTCACTTGTTCTGCACGCTGAGCGTAGCGGAGGAGTGCGGCGAGGCCAGCAGCGAGTCCTTATGAGCATGCGGCGCGCGGCCCCAGCGCGACGGGTTCAGCGACGACAAGAAAGAAGACGTCTTGGATGCCGTGCCCGCCCGGCTGCCGGAGCGGGCCGCGCCAGGGACGTTGGAAGCTGTTGGAGGTGAGAATTAATAAATTAAACTGCAGTATAACTATTACCACATAAATTGTACTATTAGCACAGAGAAGCTGGCGAGGCATGTATCTCGAATTTTCAGTCATTTGTGGCGAAGGAACTGCCTGACAGAAACCCCTGATGTAAACTGTAGGCGAAAGACTTTGCAGGCAACTTATACCTATACTCGTTGCTAAAAGTGATACACTTTTAACAGCGTTTACAGGAAAAAATAATAGCGTCGATGTGTCTTCGTATCTCTGAATAAAATATCTAAACTTTCACTTGCAGCTTCCAACTCAGACAATCTCTTTCCATAGCAAATTTTCGGACATAACCAACATATTATGAAATCAACGTAAAAATATTGATACCTTTACAGAACTTACTACACCATAACCGGTGAAGACATATTTGACCATTTTAACTAGGATACTTGTAATTTAAACTGTAGTGGTGTGTGTATTGAACATATTTATTGTGTGAATTTATTTAAGAAGCAGTTCCAGAAAACATGTCGCCAAAGTAACGTGATCCTTATGTGAACGCATTAGACTAACTTACCGTGCGTAGCGGGCTGGTGAGCGTGCGGCGCGGGCGCAGCATGGGCCGCGTGGGCCGGGTGCGCAGCGTGCGCTGCGTCATCACGGCGGCGGGCGTGGCGTGCGCCGGCGCCGCCGGATCGCTTCACGGCGCGCTTGCGTTTCAACATCTCGGCTAGTTGCAGGGGACTGCCGGACCTGATACACGAACAATAAGTTAACATTTGAAGATCGGTTTAGCGCTTTGTAATAGCAGTTTCTATTCATGCCTTTACAAAATAACAATAACGATGGAGATGGCAGATGGCCTGCCAAGCGTGGAGATTATGGCAAAACCCTCCACTAAAGTGGAGGAGGCTGCAGTTCAGAGGAGTCCAGCAGTGGACTGTAAGGCTGTTATCACACTGCGCCGCGCTCCGTCGCGGAGCGCGGGGCGACAGATTTTTTCATTGTATGCAAGTACCTCAGTTTGTATAGAAAACACGCGCGGCACTTCACACTGACAACGCGTCCGCGCGCGTGATTTTTTTATATGAAAATCACGCGCTCCGCGGACGGCAAACGGCGGAGCGCGGCGCAGTGTGATAACCGCCTAAAGGGCTGTTGATGATGAAAATAATAAAGTATGTTTATACGAATATACGCTATCTGACCTTAGTACAACAAACTTTGCTTCGTTGATTAAAAATATAAATCAGTGCCGATGTTAAAATGCTTTTAGACAAACCTGTGCACTGTGGTCGAGGCTTGTTGATGTGAAGAGGCCGAAGCCGGTCCAGGTTCTGGAGAGTCGATGCTGGGTGCTGTATAACATAAATAACAACCATTTTAATACCAATATAAATCACATTACCATTCAATTTGTAATGCTAATGGAAGTAAAGACTTACGCAAAGTAGCCGCGACGAATGAACTCGAAGCGGAGAATGCCAGAGACAAGTTGTGATCGAGGGACGTAGCGGAGGTCGAGGCCGGCGGGGAGGAACCGCCGCTGGATCGGACGCTCGTGTTGCTTGTGGACTGTGAATATAACAAAACAATGAGCATTCCAAAATCACATGTCATGTATTTTACTATAGTCTGGTCTGCGAGCACGTAGAATTTTGTCCAATGACCCCAAGCTACCCATCCTTATCGCTCGCGCGTAATTATTATGTTGCTTTCGTCGCACAGTCGCAGCAATATAATTACACGCGAGCGATAAGGATGGGTAGCTTAGAGTCATTGGACAAAATTCTACGTGCTCACAGACCGGGCTTTATACAGAATAATTTTTGACATTTCCTCTTTAGCGTGATAGCATGTGCTCCGGATGATAATTGTCAAAACTCGTAAAATGTATGTATTGAGGAGTGGTTTCAGTCAGTAGTCCAGAGATGACGGAGATCAAGCTCAAACAATCTACTTCTCAAGTCAGCAGTTCGATGTGAAATATTGTCTACGGTCATCTAACTTCGAACTCCTCCTAAGTACTTCTGATTAATTTCATTGTGGGTCCAAATAACACTAACTTTCCCAAGACAAACTTAACCTTCACTGGTTGGGTTTTTATTGGCGGTCACGTTGTAGATCCCGGCTACACAGGAGTTGCAGCGGTGGGAATAGTCCCGTTTACTGACACCTAAAACTTGAGTGTAAACCAGATCCAAACCGCACTCAATGGTCCACTCCACGAGTGCACAAGAAAGGCTGCAGTGCGGGAGGAATGGCGACGGATTGTGAGACTTGCCACCAGACCTGGTGTGACGACCACGACCACTCTGTTAAGAGTGTAACGACGAAGAAGAAAACATGAGTGAGCTATAGACCTCAATTCTCACCTTGTGCTCAGTCTGCCTCGGCGTGTGCGAGTGTGCAGCGAGCTGGGCTACTTGGTGCAGCACGCCCTCGCGGCGGAATTGCACCGCCATTTCTTCCGGCAGACGCTGCATCAGTATCTCAGCCAGTTGCAGAGACCCCACCACTATGCGCAGGTCGCTGGACGCCATCATGCCCGCGATGTGCGACGATATCACCTGGGGAAATGTGAGTTTTAGAGGAAAGATGTGGAATGTGCTGTTCGGTGTAGACTTACTATCCTGCAGCGGTATTGCATCTATGAAATAAATTGGCATTAATATCATATTGATTATCTGAGACAAACTACGAAACAAATCACAATAATGGCCGCGCATTCAATTTGTTATTTTCACTGCGCGTCATTACACCAAACAACAATGACTATGACTACATATAAAATATTTATTTCATACGCTTCTAGGTACTCATACTTGGCAATACGTATTCGATTCTTTACAACGCAAAATCAACGTCTCCCGAGAGTCGTAGACTAATTTTTATTAAGATAAGTATTGCCAACCGAACAGTTGTCCCTTAAAAACATCAACTACCTACAAGTACATCCAACTCAAATCAACATTATTAACTCTGTCATTAATATTCGAATGTGAACCTTCAAGAACTCGGATCCTTCGGTCCGCGGGGTCTCATCGTCCCGTACCTGCATCTTGAGCACTTGCCGCAGCAGCGGCGCGTCGGCGTAGTACACGCAGCGCAGGATCGCTTTCAGCGCTTGAGAGCGCACCGCGGGCCCAGCGGAACTCCAGTACACCTCGTGGAGAACGGCTAGGAGGGCCCGGGCGAGGAGCGGGTTGCTGCGGACCATGGCGATGCGAGGATCTGTGAAGGGAACAAAAGCGTTAAATGTCTAGGCCTTCGAGATGTGATTAAAAAGTTGATTATATTAGATAATTATGACACTAAAAATCTGGATGGCTAGAAGAGTGATTTATGATTGTACTGTGGTGAACTCCAAACATTGTTGATTGTTATAGGCCACGAGCATAAAATGTAGCTAGCAATCGAGATGATAGAGAATTTCTTTGACCATATTGATGTTGAACACGTCATGTTTGATAATGCCAGCGTGGGCACGATTAAGGGCGCATCAAGGACGGATGCGTACGTTCTATGAGCGGACGTATACGTACTATGAGCGGGCGTATACGTACTAAGAAAATAAAAATAAAATAACGCGCCGCGCGGTGCCGGTGTGGTCGTTGAGCTGCTGCATGGCGGTGAGGTCACGGCGTGGTACACGTTCCATAGGCTAGCAGTACGTACCGTGAGCGGGCGCATACGTACTACGAGCGGGCGTATACGTACTATGAGCGAGCTTTACGTACCGTGAGCGGGCGCGTGCGGCGCCGGCTGGTCGGCGCGGGCGGGCGGCGGCGCGCGCTGCACGGGCCGCGCGGTGCCGGTGTGGTCGTTGAGCTGCTGCATGGCGGTGACGTCACGGTGTGGGAGCGGCCCGGCGTGGTACACGTTCCATGAGCGGGCGCGTACGTACCGTGAGCGGGCGCATACGTACTATGAGCGGGCGTATACGTTCCGTAGGCTAGCAGTACGTACCGTGAGCGGGCGCATACGTACTATGAGCGGGCGTATACGTTCCGTAGGCTAGCAGTACGTACCGTGAGCGGGCGCGTGCGGCGCCGGCTGGTCGGCGCGGGCGGGCGGCGGCGCGCGCTGCACGGGCCGCGCGGTGCCGGTGTGGTCGTTGAGCTGCTGCATGGCGGTGAGGTCGACGGTGTAGGAGCGGCCGAGCGTGGTGAGGCACACCTCCTCCTCGCCCGCCGCCGCGCCCGCCTCCAACGCGCGGCTCTCTGCCCACGAGTAAGAACGCCACACGCCTGTAGGTTCATAACGGTTTTAATTTGCATTCGCTAACTAAACTCCAGTTTTTAATTTGCACAGCGTTTTGACAGAAAAATACAAGCGTAGCTTTAGTGGTGCTGTAGCCGTATTTTTCACGTCACATGTTCTTGACATTTTCGCTGCAAATGTTAATGCACTGTTTAAAATTAAAAACCAGAATAAATTGTCAAATTACTTAATTATTCTCAATTTATCGTACAATAGTCCAATCAAAACTCCATTTCAAATTTTATTTACACAACCTGGCCAAGTTTACTGCGCACCTCGCTGGAATGCGACTCTCCCTCGCACCTCCCGCGTTCGCTACGTTCGTATCAGAGCGTCAATGTGACGTCACGGCCGCCATATGCGCAGTTAACTTGACCGGGTTGTAGTTACCAATTAATATAGGAACAATATTTTGCTACCTCAAAATGATTGTTAGAATGAGTCCTCCTAACAGAACCGGGCGTACCTCTATCGTCCCGCCACTGCCAGTGCGCCGAGCGGTCGGCGGGCGCGGCCCAAGGCCGGTCGAGGTGCGCGTCCACGGCGAAGATGCCGTCCGTCGGCAGCCGCGGCATCAGCTCGCCGATCAGGCACGTGATCTCGTACAGCTCCTGAGGCAGGCGCGGCAGCAGCTCCACTTGCTGAGGGAACAAAATAAGATAACATTAGGAAACGATCACTGACATTTGTTTATTTATTATTTAATCATAACCAATGTAGATGTATGGTTTGTCGTTTATCGTAGTAGAGTTGAAGAGCACGTCGAGAAGAAAAGATCTCCAATGTGTAAAGTTTATATTGTAGTGAAATACTAACAAGTTATCGTGGCAAATCTTTTCTTGAGTAAGTATAAACTAACGCGCGCCCAAAAAGTGGGACGCAAACGTAAGCGTAAAAGTAAGTGCAATGTACGATTACTAAAGTCCGGTCGCCGAGCACGTAGAATTTCGTCCAAAGACCCCAAGCTACCCATCCTTATCGCTCGCGCGTAATTATATTGCTGTTGCGACTGTGCGACGTGCGGCCGCAGTGAGTGTGCGAGCGCGACAGCAATATAACTACGCACGAGTGATAAGGATGGGTAGCTTGGAGTCTTGGCTTTATACTAGACAGACCGCAAGCCGCCCATGCAAGTTTTAGCGTAGGCCCTTTCAGTTGCACGGTCCCCATTCACATACCTCCTGGTGCATGGAGGAGCCGGTGCCGGTGAGCAGGCACAGCAGCGTGTCGGCGATGGAGCGCTGGTGCAGCGCGAGCGCCAGCTGCGGGCACGCGGCACACATCACCCAAAGCAGCCGCAGCACAGTGATGAAGGTAGCGCCCGATATCAGTGGCGGCTGCACGACCAGCTGCAAAACAATAGACAATTTGACACCATTCCCCAATAATTCGAAATCACATATTTTCTAAAAAAGACATTTCTTTCATGTTTTATAACTTAATAAATTTAAAATTACCTGCTAATTACGATTTTTGGTCGCATTGTAATTGAAAAAAGTAGTTTAATTGAGTTAACAAAATAGTGATGTCACTTGCTTGTAGTGCCATATAGTTCCAAAATACTGAACTGTCCTGTGTATGACATTGACAGTGGGGCGCCACCGTCAATACCGAATCGCTAGTTCCGATTTTTACCATGTTGGAAACCTTATAGTTGAACGATGGTAGCGCCCCCCTGTCATTGAGTTTGGCGGGACAGTTCAGTGTGGGTCTTCTATACAAATTCTATGGGAGAGTTTCGTTTTGACAGTTTTAAAAAGTACGTCAATGAGGGTTTTCGCGAATGAAAGATCCGCTAGATGGCGGGACGTGGATGTGGGGTCTGACTGCTGCGTGATTGGTGGATTTTGACATATCTGTCAATGTCATGTCAAAAATAAACCAATCATGCAGAATTTGGACCTCGCGTCTACGTATTGCCATCTGGCGGATTTTTCATTCGCGAAAACTCTCATTGATTGGTGGTGTCAACACGTCTATTTGTTTTTATGTCTGGGAAAACGTGATAAAAAGTTGCCCTCATAACATATGATTGATAACCTTTTATCTACAATTTAAATGAGTGGGTTTCTTTGCGAGCTTTATTTTTGTTTGGCCTCTATATCACACTGGTTACGATTATGAGTCATACAAATAAATGACTTGGTTAACCCAAATAGAAACATATTTGAAATCTCGAATTTTTTTTTTTTTTTTTTTTTATGCATAACAAGGCAGGTATTTGACCACAATCGCACCTGATGTTAAGTGGGATGCAGTCTAGGATGGCCTTATCAGTAAGACACCCCGCAGTTTACAGACTTTTAGGCGGCCGATAGTTTGGTTGGTTAGGAGGCGGGGAAGTTTTTTATTATAACTTACCAGTTGCTGAAGATTAGTGAGCAGCTCTGGGGTCGCGATCTCTTGTAGGCGAGCCGGGTCATGTTGGAAGCTGTCTACGAGTCGCGAGAATGCGAGGCAGACGCATTCCACTGATTTCTTATCTTGTTGGGTTAATCTGTAAGAAATGATTTCCATTACAATTCATATTCCCCATATAAAACACACAATGGTGATAACAATAAAAAATTGACAATATAATATATTATCCTTTTAGGTTCAGGCGTGGAATGTAAATTAGGGTAGAAGATAATGGAGGCTCAATTTTTTTAGTAGGTTTAAAAAGAGAGTAAGAAATAAACACAAAGATTAGGCTCAGCATTACATGATAATGGTAAAATAGATAACAGTACGTCACAATGACGTGACTAGCCTCGCCGACCCTAACACAAATCGGCCTGCTACAAAGGAGGCCGCGCGATTTTACAGTTTACAAGTTTTCAAACTTACCTGTTGGCTAGCAGTTGCAGCGAGTCCCTAACCAGATGGAACTCGTCTGGAGTGAGATTCTGGCAGCAGTTCGCTGTGATGGACAGCGCAGCGCGCTGTGCGTTGATCGAGAAGAAGTCCAGGTAGGTCAGACAGGCTGACACACCGCGCTGTGGGAAGGAAGTTTATGTAGTGGTATTTTTATTGAAGACAGATATTTATAAATTATAATAAAGAACCATATTTTAAACAAAATTATGTATAATATGTATATACGAGCCGTAAAAAAGCTGTCACTTTGCAAATCTTATAATTTTAAATGTTTCATGATTTAAGATGTTTCATATATTGTTTTTATTAATTTTAAGTGCTCTGAAAAAAACTGATTGCCACATCGTTAAAAACTTGACTGGCATTACATTTAAACAAATGATCTTTTCAAATATGAATGTATTAAATTGTTTACAAATTAATCCTAATGTGAAATTGGCAGCGCTTTATGTGCCGGATATTACAGTAATGGTTTTGAGAAGTAAGATTATAGTCTATCCAATATAGCTTGATTAGAATGACGGCTGTCAAACGAATGTGACTAGTGATGGGTATGTTTTATACGGTTCACATAGATGTATCGATAAGTTTTCGAAAAAATGATATAAAAAAATGCACCCAATTTTTCTTCATATCTTTATTAATAAAAATGACAATTATGATTTAAATTTAAAGACAGTAAAATTTAAAAATCATGTCAAGGGTGTACAACCTAAGTCGTAGTCATTATCATCAGTGTTCTTCAGTGGTTTTTTCCTCTCGCTAGAGGGCGGTGGGCATCTCTTCTAGAGCAACGGTGCTATGAATACCCAAAAAATTACCGGTGATTGATTTCCGATGTTTGATTGTTTAAGAATGAAATGTTTTTTGGTTTTTAATAGTGAACATTTAGAAAAACGTATAACTTGACTTAAATATGTTAAAATATTAGTTAGAAATTTTTTTTGTTAAATATGTTAAAAAAATAGTTTTAATTTAATATGACATTTGTCGATATGTCCCAACACTAACATTTTAGTAACTCGAGATAACCTTGTAGAGACGTCGTTAATACTCTAGCTTGATTTTTATAATTTCGAATTACTACTTATTGGTGTAATTTAACGCTGCATTTACACGAAATTATCATTTTTATTGGAAGCACTGTCGTCGAAAATATTGTTTGTAGGTCAGACGTGAATTATTTCTTGTCCGCTAATATTTAGCTCTCATTGAACGCTACTACAAAGTTATGTCGTTACTTTTGATGACATCTGTCATTCTAATCAAGCTATATTGGATAGACTATAGTGGATGTAAAATTTTGACACTTGTCAGTAAATCAAAACCTAGGTTCCCGTTGACCTAGAATCATAAAATTGGCAAGGGGCAAGGTTTCTCAGCACACAGTAGTTATAAATTAGTTCTTTGCATTGATAATTTTTCATTTTTTTTATTAGAATGAAGATCCATGTCCTAAATATGCATTGACTTGCCAACGTATCGGCTGGTGCTGGGAAGTGGCAGATCTCAGTCACCTTTGTCTTAAAGAGCCAAAAGCCAGGAAGCTAGGGGTACAATGCGTCAAAATGACTCGCGTTTATCTCGCTAGGTGCAATCACCGCCTGCAGAATGGACCTTGGTTTCTGCGGAGTGCAGTTATCTAGAAAAGCTAGCGCCGCTGCTGCAAGAATGATCTGCTCCGAACCAGTTATGTGGCTAAGTACTCACCGCTTGCAGAATAGCCTTGGAGTGCCTGCGGGACAACATGTCCAGGGCCGTGAGGCTCTGTTCAGCCACGTCCATGCACGTGATGGCCTGCAGCTTGTCCAGGAAGGCCGGAACCGCCAGCGCCACGGCGCCGCTACTGCGAGGCAATGCCTCTAGCATGTAAGTGAGCGCGCGGCAGGCGTGGTTCATCTGTTGAATGGCAATGTGTTAGAATGCCGAATAGATATGCCTTTATACCATGACATACAATGACATGGGTAGATATTGGTAGCTTAGAAAAAGGTAGATAGTGCTCTGCGTTTCCGTTATCGCGTCTTGGCAAATACTTTGTTACGCTATATGGCGGTTAGACGCGAATGAAGTACTTAACTGAAGTTTTATTATAGCTTCGTCTAGTGGCAGAATATTTTTTTATGTACCACTAAGCAAATCGTTCCATCATTAGAGCTAAATACATTTAATAATCTGCGCAGTGCTATCTTTTTAGATACACGGCGACACACCATCTGCTGCTGCGTGCAGTCGCCTACGAAATTATACCTTTATTTTTAGGAAAATGAACAGTCATAGAGCGTGCCCAGACGAATATTTCGACAACCCAGGACACACTGTCCTGGCGCCTTAGAACAAGGAGAGCCGACCCCAAATAAAGTGGAAAGAAGGCTAGGGAAAGGAAAAAGAAGAAGTCATTTTTTATTTTCAACTTTCACAGTTCATTTTTAGTGCAACAGAGCATCTATCACAATAGGGATGTTTCCTGAGTAAAAAAGCAAGAGTTTTAATTAGTCCGTCAGTTAGCTCATCCAAAACTACTCGACACGTATTTTTTACTTTTTAAAACGAATGAAAATGTAAAGAGATAAAGCGTACCAAAGTTCTAAAGAAAAGGCCCGTGACGTCAATGAGTGCGTAAAAGTGCAGCACTTTGTGACGTCGCGCGGAACTTCAACGCACTATAACCTTGTAATTATTTGTTTGATTGACAGTTAAAAATATACGTGTGCAATAGTTTTTTATACTAGAATTGACGGACTAAAAAATTTTTTTTAGGAAACTAGCCTATTGCATACGGTTCCATTAAAATATTTTATGCTTTCATACACTCACCATATCGAAGTTGTGCTCAGCAGCAAGCAGGTTGACGAGCGCGGGCACGACCTGGCGTACAGGGAAGCCGGCCAGCGTGTCCTCGTTGCCCATCACCAGCAGCTGGCACATCTCGATCACAGCCTGCAGTTGCTGGCCCTCGTCGCCGGTGGCTTGAAGGCCGGCTAACAGCTGGGCCGCCTTGGATGCCGCTGGAATAATAAGGAACGTTTACAAAAACTATTCAGCTGAGTAACCTTGGCTTGAGACTGGCTAACAGCTGGGCCGCTTTGGACGCCGCTGGAATAATAAGGAACGTTTACAAAAACTATTCAGCTGAGTAGCCTTGGCTTGAGACTGGCTAGCAGCTGGGCCGCTTTGGATGCCGCTGCGGGAGTGAAAAGGAACGTTTAGAAAAACTATTTAGCTGAGTAGCCTTGGCTTGAGACTGGCTAGCAGCTGGGCCGCTTTGGATGCCGTTGGAATAATAAGGAACGTTTACAAAATCTATTTAGCTGAGTAGCCAGGCTTGCAGGCCGGCCAGCAGCTGGGCCGCCTTGGACGCCGCTGGAATAATAAGGAACGTTTACAAAAACTATTCAGCTGAGTAGCTTTGGCTTGCAGGCCGGCCAGCACCTGGGCCGCTTTGGATGCCGCTGTGGGGACGTTAACATAAACTATGTATCTATAGCTGTGTAGCCCTGGGACGTAGCAAGTCAATGCTAATCTGGTCAGTTTTTGACGCCGGTGCACCAATAAAAGAAATGCTGTATGCACCTCAGAACGCCCTAGTAGCGTCTCGATATACCTGAGTCACAGCAAAAAATATCGGACAACATTAATGTATAAGAAGCTATTTCACATTTTTGGGAACTGATAGGTTTATGAACGGTAAGTAATATAATTTTTATTTCATTCATAATTCTTCAGATTATTCTCCTTGGCAACTTCGGAAACACCGAAAATATCATCATTACCCAGAACGCTGAAATCATGTCTAAATCGACTTGGCCTACACATTATTTCCTAATAACCAGTCTGCCAGATTCAGTTGGCGCTAGCGACTACGGCTTTTGGCAATCACACAGCACGATAATAAGATGCGTTACTATCGCAACAAATTAAAACAAACCTCGAAGACGAGGAAGATCCCGAATCACAAAGATATCCATAGTAAATAAGGACCTCAAAGAGGTTCAAGTCAACAGAGGACCCAGGACCGAGCCGCCTGGAGACGCAAAATAAGGAGGGCCAACCCCAAATAAAATAGAAATGGGCCAGACAAAGAAGTCTACTATCGCAACAACTCACCTGAGTTAGCGGTGACTGTTCTGTGCAGCAGATGCTGCATACGCGGGCCTAACGCGCCGAGCAGGTGCGGTGGGAGCCCGCGGGCCTCTAAGAGGGCTTGGAGCCTCCCCACCTCGCCCTCCTCAGAGGAGGACTCCTCGGCGGGCGCGGCGCTGCCCCCGCCGGAGCCCGACCCCGCACCGGCGCCGGCGCCGCTCGCGCCGACGCTGCCCGCACCGCCGCCGGCGCATTCTTCTGCTGAAGATGCAGCTATAGAATATGAAGACGGTTAACAATCTTCGGAATCAATATCACCTAGCAGGAATGTTTAATTTCGAATGTTGTTTAATTTCGAACTCCTCCTATATTCTTCTGATTAATTTCGTTGCGGGTCCAATGACAGTTTAACTTTCCCCCGGGACAAACTTGACCTTCATTGGTTGGGTTTTTGTGGCGGTCAAGCTGTAGATCCTGGCTACACAGGAGTTGCAGTGGTGGGAACGAGAGGTGGGAATAGTCCCGTAGCAGGAATGTTACTTTGGTATTATTACCATTTCCTTCACTGTATCATATTTTTACTTTAGTTATAAAGATAGGTACATTTTAGTACCTAAAGCAGACTGTCGAGATATTATTGATATTGACCATATCAATAGCGTTACATCCAAAACAGAAGCATACGAAAAAAACTGACCTATGACTGATTAATAGATTACACTGGCCCTCATTGGTAATAATTGGTTTTGCCTCGATTTAACACATTTACGAGTACAATCTACTTAACACAAATAGAGCAGTAACCTTGCTTACGCATTATTACTGTGTGTAGATGCATTTTGACTTGATTAATAATAATTAGTTTGATTAACAAACAAGTCAATATTAACAGTGATATTAAGAATATTGTTTGTATTCTAATTTGATAGATCTCAAAACTGATACAACAGAGATAAAAACAGCGATTTATAAGTTTAAATTGTACACATTGCAGTAATCTAATGTGTACTACACGATGACTAGTAGTTTAGAATGTAACCTTACCCTTGAGCTTCGCATCAGCGGACGCGTTGTCAGGCATGGATGCGGCTGAGGCCGACGCCGGCGGTGTGGAAGACGTGGATGCTACGGCACCCTGGATAAAGCGCACAAACGTCATGATGATCCCACTCATATTAACTTCTACGGCGAACTACACAAGTCTTAAGTTTTATGTCACTTATTGTCACGAAAACACTCTTACTTCAAAATCAAGTCAGAACACTATGGTCACTTGTATTATTACAAACTGTTTATACCGTGGTTAAAGGATTACTGATATTGTAACCACTTCTACGCCAAAACTACCACGCACAAGTTTTAATGCCACTTATACAGACAGCTCATCAAATTATTTGTTGCAAAATCAATCCTATTACAACCGCACTGAGATGCCATTAGCTAATTGTATTTACCGTGGTTAAAGGCTGGGGGTGGGACCGGCTGGACGCACCACCAGTACTGGCACACGAACCCAGGCTGCTTTTGCCTGAGAACAAAAGAAGCATTAGAGATAATGAATAGAAAAAGACCATTGGCCATTACAGGTAGCTTAATAATGACCATACCTTTAACAATATTACAGTTTATTATTCTTGTTGTTATATAACATTAATAATACCACGCATTATTTGAAATGTATTAAATACAAACGCGTTACTAAAAGACGAATAATTGCAACAGTGATCTCATAAGACCCTGGCGTTCATGATAAGCCCACCAGCAGTGTTCACTAACTCAATGAATTGATATCGAGCTGTTAAAATGTTTAAACCCTTGACTTAACATAATTAAGATAACGCCTAAATAATTAATTTAAGACTGCTTTTTTTAGTGTTTATTTGCGATGTAACGAAAATAAACAAGGGTTCATCGCTACATCGTTGCCGTATTCAGGTTTATCTGTCGATATCGCTCGTGTTAGCATCTCACTGAGGAATGGAAAAAAGAAAATATGAAAAATACGAAACGAATTTAGAGAGTAGTCCCTCAGATGCAAGTCTAATAAACCCATAAATATAAAAGGGTTTGAATGAACGAGGCGAAGCTCTAAATTAGATTTTACTTAATAGTAAGTTTAGATTGAAGCTTTCGATTGGTTGAATTTCGATATTTAGAGCAATCACAGGACTGAGATTGAATAGAGTTTTAAGAGTTTAGTGATATGGACCTTTTTGGTCTGTGGTTGACTTGAGCGTTGTTTTGCAATATTGACCTTACTGTACTGTCTTTACGTGTGGTATATTGGTTTACCTTGTTTGTCTCATCGCGTGGACGCTTGCTCACGTTAATTTGGACCTTATTGCACTGTGTTTACGTGTGGTATTAGCATATTACCTCGTTTGTCTCGTCGCGTGGACGCTGGCTGCGGCTGCGGCATGTCGCGAGCTCGCGCTCGCCGCCCGCCCGCCGCGCTGCTGCCTGCGCCCTCGCTGCCTGATACCTGGAGAGAAGCGTTCCTTGAGGAATACCTACTCATAGATAGACTTGACTGAGTCAGTGGTTGAGGTATGGGAGTGGCAAGTAGGGGAGACATTGGCATATTATGACGTGACAGAGCATACAAATGGCAATGCCAGATTTTGTATGGAAAGTGGCGTCTTTTTTTTTTCGCGCGGCCATCGACCAAACTTTGTTTTTGATTACAAAATAGTGTAATAAACCAAACTTACTATGGCATGTATACCTCTAAACTCAGTCTGAACTCTGAACTGAGTTACGAGCATAAGAAGTTTAATTATTTTCATACTAGATTTGCTTTTTGCGCGCAAGTTTTGTAAGAAATTGCAACAAATTATTGCGTTATTTTTTTATTGCGCTGATTCTGCTGCATACTGATGTCTGGAGCCTTTAATGGATGGTATTGTTTGTTTACACATACAATGTCATTATTTTGTTGCAATTTCTTACAAAACTTACGCGCAAACAGCAAATCTAGTATGAAAATCATCAAACTTCTGATGCTCGTAACTCAGTTCAGACTGAGTTTAGAGGTATACATGTCATACTAAGTTTGGTTTTTTACACTATTTTGTAATTAAAAAACAAGGTTTGGTCGATGGCCGCGCGAAAAAAAAAAGACGCCAATTTCCGGCATTGTCTTTTGAAAGGAATCTGAAGTTTCCTTGTGTGTCCAGAGACGTTTGAGTGACGTCTCGAAAATACCCTCCCGTGCCGCTACCATACCCCAGGCACTGACTCAGATAAGCGCTAGGACCTATAGTGTAGCGTGGAACTGTTGACCCATCTCTTTAACTTCAACTTTTAAGGTTGTGAACTCGTATAAGTATTATTCCCTCCCCCAAATATCAACAATTATACTGTTTTTCCACCAAAGCTTTGCTACGTGACGAAATAGGATCAATCCATTATCCTCGCCTCGCACACAGCATAACTGTAATGAAAAAGGCTAGAGGAGCAAGGTTTTTATATTAGAAACAAGCGAGAGATGCGAGTGTGTGCCAGCAACACAAGCAAGAATGTGTAAGAGACGATGCAGCTAAAGTAATGGAATTTAAAAGAGCCCCATACACATCTTCGCTCCGCCAAGCTTCGTCGTTTATATTGGTGGAAAAGGTCACTTTGCTCAACTAATGTCTCAACTCTTTTGACAGAATAATTTCCTAGGACATCTTTATTGGAAAAGTCTTAACAATGATGAGTTTGAAACCGACCGAAGTTTGTGGCTCAGCAAATCAGTCTGCCCACTGAGTTAAATAACCATCCTTCTGGCGGTTGGGTAAAAAGGCCACAACCTCTAAAAGGCACAAAACAGCCAATATCTCCAATTGGCTTCGCATCACATTCATTGTAACTACAATAAGATACTAAGAGCAAGAATAATGAAATGAAAAATAACACAACATGAATAACTACAAAAATAACTCTTAAAAAGCTTTAAGCATTCCGAGCAACAAAAGTTAAATAAAGGATAGTCTGCTTTTATTCTATAATCAGATGGGGACAATCATGATTAAATAAATACATAATATTTATTGGATGAAAAAAGTAATGTAAAAGGCCCGCAATTAATAATGATGAGTGATTTATAGGTACTTCGAAACGCTAAACGTTATTACCAAATCATGATAAGATTTAGCATAACGATAATTATTATTTTTCGATATTAATGACTTATAAATAGGACGCTAATTAAAATGTTAATGTATCAATCAATGTTTCAGATCGTATAAATGCATTAAATTCGTAATGATGAAAGATCATGCAAGAAAAATCAAGATTGCATAACGAAATAAATTAAAAATACAAAATAAACGTGAGCCTTAAAAAAGTGGACAAATTACTTGTCTTTTTGAAGCAGAATCCTGCCTCTGTCGCTGCGAAGTGCTAGCTCCCCTCGTCAAGCAAGCCCCCAGGGTCGCGCCCGTCGCAGCAGCGATGCTCTACGGCCACAGAACACATTACACACCGTTCACTGGTCAGATCATTTATACACTACCAAGTATTCGCAGCGAGCATCAGCGAGAGGCACAAGTATCACAGTACATTTACCTTATTTACATTAATAAACACTGCACTTATACAACAAACTTATCAAACTCCAGATAAACCCAATGAACAATATTATAATCACACGTAATTATTTATGATAGTATGAATATAATATTCCATCTGTAAACAAGTTAAATGCGTTTCGTACTTGGATCGTGATATTCACACGCATTAATCAGTTTTGTGCACCAAAAATTGTAATACATTTTTCAAATCAAAATTAAAAATTCTTACCCTCCGTGCGTTAGTCTGACGTAAATATGGAAGGTCTCGTGGAACGATTAAAAGCTTGCTGGCAGAACTGTGCGCTTTGGATGAACTTGCTTCTAGAAAAACAAATTATATATTATAAACAATGCACATGTTTTTGCACTTTAAGAATTTTCTCATGTGTGAGTGGAATTCGGACTGTGCGCGTGCAAAGTCACGGGCAACCGCTAGTTAGTTTTTACCTTGTATATCTTTGAAAGGCGGTGGCGTGGCAGTCCTAACGTGACTGTCTGCGTTAAACTTGCGCTCAGCTACCGCTTGGTTGTGTACCGCGTCGCTAGTAGACGGACTTGCTGCAATACAATACAAACACGACTAAGCATCTGTGTGCGGCATTATCTACAATGAATGACTGCACTTGTGATACACGTGATAACACATGATAAGCATTATGTGGAACATCTTTGAATATTAACAATTATATTAGGTGTTAACAATGAAAATATTCCAGTGTTAGAATGAATCTAAACTCATTCATCTTATTTCTTTTACAAAAATATCAAGTATCAAGTAATATCTATGTTTGGTATACTTTTGCATTTTAAATGCAACTTTCTTATCATGAATGACATTATCCAATTTACATTATGAAACACTTCGGCAGTTTCATAAGTTATTACTACTGCCAATATTACTGATATCAATCAAGGATTGGATTCGAATTTCTGCATATTATTGGCTGTAAAAACGTACATTACAGTTAGGTGTGAAGTTTAATTACCTGAATTATCACGAATAACGGTTGAGGTAGACGGTCCAAGGTCACGATTGTATCTATTTCGCAGCAAGTATGCGCACGAAGCTTGTGACGCAGTCGCGTGGTCTACTTTGTCAGTCTCTTGTTTTATTCTAGAATCCACAGGAGCGTCTTTACTTGGGTCTTCTAATTCTTTACTATGAGAATCTATTTTAAATTTCTTTCTGCAGTCCTCTAAATTATCCAAGCACTTCCTACTTGACAATGATCGGTGTGACGACCTTTTCCTCTTTTTGCCTTTTCTCCTGCTAGCTGTTGGACTATAAACAGAATAATCGGAGTCTAATAATTCTGTAACAGTTGACGAGCTAAAAGGCGAATACGCAAAATCTCTGTCTTCAAGTGGAAGTAAACCACCCTCCGAATTCAGTTGCGACTGCTGCGTCGAAGTGGCTGTGGCGTCCTGGTTTACTGATATCTGTGATAACGTTTGTACCTTCAAACTGGTCGGTGTTTGCTCACAAGCACTCTCAGTAGATTTAAGAGCAGTCCGTGAGCGTGTGCAATATGCGACGCACTCGTCAGTGCTATTGGTTGATATGGAATGGCTTTTGCGTTTCTTCCTGTCATGCGAGGAAGTTCTTCCACGTTTTGGGTATAGATTGGCGGTAGACTTGTCAGTGTCTCCACTTTTGTAGTCGGAGGTGTCGCAGCGCGTCTCGTAGACGTCGGCTCCGTACGACCAACGCTCTGTGATGGAGTAGTCTGATCTGGGCAGTGAGTTGATTAGACGCGAGCTTCTTCGCAGCTCGACGTGAGCCTGTGCTTCGTTGTCAGCGCGGCTGCGGCTGGACGAATGTCGGCTGGTGGAGCGCGGCAGAGGCGACGTCACGTTGTGACGGTTCCGACGGCTGCGGCTAACTTGTCGCACCTGACGCAACCACCGGCCGCCCACCACCCTGCTAGGAGAAGACCTGTTGCAATGTAATTCATGTTTTAACAATATTTATTTTGTATTAAATATAACGACATTACTTATAACATGCACTAATATTTCAGGAGTTGGAATTTATCAATTAAATTATCATAGCATGTGAACTCTAAAGAAAATTCGTTCTGTCTGACAAAAAGTTTATGTCACTTCCAGTCCCATGATAATAATCAAAACATGTAGATACAACATACTATCGGATGGCCACCGACATTATTAATTTAAAGTATGAATCAAATATTGCGTGTAATCAGCCAGACACAAAAGAAAATCGAATGTCTCGAATGACCGTCAACTTGCGAAAGAAGTTATCGAAAACTTCAATTGAGATAAAATTAGAAAACATAACCATTCCTGGGTCCTTTTTACATGGGCCGAATTTTTCAGGATTCTTTTCAAATCGACGGGTTTAGTCCTTTTATTAATTCACAAAAAGCCACAGGCATCTTGAGTTAAATCTCGGGATCAACGCAGATAATTCATTATCTTGTTACAAAAAGGGGATTGGATAAACTTAAACTCTGGATATCAAGTAAAAAAATATTAAAATTTTCAGATTATGTCATTTAACCGATGTTAATATAGTTAGACGCAGGGAGGGTGTTACACGTAAACACGTAGCGTCTAACATCGAGCCGCGTTTTTTTTTTTCATGAACATACGCGTCAAGTAGGGCACGAATGGTCGCAAGTCAAAAATTTCAATTTATTTTGTAAGCAAATTATGAAAATGCATGATGGTAAGTGGCGCATAGTACTGGAAGATAACATTGCTGAAAAAAGCATTTATCTGACACAGGAGAAAAACGAGACACGCATGACATTTCCTAATGACCGCAAAGAGGCTCTGACGCATGTCTTTAGCTACATAAACACGAAACAAAACTCAAGTGCCTTAAGCTTCTACAGCTGAAGATACTCTCATATTATTAGTGACTAGCTTTCCGCCCGCGGCTTCGCCCGCGTGGAATTTTGTCTGTCACAGAAAAACTTTATCGCGCGCGTCCCTGTTTCAAAAACCGGGATAAAAACTATCCTATGTTCTTTCCCGGGACTCAAACTATCTCTATGCCAAATTTCATCAAAATCGGTTGCGAGGTTTAAGCGGGAAAGCGTAACAGACAGACAGACAGACAGACAGACAGACAGACAGACAGAGTTACTTTCGCATTTATAATATTAGTTGGGATAGTTGGGATATAGTTGGGATTGATGACTATTGACTACTTTTGACAGCTAGCTTTTTTGACTGCATCCATGCTGAGCCGAGTTTTGGGACCAATTACAATTGTGAAGGTATCGACTCGATAGCTAACAACTCGATTGCTGTGACTGACTTAATTTTTTACTCAGCAACTTTCAAAAATAATTCATCATTAAGGTTGGTAGGTATAAATTTTGAGATGACGCCACTATTCAATTGACACACCTATTAAAGATTATTCAGGATGCATTTGAAATTTTGAACTGAGAGTAAAGGGACCTACATTCAGTCAGTACTTACTCACAGCTTGACGTATCCGGTTTGTTACTACTGTTCGGGTGAACTTGAAGTTTATCAGCTACCCTCTAATTGTCACTTATTTTATTGTTAATGACGGCACTACGACACATTTATAACATTCTCAGTATCAAGATACGTACTTGACGGACAACCGCGTTTTACTCCCGAAATCAATTAACTAATCTACTAATTGAACTTTCTTAAAAGAATTTGTGACTTTGGAATTACTGATTAATAATGACGTCAAATACCTAATAATGAACAATGCAAAATATTTTGGAAATCAGGTGTAGCAATTAATTAAGATTAGTAGACCTATTAATATTTTTTCACTCAATTAGGTACAAGTAAAACTTACACATTTGTCTTAATCTTAAGGTTTAAATGATGGTCAATAAGTAAGAAGTTGCAATCATATTATAATAATAAGAAAGCAAAAAACATCATTAGTTTAATTTATAGGCAAAGCATGACATATAAAACAATCTGTTGCTAGTTTATTTGGTTACTTATTATTTAGACATGATTTGCTAATATTCTTTAACTAAAAACAGATACATAGCTTAATAATTAATTAATGGATATTTTAAGCCCATCATAACCATTACAATTGTGCACAAAACATATTATAAAATCAATGCATAGGAGTTCATAATTAAGTATTTTATTATAATACCTTACGGCCCATTAAATATTCAATCAGGCAATAAGGATTAGTGCTAGTCTTAAACCTCTGGCAGTACAATTATAAACTTCAACAACAATAAAATAGAGCTTCACATTTAATGGTAGGGATAATTAATTAGTAAAGAGCTCTTAATTGCAAGTATACCTACTCTGCTTCATTTATTATTGCAAATCACTGATGATAAAATGAACTAGACTACTGGTGTCAGATTAAGTCCCTGGTATTTTAAAACATGTTATAAATTCCAATATATTATGCTGCTTGCTTAATAATTAGCAGTTGTGTTGTTAAAACACAGCATTAAGGCACCTTTTACACATAAATAAACCTTAAAATTAAATAAAGGATTGTATAGCCATGCAATGATCAAAACATTGCTCATAATGATGAATATTAAAATGTTATTCACTATTATGGTCACTGATTACTAATTAATCTTATAGATTTAGCTCTTATAGTACATAATTTGTACAGAAAAGCATATTATGTACAAATAAAGTAAATTNGAAACGATGGAATGACCCACTAGTCATTATTTATTCCTGAATTGATAAGAAAAATACAATAATACCTGATGTTTATAACACCAGTCACCTGAACAGTGCTATCTCTTTTCATCATAGTGAAATCAACATTTGTCATGAAGTAGGGTTTCTGCTCGAGCTTTCTCGAACTCGAGAAAACTCGAGAAATTTGGCTTCATTCGAGACGAGAAAAAAATTACCGGAGCTCGAGAATTCTCGAGTTTCGATTTTGAAGCTTTAATATTCTTGAAAGCCTATTTTCTTAGACAAAAGTAAGTTTTTAATTATTTAATAGGTTAACGTTGCGTTTAGACTGGCCTAGTCTTTCCTTTTTTTAACTAATTTGATTTGCAAGTAATGATCTTAACCGAAACTAATAATGTTCACCTACGAGTATGCTATATTTTATTATGTTTGTATAAGTGACTGATTTAAAGACTGAAATTTTTTTTTTAACTATCTGTTAGTTTAGGTACCTACTCGTAAATACGTTTATTCAAGTCGTTATCTTTTTAAGTTTAAAAATTTATTTAAAAGTTTTTTTTTGTTTGTAAATGTAGGTTTATTATCGTAAATTTTCAATTAATTTGGACTTGTGTTCTTTGGAAAACAAGTGATTCAATTGGAGCTCCAGATATTTATGGTTATTAATCCTTAGGCGGGTCGCTCACTCGATCAACAGTCGAGGCGAAGTCGAGGCGCGGACGCGTAAGTGGCACGCTGCAACTAGGTTTTCTTTAGAAACAAATGGCAGTGCGCTCATATACTAGAGTCGCGGCACGGGCGAGGTGAAGTCGAGGCGGGGGGCAAGGAAGCGCGCTCAATCGTGCCCGAGCCTCGACTCCACCGCCATTTTGTCATTTCGTTTCGTGAGCAGCAGTGTTTAGACGTTTTAAAAATGCGTGACGATTTTGAAACCAACGTAAAATTTATTGAAATTGTTCAATTAAATCTTTGTATTTATGATCAAACACGATCAGATTATAGTAACTGGAACAAATTGATTTCCGCCAGTGAGTGTCCTGTAAACTATGTTTTGTTTTTTCCAACAGCAAATTGAATGTTTCTGGTGACATTCCATAAAACTTTTTGAACCTGTCGGGATACCTCCTTAAGTCAATAGTCGACACTGTCTCAAATACGGGTGAACCCAAAATCGTCTTCTATTTAATTAAATTAAGGACTTGTATGAGTGCGAGTACGTCTTCGTCTTCAGACGACGACATGGCGAATGAATTTTATTAAAATGTGAAGGAAGCATAGCCGCCTGCGCCTCGACTCTAGGCAGATACAATCCTCGACCGTGCCGCGACTCCGCGCCGCCACCGCCGCGACACCGCCTCGACTTACCAGTGAGCGACCCGCCTTAAAGTACACGCGACTTTATGACTTTTGTTCCTTTAGTTAATTACTAAGTTATAATTATCCTACTAATATTATACATGCGAAAGTTTGTGTGGATGTCTGGATGTTTGTTACTCTTTCACGCAAAAACTACTGAACGGATTTTGTTGAAACTTTACAGTATTATTGATTATAACCCAGACACATTATAACATTAATAAAAACCCAATGTTTTATCAAATTTCAACCGATTTCAACAGTTTTAATTAAAAGACTCGAGACCCGAGAAAACTCGAGACTTTGGCCTCGAGAATTCCCGAAACTCGAGAAAAAAAATAAGTCGAGAAATCAGAAACCCTATCATGAAGTGACAAAGCATCCTTTACATGAAGTGGTATTTATGACTGTTTGAAATTATTATTGTGACTAAGGGGGTTAACAATCACATATTTCATGTCACCTTTCTTCAAGGCTGATGTGTCAGCACTAAGCAAAAAAATTTTCCTCCAGTAACCTGATTATTTGGAAGAACCATGAGTCATCAATTTTTTTTATACTTGTTGATTTGTGCAGTGGCATTTCATAATGTTTTATTTAGTCCATTAATATCTTTAAAAGGTAAGGTAAGGTAATGCAAGTATGTAACTCTGTTTAAAACATCATAATATAACAAAGGATTTATAGTACAACAGCAAGGGTACTTGAGACAACAATGGAATAAAGGAAAAGATCGCATCCTGAATGAACATGTGTAAACCTTGGCATATGTTGATATATTTAGATTGAAATCGGAAAAATAAGATAGAAACTGCTAATAGCTTGGTCCTGGACTGAAGCAGTGGTAGGGTTAATACTGGGACATGTAAAAGTGCTTTTTTTAAGCCTATTTACAGAAATAAATGAGTTTTATGAGTTTTTTATGAATATGTTAATTAGAGGCTTGAGACAATTTGCTTTTCATATGTGTCTGGAACTACCATTTTAACTAAAAGCTAGGTTCAATGGTGTCAATATAATAGGTGAAATTTTTCGTCCATAGAATTATACACATGTGAAACAGCTAGCGCTTCAAAGCATATTCGAAAATTAGGTCCGTCAACCAGATGATGGAGTAGAGCAGCAGCGGTTTGCTGATACAAATGAATTTGTTTACTTAGTGCTGTTTAAATTATTAGGTAGTAACAAAAGATATCTCACCCGCTGGACTCTCTCGTGAGTGCAGAGTGCGACGACGGTGTGATGTGTTGCTCGGCCATAGACGACGCTGGGGAACAACGCAGCTGCTTGTGTGGGGCCTGCGCAGGCCGCCCGCGCGCGCTACCTGCCCGGCACCATGCCAGGGCGAGCGCTACACCGCTGCCTCTGCATCCACTGCACCCAGCAACACCACCGATCACAAACACATCACTATCCACACTTTCACGGTCAACTACGCACTAACAGCGACAGTACGTGCACTGCACACTCACTGCGAAACTATCTGGAACAAAAGATGAAGCACACTCAATGATCTGAACAATGCTACGTTACATAAACATTTTTGTTAATTAGCACAACCTGGTATAATCGAGATCACTTACATCGAAATATAACACGTTTTGACAGATTGAAACAGGATTATTGAGCTCCTAGGCAAATACGTAGGAAATATTGTATGTAATGGATGACACATCAAGGACGGACGGAGCACCAAGCTTTTCGATTTATTTTTCAATCCATTCCACACAGCTGGCAAGCTGTCAGAAATAATGTTGCCCGCTTTTGAAATGAAAAGCTACTATTAAGATTAAAAAAAAATGACAGTAAGAAGGACATAACAATATTCCACAGATTAAAATACTTCGTAAAGAAAATTAGTACCTAATTTAAATATTACGTGTTTTAGAAGCAATCTTTTAAGATGTACGCAGTAATTAAATTAGGACAGAAAAATTTCAAAATAATTTTTAAAACTGAAAATTGTATATTTGCCTATCTAGAATTCCCAAAAACATTAATGAAGTCATTAATAAACAGATAATCGGTAGATCCAGCTCTAAGCTGTCCATAAAAAGAAGACCGATATGCATTGCAAATACAATAAAAGCTACCAAATGTTTCGTTGCCACATAAACTGGCAACACCGTGCACCAATTCTACCAACACAACATAAAATCCAATAAAATCAGATGCGGACGGGCGACAGACGAGATCATTGATATTTTTTGTCTCCCTCATCCCCTTCTCTTTCTGTTTTTTGTGGGTACCCGCACGACGACTGACGAATTAAATGCGCACCTGTGCATGCACTTTTTTGACAAAATGGTTTTAGCAGAGCAGCATGTCCGAGGTAGTGGAAAAGTTCAAGACAATAATGTAATTCCATTCTCCGACCCTCCGAAGGAATAAGACAGGCTACGGATAATAAGATAATCATAAGCTCGAAATCTACTGTGGATCCTAATAGGGGGTATCTTACCAAGTTACCTATTTACCACAATGAAGTATATTTTAGGATTTGTAATAAAATAAAATAATTTAAAAAATGGTATTAAAAAGTTTTGTCATAGAAAAATATACAGGGTGTCCCAAAATTTGCATGTCACACTGACACCAGAGGTAAATGAAAATGAGCATAAGACGCATCTAACAAGTACCTATATTAAGTCCATTTAAAAAAAAAAAACTAATAAATAAATAAAATTGGTCATGTCTTAAAACTTATGAAACTTTTCTATGGACATATTAAGCTTGTTCGATGCATCGTAGACTCAGCTACCTCCAGTGTTAGTGTGACGTGCTAATTTGGGGACACCCTGTATAAAATTGGGTACCTACCTAAACTAGATTATTTAGATGAACATGCAAGTTCAGATGAAAATGAAATCTAGGTAGATACAGTTGCCTGACCCTTAGAATCTTGTTCTATTCCTGGTTGCGAGACTGCAGTCTGCAACAGATTGCAGCCACTAGCCGTAGTAGCCAGCACGTGAAGTAATGAGGCAACGCCGGAGTGTGGCGTTTATTGAAAGTAGGCAAGTTATCATTTGCTGACATTATTTACATCTATGTGGGTATAACATAACCATAACCACATGGACAAAAATACCCTGCCGCCGGACGCGACGTAGGTAATCTTTGGATTATGAATTTATTATCGACGATTTAGTTAGGGTTTACTTACTTATGTAAACTAAAAATTATCGGGGTAACTTAATAAGTTGCATACGGGCAGCAGTTTATACTGTGTGCAGTCTCATAAAAATTGTTGATGCGTGACAACACGTCACTATGCAATATCAGTTGTTTGAACTAAAATAAACACAGGGCAAAGCATCTGTTGTTTAGTATTCATTATAACAAGGGCTATTAACATTACGCGCGAGTTACAGCGTTTGGTTGCCAGTGTCATATGTCCATTAATCGGAGTTTCAATGCGCGTACGCATATCAAGGGCGGTGTATCTGTCCCGTAGGCGGGGCAAAGGGCCCGGGCGCTGGTGAACGACCGCGATGCCCGGACTCGAGTCTGCCGAGTGCGGCTCGTTTTGCCTTCTGCCTACCTGCGCCTTACGTGTATATCAATCAATGCACTAATCTACATAGGTGCTTGAAGCGAAAACGTGATTTCTTTCTTTAATGTATGAACGGTAAAATCATAAATGTTTATTACTTGACTGTGGAGTTAATTCCTTTTCGAGTCTTAGTAGTAAGTACCTAGTCATTATTTAAAAAAAACATTTTAAATTATAAATAGGACGAAGATACTGCGGGCAGAGACTCAAACACAGCGCTCTGTGCCTTGGCAGGTGATGTGTTTAAAACAAAACCCCAAAATAGAAATCGAGAACTTCCTTAGTTAGTAAGTACTTGAGCGTTGAGCCAATAACCAATGTCAATTGATTCCCGTACCTTTGTATAGTACGTAAGTGGCAGGAAACGGGACCGTTAGGTGAAACCTTCGTTGTGACGGAGGTAAAATTAAAGATTAAAGTTATGGTGTGTTTGAGAGAGAAGTCGGTTGAACAAAAGACGATTTATAAAGAACAAAAGTAGGTATACAGTTTCACTCAAAACCAACCACCTTTTGTTGCAATAATAATAAAAGTGAGACTAAGCTCATTGAAAAGAAGAAAACCATAAATGAAAAAAAAAAACGCAGAAGTATCACTTCACTTAAAGACGTCAAATTAGCAAGATTGCAATACAACAAAACCGAACTGAATCTATACAAAACAGGACACAAAGGCAGCGAGTGTTCGAAAAAAAAAATGCTTTTCAATCACTTGAAACACCAGCTTTCAATTTATATGAAATGGCGTTGTTTTATATTCTCACAGAAGAAGCTGCAGTAAGCATGGAAATGAAATAATTTGGAATTGTAGACTTGTAGCTAGAAGATTAATTGTCATCATTATGCTATACTAAGAAAGTCAAAGCAAACGGTACCGGCAGTTCTAGCCGAGCAAGGAGCAACACCAACCTGTTTATAACAAACCTGTCCACTCAATTCAAACCATATCCCCACCTTACGGGATGGAAACTACACGCCTTGCACCAGGTGCGGTTGCCAGGTAGATTTTAAGAAAATACGTGCGTATTTACTAACAATAGTATCAGCTTTCAGGTACCCAGGTTTACATCTTTTATGGAATATCAACCGTTACACTAACTTGCTTGCCGAGTTACGTACACTATAAAATTTCCTATTACAGTCACGTGACCCTGTGTTGTTAAACTGCGCGTGAGTGGACCAAAGCGAAGGCGAATAAAAAACAACAAATCACCGCGCCGCCTGTCGATTTGTTATTCCAAAGTGACCTTCCTTGACTCCGGAATACAAACGCTTATCCTCGTGTCATATGACTGGTAGGTATTACAAGTCAAAACGTCCATTGCTTGTACTGGTATAATGGTCTTTACAAAATCTTTTAACGTTAAAAAATAAGTTTCACTGTAAATCTACAATCAATGTGCATAAATATTCTTACAACAGAATACATACATAGAAGCATCAAACTGATTTTCCAATGCCAGATAATCATTTTCTCCTTCATCCGTATTCTCTCCATTGTTGTTCAATAAGTGAAGGAGATGACCTTTGTGCCGTATGCTACTGATGTGATACCACAAGATAATATTCATTATTTACTTACCTAGTTTTATTTTAAGACCAACTGGTTTCAACAACGGAGCACTTAACCTTCTACAACGAGATATCAACGTTCGATACACTAAAGATTAACTTTGGCGAGTTTTTGTTCAAATTTAAGCGATCTTCAGTGTATTTGATGCTCAACTGTAAGTGTGGAGTCGTAAGGTGCGTTATAGCATGATGGTGAATGGTACGGAGCGAGGGGCTGCGCCCCAAGGCCGCGGGTCGACAACCCGGCTGTGCTGCAGCGGCCACGTGCGAAACCAGCTCGCCTCGGCAACACTGCTGTAAACACTTCGCTTTTGCCAATTAACCAAACCGATCCAAAAACGCACCGCACACCTACAGCAGTTCATACACCTACTACGTCACGGAAATGATCGTTTACTGTTTGGAATACTGGCTTTTGTGTCGTGTCTAACAATGACTTTAATTTCGGTGTATAAAAGCGCTTGAGCAACCGAATAACAAAGGAACATAAGATTTTCCAATATGCCAGCGATACGTGGAACAAAGAGGATGCATCTTGCATTTCGTGATACTAAACAAGAAAATTAACTTTTAAGTTGAGTAAAAATTTACCCAGTAAGGAATAGTGCAATAAAATTTCAGTTATTAACTTATTAACTATATTCTATAAATCGCGCGTTATGTCATTTTAATACACTAACACACGGTAAGCAAGCGAGCGTGACAAGAAAACTCACAATTCCGTTCCGTTATTGCTGAAATGCTACAAGAAAAGTATTGAACAGGCTACAGTTTATAGAAAGTTTGTTCTAAACGAGAAATGTGTTAGATTGGATATGTGAATGTCAGCGGGAGTGCAACGAAATCAATCTGTCGGGGTGCACCCCAGGAGGAGTCATCGACCGGCCCAGTGCGTCCGCGCCCCCGCCGCCAAATGCTCTGGAGCCCTAGCCCTAGCGGTTTAACGAACCCCTCGGCGACCCTTCGCCAAAAGCCCCTGTAAATATAGTCAATAGTCGAGCCAGACAAATCAGAACTCAATTAATAATGTGCATAGGCGACGCGAATCTCCACCAGACTAGCTTGTATGTAGGTACACTTTCGTTAGATATTCAAGCTATGCGTGTACTCTACTTAGTCTTTTTGATGGAATATTTACTGAGCCATAAATGTGAAGTTAATAATAGCTTTTATTTTCAAACCTTGCCATTATTTTTATTCTATCAGCTCATTAAAATTTCTTGCGTCTAAGTCTAGCAATATTTTCGTCTCATTAGTGAAGGTATCAATATACAATAGATTTTGTTATTACCAAGTCTACCATACATAACATAGGGGCATCAAGATACGTAGATTTTTCTATCCACTATACTTGGG